CCTTCTCGTCTCGATCCCACCCTCATCACCTCCGCTCCGTTCCACTCGGACCCGTTCCGCACCACAACACCATCCGCACACGCTCGGCGCCCACTTGCGCTCTCCCTCCTCGCTATCGGCCCACCACACTCTCGGCCACTCCGCCCGTCGTCTTCCCAACCTTAACCCTCTCGTCGCTAGTCGAGCATTTCCACCCATCGCAATACCAACCGCGCCATCTCGAGCCCTCAGCCAGACAGTCACGCTAATCGCCTCCTCCGCCGCCTCCCATATCCACCCATCTCATCCTCAATGTCGGGCGTCTTTGGTCAAGGTTGCAAATACACTGAATACCAAGACACCAGCCAGCCTAGCTTTGCTTAGCTCTGCCTAGCTCTGCCTAACTCACCCTCTCGTCCCATTCTTGCCCGCCTTGACCCGCTAGCCAACTATTCGACATCGTCTCACCTTGCATCCACCCTCCGCATCGCATCGCAACGCATCCCTGCTTCCGCTTTAGCCTCGCAACGCTACTTCCGCACTCGGACGGCGCACGTCGCTCCGCTTGGCCACCGCCATGCCGCCGCCCTCCTTTTCCCACCAGACCGCCGTGGTGCTCCCACGAGCCGTCCAATCCTGGCTCAAGGAACTCATCCAAAAGATCCGCTCGGCACTCACCGCCAACGACGAGATCAAGCGACACTCCATCCTCAGCGCAATCGAAGCTGCCGTCGAGGAGCACGCTCAGTCGCTCAAGAGCGCAGCGCAGGCAGACGAGGCCAACCATCCGCCCGCAGCCGGCCCCTCGCCCACCGCTCAGATCAAGTCGCAGGTCTCGCTCCGCATCAATGACGCCATCCAAAACATGCTCCAGGGCGAGCTGGGCGCACAGCAGGACGAAAAGCTCCCCGCACTCGTCGACGTCCTCTTTGTAGCCATGCCCCTCTTGGGCCCCACCTCGATCGTCATGGAGTGGTGGGATCTCGTCCTACACCCCCTCCTCAAAAGCGCTTCCATCCAGAACATCACCGCCAACCGTGCGCGCGAGCTCGTTGTGCGCGCCATGGCCGCAGCACCCACTACCGCATACGAGGACGAACCGGCGCCAGTGGCAGTCTGGCCGGCGCCCGCTTCAAGGCCTACCGATTCATCCGAATCGGCAAAAGCCTCACCCATCCCTTCCACAAGTCCGCGTCGAGCCCGCGAGACTCCCTATCCTACGTCCGCCACCACGCCAGCCTCCTCTTCGCCCTCGCGTCAACCACAGCGCAGCCCCTCGCTCACCGCGCCATCCGCGTCCGCGGGCAGGTCCGCCTCGGTCGGTTCGCGCCAAGACACCTTCCGCCGCTTCACGCAGCGCATCCTCGACCTCTACCTTGCAGAAGCCGCGCACGAGAGTCAGCAGCTCCGCGCCGAAGATGCACGCCCGCGCAGAGGCAGCGCTCCCGACCTCGCCATCTCGCGCGATCTCAGCGGCAGCGGTCACCTTCTTCGCGACTCCGCCACCCTCGTCTGGAAGGGCAACCTCGAGTCCATCCTGCTCGTCTACAGCAACCAAAAACCCAAGGAGTTCTTCCACCACATTGCAGAGTCCTTCTCCGAGCCCACCGCACGCGTGCCCCTCCTCTTCCTCCTCTCCACCTTCCTTCGCCTCTATCCGATTCATGCCTACCACATCACCGCCACCGCCCTGCCACGCATGCTCATCCTCTCGCTCCAGCTCGACACCTCCACCACCTGCGTCTCGCTCGGCGTCACCGCACTCATCATGCTCATCCCGCACATTCCCAACTGGATCGCCAACGGAGGCGCAGGCGGCCTCCCCACCCTGCTCAGCATCTTTGCCCGCATCGTCGACTGGAGGCGCCTCGGCAACGGCTGGGAGACCCGCATCGGCGACGATCCCGAGCTCGCCGAGCTGCGCAGAGAGAAGGACGAAGAGTTCGCAGAGATGGACCGCCTCGGAAAGCGCCTCAACATCAAGCCCGCTCTGCGCTGGAACCGCCTCGAGTCGTCCTTCGACACGACCATGTCCAGTCCGCCCAACGCAGAGCATCTCTTCACCTTCCTCTACGGCCTCTTCCCTTGCAACATCATCCGCTTCCTGCGCTCGCCCGTCGACTACCTTCGCAAGGCGTCGTTCGACAGCCCCTTTGAAGGTCCCTGGGAAGAGATGATGGACGAGGTCGCCGTCCAGACACGCGCCAGCCCCATCCTGCGTCGACACACGCTCCATCCCGCCCTCGTCACCCTCGACGCCGAGACCGAGCTCACGGACAAGCAGCGCTGGCTCGACCACGACTCGGCCGACATCAATGCAGAATGTCTCGGCCTCTTCCTGGGCAAGTGGCACGACGTCAATCCTTCTCACATTGTCCAAGCCGAGCGTCAGCGCAACGGCTCGCTGGACAATGACGTTCCGGACGACGAAAGCGTGTTCTCGTCCGAAGCGAGGCTCGGTCCGTTTGATATGGGCCGCCGCCGCAGCGCAGCTGCTCTCATGCACCCCTCGTCGCCCAGCGGCTCGGCGCATCGCCACTACCAGAGGGTGCCGCACTCGGTCAACCCGGACGACATTCTGTTGACCTACGCTTCGCTGCGATCCGGCGCACCGCTCATGTCGGCCACGGTCTCGGCGCAGACGCCCAGCTTCGACGCTTCGCCTGCGCCGTCCCTGTTTGGCGGCGCGACACAGCCTTTTACGGCGGCCGCTCAGCGCCTGGACGACTCGATCGGCCCGACAGCAGTCCCGCAGGCCAAGGCACCATCCTCGTCTTCGGCCATGACGGCGAGCGGCACGCTCTCGAGGTTGCTTCCAGCTGCAAGTGCTGCGGCTGCTGCGACACCCGCCATCATCACCGCTGTGGGAAGCTCCAGCGCTTCTCACATGTCCATCCCCGCCTCGCCGGCCACCCATGCCGCGCATGCCTCGATCGCACGCGTGCGCTCACGATCCGGCTCGCTCTCGTCGGTGCTGTCGAGTAGCTCGCCAAGCCCGGCCACGCCAACCTCGCCCACTCTGCCAGGACGCCACCCGCTCGCGGCCAGCCATCTGCCCTCGGACCCGCTCACACCGCAGCCGGAGCCGAGGGAGAAGCCGGCACTAGCGGTCCCTTCATTTGCAGGCTCCTCGCTTGAGGTGGGCAGCAGCGATGCTTCAATCATCTCGTTCATGCAGCGAGAAAACCTGCTCTTGCGAAACGAGCTCAACTTTGAGCTCTATCTCAAAGAGCAGCATCTGCGTCACATTGGACGACTCCATCGCGAAAAGGTTACAGACACCGCGCTCGAGGCCGAACGGCAAAACCTCTATCACACGGTGCGCACCTTGCGCACCACGAACGCAGCTCAGCATGCCGAGTTGGAGCGATGCCGCGCGGAAGCGGCGTCGACCAAGGCTCGGCACGTGCAGTGGGAGGCCGATTTGAACAACAAGCTGCGCGCGTACCGCGAAGAGCGCAAAGCCTGGACCTCGGAGGCGCGCGAGCTCAAGGCGCAGGCGGAAGAGGACGCCGCCAAGATCACCACGCTCACGCGGCAGCTCGAGGAGTCGGGCGCACAGCTGTTTGAGCTCCAGACCAAGATGGAGGCGGACGAGCCCAAGCTGGCCAAGCTCGAGCAGTACGAGGCCAAGATCGCGCAGCTCACGTCGTGCCTGGCGTACTGGGACAACGACGTGCTCAAGTACGAGCAGCAGCGCAACGAGATGGAGAAGCTGCTGAACAAGTGGGACGAGATGGCGTACTTGGTCGAGTCGACCGAGGCGACGCTCAGCGAGGTCGAGCAAACGTGCTCGCGGCTCGAGGCCGAAAACGAACGGTTGAAGCAGGAGCTCAACACGGCCTTCGACAGTGTCAAGGCGTTGAAGCTCGAAAAGGGCAAGCTCGTCGCACAGGCCCAGCCGGGCCACGAGCAGGCACTCGACACGGTCGCCGAGTTGGAACAGCAGCGAGAGGTGCTGCGCGATGAAAACGAGGCGTTGAGCGAAAAGGTGCTCGAGCTCTCGGCGAGGATCGAGACGATGCAGCTCCAGCACGCGGCCAACGGCCACTCGACAGTCGATGGCCCACACGGCGCCTCGGGGCTTGCAGCTGCCTCGCATCCGGATGAGGATGACGACGTCCCCGCACTCCCGCACGGCCTTCCCGCACCACAGGCGTGATCTTACTTTGGACGTCAATTTGCAATTCCGTGTCACCCACCAGCATGGAATGAGGCGCTTGCATGATCGTGAACTGAGCTGTCCTTTCGTTACTGAGACGACTGGCCGCGCTAGGCTCAGCGTCGCGTATGCTGTGCGCTTTGGCCGGGGCGCATCCGCAGCCAAGCGGGATGAAGGTGAGAGTTGGGCTGAGGCATGGGCGGGCGGGCCGCCACGTAGCATGCAGTCGCTGAGGCCGGCCGGCGAGACGGCGCTGGTCGAATACATCCGAGAGCCGCTTTGCGCTTGGTCGAGCCCAGGTGCGGCGTGTAGGGCAAAGGCATTTCGTCTCGTCCCTCGCCAGATCCGCCTCGTCAAGCCGAATCTGGCTTGTCGTGATCCCACCAAACGTACTGACACTAGCGTTGGTAGTGCCCCGGCGTGTTTCCTTCTGTTGGTCGATATAAGCAATTGCGAGCATCTCATGACAGTGTCTTGATCGATCTCCTCCGTCGCCTGCCGCTATATTTGTCAGAGGATCCTGCGTGGCAGCTTGATCGATTGAACCGATGCGAGCAACGGCTGTCAACAAGCAACGCGCTCCTGTTGGTGAGTCTTCCGGCTCGCCCGGCACGGTACCTCGTTGCGCGCCCCGGAAACGTCATTACACACCCAACTCGGGGGTACGATGCAGCTTCCTGCTCACTCACTTGGCCAAATTGCCCTTCCAGACGAGCGCGGCGAGGTCGCGAAGAAGGTGACCGCGGCCGCTGAGATCGCGCGAGATGGCGAGGTCGGCAGCGCTACCTCTACCCTCGGACCCGCTGACCACACAGCCGGAGCCGGTGTCAGCGGATCCGAGCGAGAAGCAGGCATTGGCAGTCCCCTCGTTCGCAGCCTCCTCGCTTGAGGTGCGCAGCAGCAATGCCTCTATTATCTCGTTCTTGCAACGAGAAGACCTGCTCCTGAGCAACGAGCTCTATTTTGAGCTCCATCTCAAAGAACAGCATCTGCGTCATATAGGACGACTCCATCGCGAAAAGGTTACAGACACTGCGCTCGAAGCCGAGAGGCAAAATACCTATCACACGGTGCGCACCCTGGCGACTTTCGAAGACGCCCTTGCACTTTGCATGATTTGTGCGCCACGTCCACGACGGCACATCGGTCGGCCACCGGCCGACGATGCATATGACGCATGCGATGCCCCAATTTCACGCGATTCACCTCCGATGGCCTCGCAGAATGGCCCTGAAGGCCGGTTGACTTGGCAATTAGCGCAAAGTGCCAACAGCGAGCGTTGAGAGCAGTCGTTGCTCCCGCAACCCCTAGACCTCTTCGCGCAGACCCTTATGCGAGGGTTCAAGTATCGTCGTCTCAAAATCGGAGCCAGGAGACCGACTAATCACGGAGAGCGACCTCGTGCGCGCGGCAGCTTTTCACCAGCGTCGATCGATCCTGAAAAGCCAACGTCTTAGCTCAGATGGGATGTAACGATGTTTCCTTGGTGCGTGATCAAATGAACATCCAGTTTGACTCATCGTAGCATGCAGGTCGACAGCTGCTTCGAGCAGAGCATGACCTCGATGACCGGTGTCAAGCATTGCAAGATCGTCAGCGCTTCCTCGACGATTGGTCGTTGCGCCCGAGACAAGCCTGCAAGGTTCGAACTGCTGGAGAGACTGCTGGCTGACCCGATGACAACGATTCACGCGATCCATGACGACGCATCGGCCTCCTCCCGACGATGCATACGATGCATACGTTGCCAGATATTCAGACGAATCATTCCCGATGGCACAGCTGATTGCCGCCGACGGTATCGCGCGTGGCAGCGAGATGTTCCAAAGCGGCATCTTGTTGGGCATGCAAGTTCGAAGAGGCAGACGAGTTTGCACGAAGAAATCATTCCAGACACGCAAGGGGCAATTGCGAGCAAGACAACTGAAAATACAAGTACATTCAAGCACCGGAGCTGGGACTACAAGGGCTAGACCTTCTTCTCGTCGATGGCTTCGTTGGACGAGGTGTGCTGGAAGCGCTGGTCGCCGACGTGCTCGATGCTGTCTTCGTCGTAGGCGTCGGTGGTGTTGCGCTTCTCGCCGAGCTCTGCCGCATCCTGATCGCCCGCACCGGGGATGGTAGCCGGGAGTGCCTTTTCAAACTCGGCACCCTTGAACTCCCAGCCGAATACAACGACGATGATCAGGTACGCGCAGACCGTGCCGAGAAGGATGGCCGACACGCGAGCGTACGCCGGGATGAACTCTTTGACCGTCGCAGGTGCGCCAGGGAACCACTTGGGGTTGCGCTCCTTGAGGTTGTCACCACCGGTAGCCTCGATCTGAGACGAAGCCGACGAAGCGGCGTTGCCGAGTTGATAGGCCAGACCCGAGTAGGTAGCCCTGAACGCAGGAGGTGCGATCTCGGAGAGGTAAATGGGAACCACACCCCAGGCGCCCTGCACGCCAAACTGAAGGAAGAAGGCACCGGCCGCCAGGGCACCGAAGCTATGCGGAAGGATCCAGGCGGGGATGAGCGCACCGGTGATGATGACGAACAGGATGATCGTAAGCCTACGACCGAGGTACTGGGAGAGATAGCCTGCGACAAAGCCGCCCGAGATAGCACCGCAGTTGCTGATGATGGTCGCCCTGGACGCCTGCTGGCTTGTGAGCAGCTTAGACTGCTGGAGAATGGTGGGGTACAGATCCTGGCTCGAGTGCGAGAGGAAGTTGAAGCCGGTCATGAGCAGGATGCCGTAGATGCAGCGGAGCCAGTGGGTCTTGAGCATCTCCTTGAGCTCACGCAAGAACACCTTTGCCTTGCTCTCACCCGTGGCGCCCGATGCATCGCGCTGGGCTTTCTGCCTGAGGAAGAGCTCCGACTCCGGAAGCACGAGACGGACGAGAGCAGCGAATGCCGAGAGACCTGCGCCGAGGAAGAAGAGAATGCGCCAGTTGCCCGTCCTGTGCACCCAAGTCAGGTTGACGGATGCGGCCAGAAGGTATCCCACCGCATAACCTTGTTGCAGAATGCCCGAGAAAAGACCTCTGGGCTCGGGAGGCATGTTCTCCAACGCTGTCGCCGTCGCCATCCCCCAGATCCCACCCATCCCCAGCCCGAAAATTGAACGGACGGCGAGGAACTGTGTGTAGGTCTGGATGAAGCCAGAGCCAAGCGAGAGAGCGGCGATGATGAAGAGGTTGATGACGAGCGGGTATTTGCGGCCGTATCGGTCGGAGAGGATGCTGTGGACGCGTGCAAATGCATGTGGAGGTGGAGAGGGTCAGAGACGGAATTCCCAAGTGTGTTGGGAAAGCGGACATGTGTCGAGGGGGGGCAAGCAAGAGCAAAGCAAAGGTGACTTACCCAAAGATGGCGGCGCCGACGGAGCGGAAGAGGAGGGTGAGGGTGATGGCGGTGGTGACGTCATGTGCGGGTCTGTCAAACTGCTTCTCGAGGGCGGTCACGGAGAGAGAGACGGCGAAGAAGTCCCAAGCGTCGACAGTCCAGGCAAGCCAGCCGGAGAAGAACATGGCGCCCTGAAGCGGGGTGAGCATCATGGCGAGCTTGATGGGGTTGAGTGGGGCGCCATTGCGTGTGATTCTGCGCTCCTCCTTAGAGGGCAGCTTGAAGAGACCGTGGGTTGGGTCGACCATGGCTGACACTGAGGAATGGAAAGGTTGTATGCGGGGGAAGGGCCGAGTAGATCGAGGGGGGTAGCTTTATACTCGTGTGCAGAGCGAGCCAAAACGCGGGGCCCGGGGCGCAGGTCGTACAAAGCGCGTGCTGTGCTCAGGTCGAGCGACTGGCGGGCGCAACTGAAGGGGCAGCGCGCCTGTCGAAGCGAGCCGCAATCGAGCACAAAAGGGGCGCATTTCGGTGGCTGAAGCGCCGCAGGGGAGGGAGTGGGCGATTGACTCGGCTGAACTGCGAGCTGTTTTGGCGAGGTCGACCCGACTGCTGCACGGGAGCCTTGCAAAGAATGCTGCCAGACTGCGTGTGGGGGCGGGCATTTTTTTCTCCTTTTTGACAGGCATATCCCCACGCGCGTCTGAGTCAGGGCTAGTGCAGGGGTGAGTTGCGAGGAACGTCTGCAGCTCAACCGCCGCTGCGATGCCGTGCCGCCGACTCGAGCCTCCGCGCGGCGTTAACGCAACTTAGCGCGTGTAATTTTTTTTTTTTGCAGGCTTCGGATCAGCCGCTGGCACTGTTCCGTTGGGAACTCTGCATGGGATGCGGCCGAGGTGATTCGGATGGACCGAGGGATCTCTCCGACACGAGAAGCGCGACAGTCACCGGTTGCAGGATGCCCAAGCTTTGACATCGGCCAATCACGGCGCCGCATCTCATCTTGCAAAGGTGCACCGGGGTATTTCCGCCACCCGACCACGCGGAGTCACCCCCAGCGGTGCTGCTTTTCTTCGTATTCGCTATGCAGGCGAAGCGGGTGGCGACCGAGAGCGCAGCGAGGTGCATGCTCCCGCACAATGAACGAGACCTGATTGGTCGGAGGCCAACTCGCGTGGGCAAACGCTTTTCGCGATCGTCCTGCCGCGCGCATCTGCGGGGACAATTGTCGCCCACACGGCAGCCTTGCCGACGGTGCCGCAATCTTCCGCGGCGCCGGCTGACTCTGAAAAGAAAAAGAAAAAAAACAGAGCCACAAGCGCGCCGAAATGACCGACTAGCCCTGCGGCATCTTTTCGAGCACCGCTTCCCCGCCTTTGCACTTCGATTCCCTACTCCTCCTCACCAATGCGTATGCATCGCAGCAAGCGAGGGCGAGCTTTCGGATGATTCCGAGCTTGCGCTGCCGCTTTTTGCCCATCAATGCTCCCGCTCGGACATGTTCGGACACCCACATCCCCACATGCTCCTCTCATCCCCGCAATGAGCCCGAGTGGGTTTCGGCACGCATACACCCGGTGGGCTTTCCGACCATCCCCGCAGACTCTTCCGCCACGCTCTCGATCGAATCTTTCCCCACGCTTTGGATTGAATTTGCAAATGCAGATGCTCCCCACACGCATCTCTGCGTCTAGGCCCGCCGGCGGTGCAACTAAACTCAACCTCGCCATCGTCGTTGGGCGTGGCAACCGAATTCGATCCTGCACTCGCGAGCGCAGCGCCAAGAATCTCGCTTCGCCCTGCTCGCCCACCTCCACCCTCGACCCGAGCGCGCGTCATCCGCTCCGTCACTTCCCGATGTCGCTTGTCCCTCGATTGCCATTTGCAGACGACATCGCATGTGCACAAAAAATAAGTCAAAAATGAGAGTCCTACGGGGATTGAACCCGCGACCTGCAGAATGCCTGAAAGGACCTTCAGATTGAAAACCGAAGTCTGCCGCTCTACTGCTGAGCTAAAGACCCGTCTACTGCCATCGAAATTCAAGATGTGTTCATATCCCAAACCGCGCCTCGATGTCCAGCTCAAGCGACTGCTCGCTTGCCGCTGCGGAAGCCATCTCGAATCAGCATTGCTCGTCTCGCCTCGGCGCTGTTTTGAGTGGAATCGCGAATCAGAGTTCGTCAAGCGGCGCAAGGGGACGGAGCCTCAACTTGAGATTGCAATGGCCGGCTACTCGCGCCATCTCGCTCGGCTGGCGAACACCAGGCCAACCATGAGCATTCTTCTGTCATTCCCCAGTCAGAGCAACTCGAAATCTGACCCGCATTCCTGGGTCGTCAGGGGTTCAGCGGCGCCCTCTGCCTGCCTGCCAACCACGACTGAGGTTCAATTCAAGGGCGCGACAAGCACTGGCCCTTTACGCACAGGCCACAGCAATTTGTCGAATCTGAACTTGTCTTCGGCCGATGAAAAGCATGTATGTCTACACACACACACAGGCAACTGCCACTTAGGCCTGAGACTCGGTCGCGGGCTCGAGCTCGGGGACGGGCTGGGGCTTGTTGTCGGTAGGGAGGGGCTTGTTGGCGGGGAAGGCGAGCACCTCCTTGATCGAGTTGGAGTCGGTGAGGAACATGACCAGACGGTCGATACCGAGACCCCAACCACCGGTGGGAGGGAGACCGTGTTCGAGGGCGTCGATGAAGACGTGGTCGACGCCCTGTGCCTCGTCGTCGCCCTGGTCCTTCTGGCGGCTCTGCTCCTCAAAGTTGGCGCGCTGCACCCAGGGGTCGTTCAACTCGGTGTAGGCGTTGCAGATCTCCTTGGTGGCCACAAACACCTCGAAGCGCTCGCACAGTCCGGGAATGTCGCGATGACGCTTGGCCAGAGGCGACATGACCTGCGGATGTCCGACGATGAACGAAGGGTTGATGCACTGCGTCTCGATAAACTCGCCCGTCATCTTGTCGATAAGACGCGACGACGTGCGTGGCTCGGAACAGTCAACATTGTGCTTGGCAGCCAGATCCGAAAGCCACTTGCGCGTCTCTTCGGTGTGCAGCTGATCCGCAGGCGGGAAGGTCGTGTTCGTGGCCTTCTCAAGCTCCTTGATCATGTCGAAACGCTTCCAGGGCGTCGAAAAGTCGATCTCGTACTCGCGACCACCCTCGACATCCTTGCCATCCGGGTGGTACTTGATCTTGTACGAGCCAGTCACCGCCTTGACGAGGCCCGAGATCATGGACTCGGTGATGTCCATGAGGTCGTACATGTCGGCGTAGGCCATGTAGAACTCGCAGATGGAGAACTCGGGGTTGTGCGTCTGGTCGATCGACTCGTTGCGGAAGACGCGACCGATCTCGTAGACGCGGTCGAGGCCGCCGACGACGAGCTCCTTGAGGAAGAGCTCGGGAGCGATGCGCATGAAGAGGTCGAGCTTGAGGTCGTTGTGGAAGGTGACGAACGGCTTGGCGGTGGCGCCGCCTGCGATCTGGTTCATCATGGGCGTCTCGACCTCGAGGAAGCCGAGGTTGTCGAGGAAGCGACGGACGTAGTTGATGACCTTGGCGCGCTTGACAAAGATGTCGCGCACGTGGTTGTTCATGATGAGGTCGAGGTAGCGCTTGCGGTGGCGCTGCTCGGTGTCGGTGAAGCCGCCCTTGTCGCCCTGGGACGCCTTGGGCAGCATCTTGAGGCTGGGCGAGAGCAGCTTGATGGAGCGCGGGAAGATGGACAGCTCGCCCTTCTTGGTCTTGCCGGGCACGCCGGTGACGCCGACAATGTCGCCGCGGCGGAGGAGGTCGTGGATGGCGGCAAAGTCGCCGTCAGTGTGGTCCTGGAGCTGGGCGGTGATCTGCACCTTGACGCCCTCGCCGTGGAGGTCGTAGAAGCGCAGCTTCTGGCCGGCGGAGCGCATGTTGTGGAGGCGGCCGGCGATGCTGACCTCCTCGTTGTCGAGGTGCTGGCCCGCCTCGACCTTGCCCTCGTACTTGGAGATGAAGTCGGAGAGCGAGATGGAGACGTGGAACTTGTGCGGGTAGGGGTCGGGGTTCTTGGACTCGCGGAGGGCGGCGATGGTCCTGAAGCGACGCTCGTAGTACTGGTTGGGGTTGAGGTCCTCCTCGGCAGCAGCGGCGGACTTGGCGCCGGCAGCGGGGGCGGGAGCCTCGGCGGCCTTGGAGGCCTTCTTGGCGTCCTTCTCGCGCTGCTTCATGCGACGCTTGAGCTCGGACTTGGAGACCATCTCGCCGGTAGCGTCATCCTTGACGAGGTTGACCGCGTCGGGTTGGTTGGCGGCGTCGGTGGCAGACATGTTGCGCACGACGATGCAGAGTGGAGAGGGATAGGCGAGCCGGTTCGGAAGGCGAAGTGGGTGGGAGATGGACAGAGGCAGCGATCTGGCGACACGAGTGAGAGATCGGGTGAAGGGCGTGATCATCCAAAGCTCGAAGACCGAATGCAGGGGAGAGTCGTAGCTGGTGGAGGTGGAAGAAGGAAGGGCGACCAGCTCTTCTGGCCACGGGAAAAAGCCGTTTCCAGGTTGGCATCCGACGCACAGGTCGAGCGGAGAGAGGGCTCCAGGGTGAAGGAACGCCTTCTGGCAACTCAATTTTTTCAAAGCGCAGACACAGGTGATCTAGCGATATGCGGCATCCAACTTGACTCGACTCGCCCAGCAAATTGCTTTCTCACAAAAGATTGCGGGCCTAACAAATTACATGATTTAAGCGGCAGGATCGCCGATCGGATCCCAGCTGTCCGGAGAATCGAGATGGGGCTTGTCAACGACCTTTGCCACATAGCTCTGACCGCATGATTGCATGGGAGAGAAGCACTTACTCGGTCACTAGGTATTCGTCGAGGTCAAGCAGATGATCCATGTCGGCTCGGTCCAGCTCGAATGCAAACACGTTGGCGTTTTCGATGATCCTGTGTTGCGAGACCGACTTGGGGATCTGTTGAGCGAATGTCGATTGTAAGCAAGACGGGCCAAGCTGCAAGTTCGTAGCGGGCTATGCAGACTTACTGTGATGTAGCCTCGTTGGAGCGAGAAGCGACTGCATGAAGCGATGAGGTATCAAAAGTGGTCAGAAGAGCGCCAAATGACATCCGGGCGGCGGCGGAACGGCAGTGCACGTACATGAGCACCTGAGCAGGCGTGGCCGAATGCTTGGATGCAAGCTCTTTGATGGTGGGGTGATCGAACCTTTCGGCGCGCACAAGGGGACCCCAGCACTCCAAAGCGATGCTGTTTGCGCGGCAGTATTCGACGAGCTTCAGACGCGCCATGAAAGGATGCAGGTCGCACTGGTTGACGGCGGGTGGGTACTTGGGGTTCGAGTCGAGAAGCTCCTGGATGTGTCTTTCGGCGTAGTTGCTGACACCGATGCTCTTGACGAGGCCCTGGTCTTTGGCCTTCTGGATGGCCCTCCAGCTTTCGAGTCGGTTGTCGCGACCGCCGTAGGGGCTGTGGATGAGGTAGAGATCAATGTATCCCAGGCCACACTTTTTGACCGACTCGGCGATGCTACGCTTGGTTGCGTGGTAGCCGTTGTTGGATTGCAGCTTGGAGCAGTAAAAGATGTCGCCGCGGCTGATGGGGCAGCCTGGCGAAGCAAGGAAGCGCGAGATGGCCGATCCGACACTCTGCTCGTTGTAGTACCACTCTGCGCTGTAGATGTACTCCAGCACTGGTCAGCTCTGCGTTTGAATGTACGCTTATCCGAGAAGGGGAGGCAGACACACCAATCAAAGTGACGATAGCCGGCCTGGAGCGCCCAGGTGACGGCGCGCGAGGCTTCTTGGTCCGACATCTCGTACACGCCGAGGCCCAGCCTTGGGATGCGATTGCCATCGGACAGTGTGGCGTACGAGCCAAAGTGTAGCTTGTCCGTTGCATCGTTAGCCGGCATGTTGTTTGCGACTCGCCGAGTTGTGGTGGGGTGGAGCTGCAGCTGCAAGACGTGGCCCGAGCTCGAGGTGGGATTTGGCGCCCAAACCTCCACACAAGATAACTGCACTCTGCCGAGAGGCTTCGGTGCATCCTGCAACGCTACAAGCAGCTTCTTTCCATCCGACTTCCGGAGGGTGGTACAGCGTAACAACGGCAAGAGCGGACGTGGATGGGCACGGCACATGCAAGTTTCGCTGCACAACTCTAAATGTGCGCTGTCGGCAAGTCTCCGGTGGGACAGCGACTTCCCCACAAACCTCCGGACGAGTGGACGGGCGCTTGCACAGCGCGTCGAAGCAAGAGCACCGACAAAGCTCCGGACGCGTGGGCGGGCTGTTGTCCTCAGCCCCGCGCATGGGACCCAATTGGCCGGTGCAGGCGCAAGTGTGCTCTGAGCCGTCGGATGAAGTCTCGAGCGGGAGGAAAAGGCTGCGGCGGGCGCCGCACAATAGGACAGCGTCGAAACGCGCGCGCCTACTTGCTTAGCTCAAATCCGGTGCCGCGTATCGCGCAAAGAGTAAGCCATCCAACACGGCCAACAAAATCCAACTTTTCCGAAATTCAAGCGCCGACGAGGCAGAGAAAGCAGTCGGCAACGTGCGCAGTCTGAGGAAAGCTCCTATTATCTTTGGTTTGGACGGCTGCGACTCGCCCGCCAGGCACAGCGGCGCTGCAACTGCTGCTGGCCACTGCCACTGCTGCCTCACAACCGCGCCGCGCGTGGAAGCTCCGAAGCGGCCGTTACTCCTCCACCGCTTACCGGACCTCCTAAAGCGTCGTTCGGCTTTGGTACCTTCGTCCCCCCCCTCCCTCCTCCCATCTCGTTCCTCTCACCCGCTCGGGCTCGTCACCTATAATAGCGTCCCCACATCCCTATCAGCCAGCTCGAATTCCCATACACCATCCTCCAACGCTCCTCAGTCTATACCCGCTTACCAACGCCACACCAATCGCTCGGAAGATTCCGGCCATCTCCTCTACACTCGCCATGGCGGCCAGAACGCCAGCACGAGAGGCTGCGGCAGCCAAGATCAAGGACATCTCCTCAGCCGTCGCATCATCATCCTCCAGCAAAGCCGGCCGCTCGTCGTTGAACGAAGAAGGCCTCGTCCTCTCCGCTCTGCGCATGCTCGCCACCTTTGACAATGCCAAGAATGCGCTCTTCGCCTTGGTCGTCTACCGCTACTCCACCCGCCTCCTCCGCCACCTCAAGGTCTACGGCGTCTCCGAAAGCCTTTTCCAGCTCTACCGTCTCATCTCGGCGCGCGCATTTGCGCTCCTCCTCAAGACCCCCGCCGCACGCCGCAAGGTCAAGCGCGAGCTCGACTCGGCCATCGCAGAGGTCGAGGCAAAGATCGTGCCGCGTCCAAAGCATCTCGAGATCCACCGCCAGCTGCCCCAGCTCGGCAAGGAGAACGACTGGATCCGCGGCGAGATGGCAAAGCTACAGACCATGGAGGCCGGCGTAGACGCAAAGATCGTCGATGCAGAGTGGCAGAACCGCGACGGTCAGATGGTCTGGAAGGGCGGCAAGGTCTCCGGCGCCGTCTACCACGGCGGTGACGACCTCTCCGAGCTCCTCGCCGACTCGATCAAGCAGTTCCTCGTGTCCAACCCGCTGCATCCCGACGTATTCCCCGGTGTGCGCAAGATGGAGGCCGAGATCGTTTCCATGGTGCTCCGCATGTACAATGCGCCCGCGTCCGCAGTTGGCGCTACCTCTTCGGGCGGCACCGAGTCCATCCTTCTCTCGTGTCTCGCCATGCGCGAGTGGGCTCGAGCCACCAAGGGCATCACCGAGCCCGAACTCATCATCGGCGTGTCGGCGCACGCTGCCTTTGACAAGGCCGGCACCTACTTTGGCATCAAGGTGCACCACATCCCCGTCGATCCCATCACGCGCAAGGTCAACGTCGGCCGCGTCGCGCGCGCCATCAACCGCAACACCATCGGCCTCGTCGGATCCGCACCCAACTTCCCCGACGGCATCATCGACGACATTCCCAACCTCGCCAAGCTCGCCAAGCGGCACAACATCCTGCTGCACGTAGACTGCTGTCTCGGCTCCTTCCTCGTGCCCTTCCTCGACAAGGCTGGTTTCGACACGGAGCCGTTCGACTTTCGTCTGGATGGCGTCACCTCGATCTCGTGCGACACGCACAAGTACGGCTTTGGCCCCAAGGGGCTTTCCACCATCCTGTACCGCAGCGCAGAGCTGCGCAGGTTCCAGTACTACGTCAAGACCGACTGGCCCGGTGGAGTGTATGCCACCCCGACGCTTTCGGGCTCGCGTCCGGGCTCGCTCATCGCAGGTACCTGGGCGGCCATGATGAAGCTCGGCGAGTCGGGCTATGTGCAGGCGTGCCGCGACATTGTGGGCGCTGCCAAGGAGATCCAGACGCGCATCGAGCGCGAGACCCCCGAGCTCTTTGTGCTCGGCAAACCCATCGTGTCGGTGATTGCGTTTGGATCGGCGGCGCAGAACGTGTCGATCTACGATGTCGGCGACCACATGTCCAAGAAGGGCTGGCATATGAACGGTCTTGGCGGCGACGTGCCTGCGATCCACATTGCCGTTACGCGGCTGACCATCCCGGTGGTCGACGAGTTTGTGGCCGACCTCAAACAGGCAGTGGCCAAGGCGAGGTCCGTGTTCAGCGGCGATAAGGGGTCTATGGCCACGCTCTATGGGTTGGGATCGGGTGTGTCGGCTACTGCCATTGTGGGTCAGCTCGCGACGAGGTTCATCGACACTCTCTACCTCATCTAGAAGCGCAGCGTAGATAGGGTGCAGGACATTGTATTCGATTGCCTTGGCTAGCGTGTTTGTGATGTGCATGTGGGAGATTCGTCGGCGCAGGCGAGGAGAGCGCACGAGGACCGAGGTGTTGGGCACGCTAGTGTGGACATGGCAAAGGAGAGCAACCAACTGAGGCCAAGGCTAGCACATGAGGTCGTCGCTGTCTTGCGGTACGGCGTATGTAGCGAATTTGATGGTCTTGGTAGACTTGGACTTAGAGCTCCTTGTGGTCAACGTACCAGGGGATTTGTCTGATCTGGTCGATGAACTCGCCCAGGGGCTTGTCGACGTGGTAGCGCACCGTGATTTCGTGGTAGTCGCGATCCTGATGCCAGCCATCGACGTATCCGACACGGCTGTCTTCGTGCAGATCAGCAAGCCAGGAAACTACATCGTCGTTGGGAACCGACCAGCGCACCTCGATCGTAGGCAGCGTAGGAATCTCGTCAGTCGTCATCGTAGGCAACTTTCCAGAGGGCGTAAGAGAGTTGGATGAGGAGCTGGAGTCAAGTCGTACCAACCTGGTCGTCTTATATCTCAACACATGCTCCGTCCAGGACTCAGCACAAAGCTGAGGTGGACGTGTGACGACGTGCGCAATGCGCAAACACCCGCTGTCCCCACCCGCTTTTAAGGTTGGCGCAACGCACAAAGCTTGCATCCGCTTTTCCAAGCCGGCCATCAACGGAAGCATGGACAATGCCAGCGCGTCACGATGCGCGATGCACTGCATTGCGCAAACCTGCCCCTCCTCCGCCTGCACACGGCCATCACAACCTGTTCTCGCACGCGCAAACTTTGTATGCAAAGTGGGTGCGAGTCTGTCTGTGTGTGTGGTGTGTGTGTGACTGGTATGATGAGGTGTGCGGTATTCTAACAACGCGGAAACAAGCAAGAAGCGACTAAAGCCGAAAGACTGTATCAACAAAAAGGAGGGGGGAAAAGAGGTCCTAGCCAAGATGGGCGCCCGGGGTGCAAAAAAAGGGAGATGGTATTGAAGATGCCAAAATGCCGTGAGGATGCTCAGAGAAGACCGCAGTCGCGCAGGTTGACCTGGATGATAATGTCGTTGACCGCCGACATGACAAACTTGATCTGGGAGGTGTCGGTGGCGCAGGTGAAGTGGGTGTAGATGGTCTTTGCGTCGCTCTGGTTGAGGCTGACGAATCGGTTGACAATGTACTCGCACGCTGCATTGTAGTCGGCACCACCGGTGTAGTCGCTGAAGTAGTCGGCCATGGGCGAGATGGGGAGCTTCTGCTTGAAGAGGTCGATCTTGTTGAGGAAGAGGATGATGGACGTCTTGACAAACCAGCGCGAGTTGCAGATGGAGTCGAAGAGCGTGAGCGCCTCCTGCATGCGGTTGACGTTTTCGTCTTCGTAGAGCAGCTGGTCGTACTCGGAGATGGCCACGAGGAAGATGATGGCGGTGACGTTTTCAAAGCAGTGGATCCACTTTTTGCGCTCGGAGCGCTGGCCTCCGACGTCGAAGAGCTTGTAGTTGAGCTCGCCGATCTGGAAGTGGGTCTCGGTGATGCCGGTGGTCTTGACGCGCGAGCGTAGCACGTCCTGGTCGGTGGGGAGGTATTGGGGCTGTGCCATGCGGTGGATCGAGTCAAAGTAGTACTTTGCCGAGTCGTTGAGCTGGTATTCGCGGCTGCGGCTGAAGCAGGCCTGGACGCCGGCGTCCTGCCAGAGGCCGTGGATGGCGTCGGCGACGTCGGCGGGGAGCACGTCGGACTCGATGCTGGGCGAGAGGCCGAGAATGACCTCTGCGCGCGGAGCGTTGGAGGCGTCTGCGAGCGGGATGTCGAGTCGCTCCATGGCGTCGAGCATGACGCGCATTGACTGCACGGTGTTGGAGAAGATGATCTCCTTGTAGGATAGGCGCTCGTCTTGCGAGTAGGAACCGTGGTTGATGAGCTTCATCTGCTTGAGGATGGTGGACTTGCCCGACTCTCCTGCGCCGAGGAGGAGCATCTTGATCTCGTTCTTTTGGGCGAGGCGGTCCTTTTTGAGCTGCGCCTCGATGGCGTCGTTACGCGCCTGCCCCTCCTTGTCGACCTTGGAAGCGCCGCAACCCATGTTGGCGATTGGTTATGTGGGGAGAGATGAGGGAGAGGAAGGCGCGCAACCAAATGATGGATCCGGCGTGATGGATGCGGATGCGGATGCGGATGCGGATGCGATGGGCCAGAACAAAGGGGCCGTGAAAGTGAGCGTGAGGACGCGAGCGAGTCGGTGTGAAGGTGGCCGGGTGTATATGTGAGCGATGCAAGTGCCGTTGGTGGTGTGGATGCGCCCGAATCGAAGCGGAGCTGGTGGGGCGGGTGGGCGAGTTGTTTCGGCGGGTGGAGAGGATGAGGAGTGAGGAAAAGAGAGCAGGAGTGATCAAAGGATGGCGAGCGAGTGGATGGAGCAGCGAGGGCGAAGGAGCATTGCCGACGGAGCGGGCGGGGAAGCGAGACAGACAGACAGACAGAGAGAGAGCGAGGCCGGGACGGAGCGGCGCGGTGTGCGGTGCGGTGCGGTGCGCGACAAGTGTGAAGGCTGAGCGAGGAAAGAGAAAAAGGGCGATTGAACAATGGCAGCCAGGCGTACCGTCGCTTTGCTGCTTCTGCCTTCTCGTCAAGTTATGGCAGGAAAGAAGGGCGGCCTGCAGCTTCAGCTTCAGCAACGCACTCACAAAGGGCAGCCCAGACCCTCCCTCACTCGAGTCGCGCCGCGCACTGGCCCTTCGCGCAGAAAAGAGGCGCACCACTCACGCACACCGGCGCGCAGAATTCCAGACCCGGCTCGCAGTAAAATAAAGAGCTCTCTGCTTCTTCCAGCTCGAGGCGCGTGCGCACTGGGCAATGCGCAATGGGCAATGGGCAACTGGGCGCTGTCCACCCTGGCTACTACAGCTCGTTGGCTCGCTCGCCTTGGCCTGGGCCTTGCAGCAGTGCATACACGCAATGGCCTCGCTCCATGCATTCGAATCGCCAGTTCAAGCAGCGGTACAGCGCACTCCGGGCGAGACGGGAGAGGTGCCGATGGGGAATGCACCGTTCGGCCGCGCCGAAGCATGACAAGCCTAGCGGCGGGTGGCGGCCTCATCTGGCATCATTTGCGACGTTGTCACCCGCATGCACATCGGCTTTCCCGCCGCTCCCGTGGCGAGGCAGCGGATGGATGGATGGCAAGGCAGAGGCTCGAAAATGACTCCCTGCCCCCTCATTTTTGGTTTTAGAGTTTGAAATGGAATCGCGCTTCACTCCCGTCTCGGTTGCTGCGCAGAGAGCGAGAGAGAGACAGAGCCCTTCGCTCGCTCGCTGAAACATTCGAGAGCAGAGTCGAGACCATCACGAGCCAAGTCGCTCAGCCTCTCACCTCTCCGGCCGGTACAGCAGCCCCGCACCCATGCCTCTCTCCCGTCCAGGGCCAAACCACTGCCGCTACTGTAGTGTGGTGCCGCTGCGCCGCGTTTCACTTTCTGAGTTGGCATCCGCGCATTCGCAAGGCAGCCAGCCGCTTCCACCGCCTGCATGCAACGGCGACCCAATCGCGCTTTCGGGCCTGCCGAGCCTGCTTGCATTCGCGTTCCATGCAAGGGGCGCTCAAGCGTATAATGTTACATTTGGCCTCTAACATGCTTGGCTGTTGCAAACAGCGAATCAGACTCCCGATAGGCGATCGCTTGCACGTATGTCTGCCATCTGCAGTCCTTTCCTCGCCCTTTCCGCTCCGAAAGCTAGACCGCCAACGGCATCCGATAAGCACGCCACGTCATGCCTCGAACGGAATGTGGGTTGCCGTCCAGGGGAGGAGGGTCATCGCGATAAGCACGAGGAATGTCTCTGAAATTCCAGCGGCAGGTGCACACACGCACGCGATCGGGCCTCGGTCGAGCTCGAGCCAGCCAATCAGTCGGATCTGCGCCAGACGACGGACGTGTCGAGCTCAAAAATTGGCGCACGCTTCAGCCTCGGTTGGATCGACATCGGGTCCAACACACCTTCTTGCCTCCTTCCCGCTCTCCACATCCACTCCAACCATGCCGCCCAAGGTCGACGTCAACGACCCAGAGAATGCGAGGCTTCTCAAGCTCTTCGAATCCCTCAACCTGAGCGGAAACAGAGCCATCGAGACCCTCACAAATCCTAAACACACCGCCGCCCTCGAAAGCGTCATCACAGACAACCAGCTCGCCTCCAAGCCCATCGACCCAAAGGCTTCGGCGCTCATCGTCTCCGCATCCACAGGAAAGGACGCCTCGAACAAGTCTAGCAGAGACTATGTCGTCTCGCGCATCCTCGACGCCAGTCTCACCTCCTCCGATCAGCTCAATGCCGCCTACAAGTTCCTCGCCAACACCACCGGTCAACCAGACAAGGCCGCCTTCGATGCGGAATGCGGTGTCGGTAAGTTGTCATGCCCTCGCTACATTGCAGCAGCAGTCTTGCAAGATGAGATCCAAAAACCAAAACGCATGTATTAGAGCCGAAAGGAGCCTCGTCTCCCCATGGCATGCAGTTTCTATTCTATCTGACCAATCTCGCTGCTGCTCAATGTCGGCACTCGTCTCGTCGAAAAACATAGCTCGATGCTGACACTTTTCGCACATCGTGTCTCTGCAATTCCGGCAACAGGCGTCGTCGTGACCCCAGACCAATGTCGCTCCGCGGTGGAAGCGTACGTCGCATCTCACAGAGCCGAGCTCGACCCTGTCGATGGGTGGCCAAAGCTCGGTTCCATCTTGGCAGGCATCAAGGCCACACCTGAAATGCGCTGGGCGAGCGCCGTCGACGTCAAGGGCGCCGTAGACGCAGTGCTCCTCGCCACATACGGTCCCAAGAAGGCCGCGCCACCAAAGGAAAAGAAGAAGCCCGCCGCAGCAGCATCTGCAGCCGATGCCAAAAAGGAGGCGGCACCCACCGGCCCCGTCGACCCAGACGCCATGTTCAAGGAGGGCTTCCTCGCCAACCTCCACAAGCCCGGCGAGAACCCTCAGATCAAGCCCGAACTCAAACAGCAGCACCTCGCAGCCACAAAGGGCATGGTCATGACGCGATTCCCACCAGAACCCAACGGATTCCTCCACATCGGTCACAGCAAGGCCATCGCCGTCAACTTTGGCTTTGCTCGCCACCACGGCGGCCTCTGCTACCTCCGCTACGACGACACCAACCCCGAAGCCGAGGAGGAAAAGTACTTTACCAGCATCCTCGAAACCGTCCGCTGGCTCGGCTTCGAACCCTTCAAGGTCACCTACTCGAGCGACTACTTCCAGAGGCTCTACGAGCTCGCCGTCGAGCTCATCAAGCGCGGAAAGGCCTACGTCGACCACTCGACGCCAGAAGAGATCAAGGAGCAGCGTGGCGGTCCCGAGCGCGGTCCCCGCAAGCCCTCGCGCTTCCGCGACCGTCCCATCGAGGAGTCGCTCCAGGACTTTGAAGACATGAAGAACGGCAAGTACCCGCCCGGCAAGGTCACGCTCCGCATGAAGCAGGACATCGAGAACGGCAACCCGCAGATGTGGGACCTCATCGCCTACCGTGTGCTCGAGGCCTCGCATCACCGCACGGGCAAGGACTGGTGCATCTACCCGACCTACGACTTTACCCACTGTCTCGTCGATAGCTTTGAAAACATCAGCCACTCGCTCTGCACCACCGAGTTCATCCTCTCGCGCGAGTCGTACGAGTGGCTCTGCGACGCACTCGAGGTGTACAAGCCGCGCCAGTCCGAGTACGGCCGTCTGGCGCTCCAGGGCACCGTCATGTCCAAGCGCAAGATCCTCAAGCTCGTCAAGGAGCGCTACATCGAGGACTGGGACGACCCGCGCATGTTTACGCTCATCGCCCTCCGCCGCCGCGGTGTGCCGCCAGGCGCCATCCTCTCGTTCGTCAGCGCGCTCGGCGTCACCACCGCCAAGTCCACCATCCAGATCAGCCGCTTCGATCAGGCCGTGCGCCAGTACCTCGAGTTCTCGACGCCACGCCTCATGATGGTGCTCAACCCGCTCAAGGTGACCATCGAAAATCTGCCCGAGGACCACTACCAGCAGCTCGAGAAGCCGCTGCATCCCAAGGCGCCCGAGATGGGCACCAACAAGATGCCCTTCACGCGCACCGTCTACATCGACGCCTCCGACTTCCGCACCGAGGACAGCAAGGACTACTTCCGCCTCGCGCCGGGCAAGACGGTGGGCCTGCTCCAGGTGCCCTACCCCATCACCGCCACGTCGTTCAAGACCAACGACAAGGGCGAGCCCATCGAGGTGATCGCCACGTACGGCGACGCCAGCACGCCCAAGCCTAAGACGTACATCCAGTGGGTCGCCGAGCACGCGCCGTCCAACAGTCCCGTCAAGGTGGACGAGACGCGCATCTTCCATCAGCTCTTCACCTCGGACGACCCGGCGGCCGAGGACAACTTCCTGGACCATGTCAACCCGGACTCGCTCGAGATTGTGCGCGGTGCGATGGTCGAGGTGGGCTTCTGGGACGTAGCCAAGCGCAGCATCGAGCAGGCGCGCATCGAGGCGGCCGAGCGCACCAGCAAGGCCGAGGCGGACGCCGCCAAGGCGCGGAGCGAGACGCAGACGCCCGAGGTCAAGGAGGCCGGTGCTGGAGCCCCGGCGCGCACCGCCGAGCAGCTCGTGGGCAAAGAGCTCGTCCGCTTCCAGGGCATGCGCACCGCCTACTTTGCGCTCGACCGTCTCAGCGGCGACCTGGGCCTGTTCGGAGACAAGGCGCCCGGCGGCTCGATCGTGCTCAACCGCATCGTCAGTCTCAAGGAGGACGCCAAGAAGGACGACAAGAAGACGCCAGCGCCATCAGCGGCCAAGCCCAAGAAGAACGCAAAGTGATTCTCGCACAGCGGTAGAGTGATGCAATGCCAGATGCCTGTGCAAATCTGGTTCCTGCAGGTCGAGTTGCGATCGCTTTAGCTCAGCGTGAATCTCGGGTCGCATCGAGAACAGACACAGAGGTGAGAAGACTCTAAGAGCGACGAGGTTGCGGGGCGAGAATATCTTGTACAAGCAGGCGTTTTGAGCCTTTTGGAAAGTGTTTGAGGGGATCATGACGACTTTGCGAGTTGCGAGGTTCCGTACTCTGCTCGGTAAGCGACCATCTGTGCGATCTTGTCGCCGTAGCGCTCGTTGTCTCGGTTCATGAACTCGATGATCTGGTCGAGGGTGACGACGGAGAAGACGGTGGTGTTGTACCTCTTCTCGACCTCTGTGATGGCGGAAGTGGTACCGGGAACGCCGTCCTTCTGCGACTTTTCCTGGCGATCGAGTGCAATGACCACACCGGCCAGTTCAGCGGCTGGTTGAGAAGCCAAGATGTCCATGGCCTCGTTGATGGCAGTGCCTGCGGTGATGACATCGTCGAGGATGAGCACACGGCCCTTGAGCTCGGCACCCACCAGCGATCCACCCTCTCCGTGCGTCTTGGCTTCCTTCCTGTTGAAGCAGAATCCGACGTCGATCCCGTGGTTCAGCTGCAGCGCCATGGCCGTAGCAGCAGCAAGAGGGATCCCCTTGTAGGCAGGACCAAAGAGCACATCGAACTTGACGCCCGACTCGACAATACGCTTGGCATAACACTCGGCCACCTTGGCAACCTTGGCACCCGTGTTGAACAGGCCGGCATTGAAGAAGTACGGACTCAATCGACCGGACTTGAGCGTGTACGGTCCGTCGAACTTGAGGATAGCGCTGTCGAGCGCAAGCTGGATGTATTCGGACTGGTATGCGGCGAGCTCAACCTTGACTGCGGGGGCGGTGGAACCGTTGGCGCTGGCCAGGGCCGCACGCGCGGCATCCTCGGCATCCGATTGCTGCATCTCGGCGTCCTTGGCTGCCTTGGTCGCCTTCTTGGATGGCTGCGACGAGAACTGTCGTCCACCGTCGGCACTCGAAAGATCCGTGTCAAAGATGCGGAACGAAAGCGCGCTGTGGAAAGAAAAAAATTTGTGACATGGTCAGTTCGCGCCGCCTCTCAAATGTTCGGAACTCGGCAATCGTGCGTGCAACTTACCTCTTCTCCTGCTTGTCGAGCATGAGGTTGACGCTGTTGACGGCCCTCCAGATGGGGAAGCTGAGTTTGTAGTCGAGCTTCCTGCCCTCGTGCTCGGAGGGCAGCACGTCGATCACGTAGCTGCCCATCTTCTTGCTCTTGAGCAGCTCGCCGAACTCGCCAGGCACGTTGTCGAGGATGGGGTAGTGGCCGGCAATCAGGAAGGCGAGATCCTTGAGGTGCGCCTTGAGCACGGCGCGCTCCTCGATGTGCGGGCGGATGGACAAGAGACCGTCCGAGATGATCCTCCACTTGCACTCGAGCGTGCCGTCGCGGCCGGCGTCCTGGCGGCCGAGACTCTTGATGCCGCAGTTGATGAGTCGGAGCGTGATGGGGTTCATGTGCGGGTGGTTGCCGCGGCCGGGACCGCCGCCGGTGATGACGGCTCGCGCGGTGGTGGAGGTGAGGTAGACGGACCGCAGAGGCTGGTGATCCTCGTTGCGCACCAGCAGGTTGCGCAGCGGGAACGTGTCCTTGAGGTCAAAGAACTTCTTGCACGCCTGCACCTGGTCGTTCGAGGGAGGGATGTATGCAAATGGATCCTCCTTGTAAGGCAGACCGCCTGGAACGCCGTGGCCATCAGCGACTGCCTTCTGCTGTGCCGCCTTGCGCGCGCGATCCGCAGCATGCTTGTCCTCCTTGACGCTGTCGCCCGAAACGGCCTCGGTGGCATCGGCTGCGGAAGCATCGAGGGGCGTCGAGACACCCGAGCCGTCGTCCTCCTTGAGCTTCTTGGCGGCTGGCTGGGCACCGTCTGCGTCGGCCTCGGGCGAGAGCTCGCGCTTGACGGCGTTGGTGAGCGACTCGCCGTCGGGTCGGTGGGCGTCGAGGTGGTCCATGGCACGGATCATGCCGGCGGCCATGCCCTCGTCGTTCGGGTTGCCGACCTTCTCGAGGAGGGCGACGAAGAAGCCGCCGGTGTCCTGGAGGTGCGGGTAGAGGCGCATACAGTGCTGGGTGCCGAGCTGCTCCTCGTCGCCCTGGGGCCAGATGGACTTGGGCGTGCGCGAGGCGAGGTCGGCATCGAGCTCGTTGAGCTGGTCCCAGTTGTCGATCCAGGCGATCTCGGGCAGACGGTCGCGGTACTCTGCCGAGCCGATCTCGGGCTCCGGTGCAGCGGGAGCGCCACCGTTGGCAGCTTCGTTCTCGGCGTCCTCGACGTCGACGATGGCCTCATCCACTTCGCCCTCGGCATCCTTCATGTCGGCATCGACGATGTCGCCCTCGCCGTCCGCAGCGGCGGCATCGGCGGCAGCCGACTTGGCCGCCTTCTGCTTTGCGTACTTGGACTTGCCAAAGAGGTGGGCGCCACGGCCGGGAGCGGCCCTCCAGGTGGTGAGACCGGGGCGGCGAACGAGCTCGGGCAGACGCGAGCTGCAGTCGACGATGCGCACCTTGCCCTCGAAGCGACGGAGGGCCTCGGCCACGACCGACTCGTTCTCGATGGGGTTCATGGAGCACGTCGAGTAGACGAGACGGCCTCCGTCGCGGAGCTGGTTGAGGCCGCGGATGAGGATCTTGAGCTGGAGCGCATGGAGACCGACGGCGTTGTTGGGCGTCCACTCCTTCCAGATGGGGACGTTCTTGCGGATGGTGCCGTCACCGGAGCAAGGGACGTCGGCCAGGATGCGGTCGTACTGCATGGCAGTCTGGACGACCTCGGCACCCTCGTCGGCACTCTTGTAAGGGACCTGGATGGACTGGTAGTTGGACGCATCGAGGTTGGTGACCAGCAGGTTGGGCGAGGGGAGGCGCTGGGACTGGTGGACGAGCATATGGGCGCGCTTGGTGTCGGAGTCGTTGGCGATGACGAGACCGGTGGGCATGGGGTTGTAGGTGCTGGGGCCCGAGGTGAAGGGCGAGTGGAGCGACTCGATGAGCTGTGCGGTCTTGGATCCGGGAGCGGCGCACATGTCGAGGACGAGGTGGTGAGGCTGTACGTCGAGGAAGAGGGGCGGGAGCATGGAGACGGCCTCCTGACGGCTGATGGAGCCGACGTCGGTTTCGTGTACGAGGAACTGGTGGAAGCGCTTGAACTCGGGCGACTTGCGGATGACGGTCTTCTTTGTGTTGAGGTGCCATCCGAGGCCGTCGGGGTACCAGGGCAGCTGCTTGGGTGGGTCTACCTTTTCGCCGTCGAAGGTGACGTTGGAGAGGAAGGGGATGTAGATGTCCTGGAGCGCCTTGAGGAGCTGTGGGGTGGTCTCCTTGCCTGCGGTGAGGCGGAAGGTGGTGGGGAGGGGCGTACGGAGGTAGTCCATGAAGGTGGCCCATTCGGAAGGGTCGAGGATGCCCTGGTCGATGTAGTAAGCCTCGAGACGGGCGTTCTTCTGGTCGCCGTGACTGTAGGACTGCCTGGGAGCACCGTTGTGGCCTCCTCCGCGTCCTCCGCCGCCACGGCCACCTCCACGGCCACGGCCTCCTCCGCCGCGACCACGACCACGACCTCCGCCGCCACGACCGCCTCCGCGGTTTCCTCCTCGAGCCATGCTGTCTAGGGATGTATTGTTGTCGGGAGGGAGGGGAATGTAGGGAGAAAAGGGAAAGGAGCTCTGCAGTCCCGACCAGAATGCAGTGCAGTGAGTGGTGGCAGTAAGTGACGAGGACCGAGCACGAGAAGCTCTTTGCATTCAGGGCCGCGGTAGGCAGGGTCTTGGTAGAGAGAGAGAAAAAAAAAGCCGCTCCACAGCTGCAGCTTCGACCCGCGAACTGCACGAAGAAATTCGAGATTTTCTGGGCGCTTTTTTTTGGATTTCTTCCTGCGCTGTCGAGTTGATGCACGATTCGGAGCCGAAAAGTGCTAAGCGCAGGAGCTCGACTCTGTGGCTCGGCAGCTGTCGAACTCGCGTTGAGCGCGACTGGCTTAGAGAGAGCCGCACCAACCACCCGCTGTTGGCTTGCTTCCCTTCCGCATCGCCGTCAACAACTCGTCGCTCTTTACCTTTGTCGTCCTTTGCGTGCAGCCCAGTTCCAACAGGCGAGACTGCGCTCTCGACTTACTGTCACCGCCTGCACGTGCTGTTCGGCACACGGCATCCACCACTGCGACGACGACGACGACCATGTCGACCATGGCTTCGACTTCGGCCAACGGCGCGGATGCGCTCGACCTCATCCGCTCGGCCATCAAGGATGCATCCAGCCAGGCAGACCCGCTCGCATCCATTCAGCTCCTCGATGACCAGTCGTCGCCCGTACCCTCGGTGCTACAGGCGGCTGTGGTCAAGATCCGTGACATTTCGCTGTCCAAGTCATCCACCACACGCCTAGCGCGTTCGCGAGACGAGCTGGCAGCACGTCTCGCATCTGGCTCGCCACCGGATCCCGACGCGGAGCCTGCGTTCTTCTACAACGTCGAGGCGGTCGTCCTGGCGCTGCAGGCGCGCGACGAGCGTCCCGGTGCATACCTCGCGCAGGCGGCCACAGCCAAAGTGGCCTCGTTCCCCACGCTCGATCGAGCGGCGATCCTCGATTACCTGCTGGGAAAGCGATCGGACTGGGCAGGCGTGGTGAAGATTCGCGATCTTCCGCGCGCAGCTGCCGACGGTGTGTCGGCACCCACCAGCACCAGCGCCGAAGCAGCAGCAACCGCGCCAGGTGCGCAGGGCGTCAAGCGCGCCTACAAGGTCAACAGGGAGGATGTCGAGTATGTGAAGCGCATCCGAAGCCAGTACGAGGTGGTGCTGCGCACGAGGAACGACGCGCTGCGAGGCAACATTGCAGCGCTCGTGGGTGGGGCAGCCGTGTCGCGCGTCGCCGGCTCCAAGGTGGCCGACTTTGAGTCGTTCCGCCGTACGTTTTCGGCCAAGGTGGAAGCGTCGCGCAAGGCGGCTGGCAAGGCGCCACCGCCGTCGGCGGCGCGAGCGGGTGTCTCGGCAGGCGGGCAGGTGCGCAAGCAGCGTGCACAGGACCCGATCGTGGTGCTCTCGAGCTCGCCCACCAGCCTGCTCAACATGTTCAACATCAAGCAGTTTCTCGAGGAGGGCGTGTTTGTGCCGCCAGAAGAGGCGCGTCAGCGCGCACGCGGTGTTGCGGACCTCGTCGTCTCAATCACGAGCCGCGGCGGCAGCACAGCTCCGGGCGCACAGGGCGTCGGCATTGGACGTCGAATCCTGGTGGTGGACAGTGCCGAGGCGGTGGTAAGGCTGGGAAGCTCGAGTGCGGCGACGCCCGGTGCGGATGCATGGAACCGCGTCATCGCCGTGTTTACTACCGGTCAGATGTGGCAGTTCAAGACGTACCGCTGGAACGAGCCGCGCGAGCTCTTCAAGAACGTCATGGGCGTCTACGTGCGCTGGCACAACGAACCCCAAAACCCCAACGTCCGCGACTGGAACGTGATCGAACTCCAGGTGGATCGCACCAAAAGACATACGGACAAGCAGGTGGTCAGCCACTTTTGGCGCCAACTCGAATCCTGGACCCAGCGTCGCAAACCGCATCTGATTAGCTAGCATCGATTGGCCGCCTTCGTTTCTTGTTGCTCTCGTTTCGTATCCAACTACCTCCATGTACTACTACTCACACACATACGAATTCGCACGCTTTTGTGCTCGGACACGCCACAGCTTGTGCGAAAGGTGGAAGGTTGCGATCCAGAGTCCTAGAGTACATGTGTTTTCCATCCAATGGGGACAAGGGTAAAGGCTGGCTAGCGACGAAGGAGACGAATGGATCGGCCGCTGGGGACTGGAGGCGGGCTTGCAGTTTCGGCAGCCATGGTGGAGGAGTCCGGTTTGGAGCGGGATGAGATGCGTGAGGGGCCGACGTCTTCATCTGGCTCGTTTGGCGTCTCGGTGTTTGTCGCCAAGCCTGGTTGTGGTGGCGCTTCATCATCTGCGTTGCCGGGTTGTTTGGAGCGATCGGTGGTGGCGGGGTCGGCGCTGAAGCTGTAGTACTCGCGGCTGTGTTTGTCCACCTGCCAGAGTGCGGTGCTTTCGTCCCACTGTGCACCGCGTTGACGACGCGCCCACACGAGCAGACTGTTCCATCCCGCCGAAGACGTGGCTGCTTTCGACAGCTCTACCGTCTGATCCTCTTGGCGCTCCGTTGAGAGGAACGGTAGCGTGGGAGAGTTGCCCCTCTCACTACGATCCATAGCTCCTTCCTCCCCGCCTGTTTCAGCCTCAGCTACAGTATCTTGTGCAGCAATGGCGGCTGTTACGCTCGTTGCATCCTGTGTGGCAGACACCCCTGCGCTGGTAGTGGCGTTGGCATCCGACAATGTGGCGTTTGCAGATGAAGCGGGATCGGTGGTGACTGATGGCGCGGATGTTCCGACCGTCGCATCGGCAGTCCCGCCTGTTGTTGATGTTGGTGCTGCAGCGCCCTTCTTCGCCTCCTCTTTAGCGCGGATGGATGGCGGAACGTAGCTGTTGGAATAAGGTTCCACCTTGGGCACGCGTATCAACACGTCGCGAGGCGTTGTGCGCACCGCTGGCATCTCGGAAGCTTATCCTCGCCCCACTTCGGCTCGTCCGACAGCGTGCAGCGAAGCCCTGAATCGACGGCCCTGCAACAGAGCGCTGTCAGCAGATCGGTGTGCTGGATTCGCTCTGTGCAGCTGAATGCAACCCGCGGAATGTGAAGGTTGCGCGTGTGCTGCGCGTAGATGAAAGCCACGGTTGTGACGTGGCCGATAGTCGTCAACTGAAATCCGCAAGTGTGAAGGTCCGAAATGTCCAAAAGGCGTTGACAATGCGCAGAAACGAGTGTGGTGCTGAGTGGCGGGTATTGTACAAGCGAGTGCGATTGTCGTCGTCGAGGTATGGTGGATGGCCGCGGGTCGGGATGGCTGCTCCACAAATCCGCTAGCCGCGAGAAAGAGTTGGTGTTTCCCGCTTCGGCGCGCCGCGACGCCCGAATGCAGCCAAAGGCCAGAGCCTGTGCGCAAGATTTCCACTTCAAAGCGCTCTCCGCCAAACCACGCCAAAAATTGGGGCTTCAAAATGCATAGTCGAAAGACCGACGTTCCCAAGGCTCACCTTTGATCTTTGCTCATGCTCGCAATGCCAACCGTGCTGAGACATGCAAACAAGCATGGATCAAGCAAACGTAGCCATTGCCAACCACACTCGCACCAGCAGACGCAGGGTAGAATCAAGATCCAGCATCCGAGGCACCTGAATGATGCGTACTGATGCAGGACGATCTGGACCAGATCCAATGCACGAACTTGCACTGTTGCAGCCACACGAGCACGGGCAAGGTGAGAAGAGCGTGCACTGCACGGCGAGGATATATTGGATGCTTGTTTCAGCTTCAACCCGAGTGGTCACACGTACACGCCAACGGCGTTGAACAGGGCGACGACACCCAAGCCTGCCTGCAGACTTGCGGCGATGCCGACGACGACCTCCTTGACGCTCAGACCCCTCTTTGGTAGTCTGCAACATCACAAAACAAAACCGTCAGCATCACTCCATGCTCGATGCTGCATGTAGGGACAGGACTTACGTTGTAAAGTAGAACGCCGAGAGGAAGAGCGAGAAGAGCGAGACAAACGCGATGTATGGCAGGAGCGCGGTCGGGATGAGCGGCTTGAATGCGGGCGAGTTGGCGTGCAGCTCCTGTTGGCACATTGTATCACCAAAGGTGTGCATCAGAGGCGGCAAGGGATGCATCAAAGCGAACGTCAGACTTGTGCTTCTGATTCGTAGAGGTTTGCGTGCTGGCGTGTACTTACGGCCAATGGCCCTGTATATGATCCTTTGCTCATGGCTGTTGGTGATGCCGTTGGCAATCGATGCGAGTGGTTGGGCGTCGAGTTGCAAAGCGTGCCAAGTCCCTGCATGGCCGTACGGGCAGATCTTCTCGGCTGGTCCAAGCGGCCGCGCCGACGTGGAGACCGGTTAGTCATGCTGATCCAGCCTCACGCGTTTTCGAGCTTGTTACACCGCGCCAATATTCAAATTCGAATGAGCGGCAACTAGTCACATGGGCTGCCGCCGATCTTGGATGACCAGGCACCCACCCGACTTGGCAGGCAGAGTGCACGCGGGCGAGTTGCGGCTGCAACACTCGATCGGAGCAGCCAGGAGCCGAGCCACGAGCAACACCAGCGCGGCCGCGACACTGGGACGCACCGCACCTTGGCCAGGGCAGTTGAAAGTGCACACCATCCGGCATCTGCATTTCGGGATCTGCAGTCTAGCCCGGACTTTCGAAAGTGAATCATCATACACAGCTTTCCGAAGTCGTTTTGTCCTTTGTGTTTTTAGGCACTTGTGCAAGCAAGCGGAAAGCGCAGCAGCAAGTCTTCGCACCGCTTTTGTGGGTTGATTGGATTCGAATGCTACATGCTTGCAAGGCTCACGGTCGAGTTTGCGGGGGAGCGCGGGGAAGGGAAGAACGAATACGAGGCAGCCGTTTTCCAAGCCGCCCAAGGAGGGGTCGGGTGGATCCGGATCCGCAAACACCCGAGCGCGAAATTCGGCGTAGCGCCGTCGATGGGTGGAGGCCAAACCCTTTCGACCTCGCATGCGTCACACCCTCGGACCCACGCCGACTGGGCTTTGCTCTCGAGCCTGCCTCCGACTAGCCTTGGTGCGAATCTAGCGTCTCACTGATACGTAGGCTTTGCCGGCACATAGGCACGAGCTAGTGCAGCTCGACCTGAAATGCGGTGCTAAGGGAGCGAGCACTCGTGAGCGTGGTCGAGACTCGGAAAGCGGGCAGGGCTTCTGAAGATGTCATGCAAGTCCGAGGGTTGGCCTGTGGACGCGGGCTGCATGCAGACGATCCGAACCGGACACGACTTGCGGAGACGGAGCGACCTCCGTCCGCCCCTGTTGCTTCGAGGCGCTCAATCCCGCTCGGATCGTCTAGCTCTTGCGTTGGTCCGTGATGCTCCGGCCGCCGCTTCAGCATCACAGCCCGCAAGCTCCCAAGACGCAAGTGTTGCAAAGACATATATACAACCCGAACCACCCGTCGTATCCTCTTCCTTCCTCACCACCCTTCCTTCGCTTTGCGTACATCTCCTCCTTTGCATCGCTTCTCATTCCCAAGCTTTGCCTTGATCCTACCACCACCACTCTTGTCGTGACCCGCTTCCACACAACACCAGGACATTTCCTCTAGGTAAGTCTTCTGCTCGTTGTTCATGCTCGTACTCGTTCCAGATGTGGCTTTGGTGGTGATGCCGACGATGCGGGTAGTCTTGGCTAGTGCTCGCCGCGCACAAGGCAGAGGTCGTCAATGCTGCGAGCCGCCATCGACGGGGACCACCATCTGGTGTTCGTGCTTGATGGGCTCGCGGCTATGACGGCTTCGACTTGTGCAGCTCCAAGCCGACTGCCACGGAGAGATCCGCAATGTGGGGTAGCACCCGCCAGTTGCTGCCTCGCTTCAGCCGGGCTCGATTGGCAATGCAGCCTCGCTCGCTCGCCCAGCTCTGGCAAAATTGGGATTTTTTTTATTATTTCCCAATTTTCCCAGCGGCCGCGCGATCGAGGCGCTGTTAGTGCGATGCGCTGCGACCATTTCCGATCTGCCCCGCCCAACTCGGCTTGGAGTTGGATTTTCCACTTCCTCTCCGCCAGGCTGGGATTCACAGGCCAACACGCCCGCCCGCTCTCTCTCACTCCGATGCCTCTGGTTTCAATTCGGCTTCTGCCTAGCCGCTGTCTGCCGGTGCCTTTGCCCTTAGCCTTGCCCTTGCCCTGCCTGCCTGCTGCTGGTTCCCCTGCCGCTGGTGCCGCTGCCCCTGCCAAGACCCGCAGCCACGGCGCGGGCCTCGTCGAAGCAGTTGAATCATGCTGCTCGTGTGTGTCATGCAGGGCGGTCTGCGTCGGGCGATCAGGTGATGGCCTGGGCGGCACGATTCGGCAGAACAATAGGCCTCCAGTGCTAGTTGCAAGCCAGGTTGGCCTCTGCGTCATGGTCCATGCTTTCACGGTCCCGCGCCTGTCTGTCCGCCCGTCGCTACTATATGCGCACATCGTCGTAGTCGTCGTCGTCGGCGTCGCCGTCGCCGTCGCCATCGTCGCCATGCATGCTCGTCGTCAGCCTGGCTTGCAGATCGTCGGCGTCGGACACCATCGGGGGCAGGCCATGGCAGGACAGGGCAGTCTCGGGCGGGAACAAATCAGCCGGCTTGCATTGCATGCGTGTCACGGGTTCATGAGTTCTAGCCATCCACCGACCGGCTCGGTCTGCATGCACCTCTTCGCCGTGACAAGCTTTGATTGAATGCGGACAAAGACACTGACTTTCCTCCCACTCTTTCCACCTGCTGTTGCCCCGCCTTCTTCCGCCTCTGCCTCTCTTTTTGCCGCCTCTCCGCCTCCACCCAATTGTGCTTTCCTCTCGCGTCCCACCAATTTCCCCCCCTCTCTGCCACTGCGCTTCCGTTTGCTGCCGACTCGCACATCCGACGCAACACTCGCCCCTTCTTCATCTGGGCCTCGTGCAACCTCACTCTTTCCCTCTCCCATCACACCACCTCGACGTCTATCTAGACACTCTCCATCGCCATCGCCATTGCCAACCCAGCCTCGTCGCTCTCTCGCCCAACATGACTTCGCCAGGAAACCACCACGATGAGCTGCCCACTCACAACCCGCACTACTCGCTGCTCGGCTCGGATCTCAAGCTCTTCTCCGATGCCGGCTTCGACATGGACAAGATCCACCTCAAGCGCAACGCTTCCGTAGCCCAGCTGTACGAGGACGCCATCAAGAAGGAGGGCGCCGTCATCTCGTCCGCCGGTGCGCTCATCAACTACTCGGGCAAGAAGACCGGCCGTTCGCCCAAGGACAAGCGCATCGTCTACGAAGAGACCTCCAAGGACCACGTCTGGTGGGGCCCCGTCAACATCAAGATGGACGAGCACACGTTCGAGATCAACCGCGAGCGTGCCATCGACTACCTCAACACGCGCGACGACATCTACGTCTTTGACGGCTTCGCCGGCTGGGACCCCAAGTACCGCATCAAGGTCCGCATCATCTGCGGCCGTGCCTACCACGCGCTCTTCATGCACAACATGCTCATCCGCCCTACCCAGGAGGAGCTCGAGCACTTTGGCGAGCCCGACTTTATCATCTACAACGCCGGCCAGTTCCCCGCCAACCGCTTCACCGCCGGCATGACGTCCACCACCTCGGTCGAGGTCAACTTCAAGCGCCACGAGATGGTCATCCTCGGCACCGAGTACGCCGGTGAGATGAAGAAGGGCATCTTCTCGGTCATGCACTACCTCATGCCCGTCAAGTACAACCAGCTCTCGCTCCACTCGTCCGCCAACGAGGGCCCCGACGGTGATGTCTCGCTCTTCTTCGGTCTCTCGGGCACGGGCAAGACCACGCTCTCGGCCGACCCCAAGCGTGCGCTCATCGGCGACGATGAGCACGTGTGGTCGGACGAGGGTGTGTTCAACATCGAGGGTGGTTGCTACGCCAAGTGCATCGGCCTCTCTGCCTCCAAGGAGCCCGAGATCTTCAACGCGGTGCGCTTCGGCGCCGTGCTCGAGAATGTCGTGTACGACAAGAACACGCGCGAGGTCGACTACGACGACGCCATCATCACCGAGAACACGCGCTGCTCGTACCCCATCGAGTTTATCCCCAACGCCAAGATCCCCTGCATGGCCAACACGCCGCCCAAGAACATCATCTTCCTCACCTGCGACGCCTACGGTGTGCTGCCGCCCGTCTCGAAGCTCGACGCCAACCAGGCGCAGTACCACTTCATCTCGGGTTACACCTCCAAGACGCCCGGTACCGAGGACGGCATCCAGGAGCCGTCGCCCACCTTCTCCACGTGCTACGGCCAGCCCTTCATCGTGCTGCACCCGCGCGTGTACGCCAAGATGCTTGCGGAGCGCATGGAGAAGCACAAGGCGGACGTCTGGCTCGTCAACACCGGCTGGGCCGGCGGCAAGTTTGGTGTGGGCCAGCGCTGCCCGCTCAAGTACACGCGAAAGATCATCGACGCCATCCACGACGGCTCGCTCGCCAAGGCGAGCTTCGAGAAGTTTGGCGTGTTCAACCTGCAGATCCCCACGGCCATCGAGGGTGTGCCCGAGACGCTGCTCAACCCCGCCACCTCGTGGCCAGACAAGAGCGCGTTCAAGCACGAGCTCAACAAGCTCGCCGACATGTTCAGCACCAACTTTGAAAAGTACGCCAACGACGTCTCGGCCGAGGTCGCTGCTGCCGGTCCCAAGGCCTAAGGCAGGGGCGGGCGCACGGCGATGCCGACAACATCCTGCATTATTCTTCTGCCATATACATGATTCCGAACAAACCAGACTTGCAAAGCGTGCGTGTGTTGATATGGTGGAGCTCGACGATACGGGAAAATGTTGCTGTATGTGAGATCGGCAGAGTGGGGGGCTCGGTCGGGTGGGGGAAAAGGCCGTTCGGGTATTCCGGACATCAAGGCCCGTTGAAGCGAACCGAGGGGAAAAGCCCCGCATTTTGGCACACGGAAGGTCCGGCTTCTTGGCGGAGCTCCGCTCTCACTCTCTCGGTTGGCCCGTGTTGGAGGCAGGAAGCCTCCCAACCGGCTCCACCGCTCGTGCCTCGTTGTCCCTCCTCTTGCTTCCGACACCAACACCAACACTACTCTCAATCTCACTCTCACTGCTTCGCAGCGCAACCTAGCGCTTCCTCTTCTCACCCGCCCTCTTCTCCTTCACAACTGGGCCTGGCAAGCAATGTCCAACGGCAGCATGGTGCAGGGCAAGCTCATGTGGGAGCCCAAGGACGTGGCGTCCACCTCCATGGATGCCTTCCGGCGCACCGTCAACCAGCGCTTTGGCCTCGACCTCAAGACGTACGACGAACTTTGGCGCTGGTCGTGCGACAACCTGGACGCCTTCTGGTCCACCGTCTGGGACGAGACGCACGTCGTTGCATCGGTCAAGGCGCAGCGGGCCATTGCGGATGATGCGCCCATCTATCCGCCGCCACGCTGGTTCGAAGGTGCGCGCCTCAACTTTTCCGAGAACCTGCTGCGACACGGTGCGCCCGACGCGGCCGAAGAGGCGGCGTCGCGCACGGCGGTGATCCAGTCCACCGAGGTCGACACCACCACAGGTGAGCTCGACGAGTCCTCCATCACGTACCGCGAGCTGTATGTTTTAGTCGCGCGGGCAGCCGGCGCCATGCGCGCCCGTGGCATCAGCGTCAACGACTGCGTCGCCTCGTACTCGGCCAACAACATCGAGAATCTCGTGGCGTTCCTGGCAGCGTCGTCCATCGGTGCCGTGTGGACGAGCGCAGCCGCCGACTTTGGACCCGAGGGCGTGCTGGAGCGTCTGCGCACCGTGCGTCCCAAGCTGCTGCTCAGCGTCAATGCGGTGCGCTACAACGGCAAGGTGCACGACCATCTCCAGAAGCTCCAGAGCGTCGTCGATGGCCTCGAGGCAGACAGGAAGCCCGAAGAGCAGAAACTCGAGTCGGTCATCGTCGTGCCGTACGTCCGATCGCATCCCGTCCCGGAGCACAGCGCTACTAGTCAGAACGGCTCGCAGGGAACGGCCTGGACGAGCTGGGAGAGCTTGCTGCAGGAAGGCGAAGCGAATGCGCACAAGCCGATCGCGTTTCAGCAGCTCGACTTCAACCATCCGCTCTGGATCCTGTTCTCGTCCGGAACGACTGGCAAGCCCAAGGCGATAACGCACCGAGCCGGCGGGATGCTGCTGCAGCTGTCCAAGGAGCATCTCATCCACGGCGGCCTCACGCCCGACGATGTGTTCTTCCAGCACACCACCACGGGCTGGATGATGTGGAACTTCCTCATCGCAGGTCTGGTGGCTGGATGCCCCATCGTGCTGTACGATGGCAGTCCGCTCAAGCCGGCGTCGGTGTTGTGGGATCTGGCCGAGAAGCACGGCGTGACGACGTTCGGTACCTCGGCGGCATACCTGGGTGCGCTCGAAAAGAGCGGCTACGACGTGCGTGCGAGCCACCCCGGCCTCAAGGTGCGTCAGCTGCTCAGCACGGGCTCGCCGCTGCGTCCCGAACTGTACCCCTTTGTCCACGACAAGATCGGTGCGGACATCCTGGTTGGGTCGATCACGGGCGGGACGGATCTGTGCTCGCTGTTCGCGGGGCACAATACGGCCTTGCCTGTGCGTGCGGGCGAGATCCAGGCTCGCAATCTCGGTATGGACATTGGCGTGTACGATTCCGACAGCGCCACTGAGCTGCTCGAGCCCAACAAGGTCGGAGATCTGGTGTGCAAGAAACCCTTTCCTGCCCAGCCGCTCGGCTTCTGGAAACAGCCCGAGTCCAAGTACTACGACTCGTACTACGCCCAGATTCGCGGCGTCTGGTATCACGGCGACTTTGTCATGCTCAGCCCACACGGCGGCGTGGTGATGCTCGGTCGATCCGATGGAATCCTCAATCCCGGAGGTATCAGGTTTGGATCGTCCGAGATCTACGAGCTTCTCGAAAGCCCCGAGAACCCCATGCAGTCGCTGATTGTCGACTCGCTCGTAGTGGCACTCAAGACGCCCGCGGGAGACGACGAGGTAGTATGCCTCTTTGTTGTTCTCAACCCCGCAGCGAGGATCGCAATGGAGGAGTTCAAGAAGAGTCTCAGCGCACTCATCAGGTCAAAGCGAAGCGCAAGACATGTTCCCAAGTTCATCGAAATCGTCCCCGACATTCCAAAGACGCTCAACGGTAAGAAGGTCGAGGTACCCGTCAAGAAGATCATCAACGGCGCAGGCCTCGACGCCATCAACAAGGCCACGCTTCTCAACCCGCAAAGCCTCGAACCATTTGTGGTTCTGGGTGAGAAACTGCGCTCCAGCCTCGTCTAGGTTACACACGGGGCGTGGAAAAGAACGTCATTGCATCTGTAGATCCTGAACACAAATATATACAGCCGAGTTGCACCAACCGCACGCCGCCCTATCATCGCGCGTGGCAGTACTCGTCGGAAAAGAGCGAGTCGGCGAGGTTGTCCGGGACAAACCAAACGGTGAGCGCAACAATAAGGTAGACCATGATGAGCACAAAGCCCTCGAGGTAGTTGCTCCTGTTGTCGGCGATGGCAAAATTGACGATGAGCACCGTGAGGAAGAGCAAGATGGTGGCAAACGGATCAAACAGCAGCGTGAGCGGCCTGTCGCCCATCCACGCGATGAGCACCAGCAGCGGAATCACAAAGAGCGCAATCTGGATGGACGAGCCAATCGCGATCGAGCTCGCCATCTGGATCTTGTTCTTCCACGCAAAGATCACCGCCGCCAGATGCTCGGTCGCGTTGCTCGCGATGGGCAAGAGAACCAGTCCGATCCATGTCCTCGAAATTCCGCCGGGCGAAACCACCACGTCGATCGCGGTCACAAGCCACTGAGACGTAACGCCGATGAGCACCGTGACCACGACGAGCGTGATGATGACCGACGTCATGTTCATCTGCGGCTGTTCCTCCTCGTCGTCATCGTTGGTGTCCTCGAAGAACTCCTTGTGCGACGCCAGGCTGAAAATCAAGAATCCAATGTAGATGAGTAGCAGCAGCACCGAGACGCCGCGGCTGAACTTGAGGATGTCGGGCCTTTCTGTGCTGTCCGGAATGGCGCCCAACACGGCGTGGAAGGCGGAGGGGATGACGAGCGAGATGACAGCCATCATGAGGAGCGAGGTGTTGAGCTGCGCGGGCGCTTCGAGGAAGACCTGCTCCTTGACACGCAGGCCGCCGGCGAAGAAGCACGTGCCGAGCACGAGCAGCAGGTTGGAGAGTATGGAGCCGAGCAGCGACGTCTGGGTGATGATCAGCTCGCAGTTGAAAAGCGATACGATCGCGACGATCAATTCGACCGCATTGCCGAGCGACGCATTGATGAGACCACCGATGGTCTCACCAACACGTAGCGACACTTCCTCAGTCGCTTGTGACAGGATGGTTGCTAGCGGCATGATGGCCAGGAACGAGGTGATAAACACCGCCAGACCATTCTTGAAGACACCCTGGTCGAGTGCAAAGCGTAGCGCCCATGAGATTGGGATAAAGACGAGGAAGATGTTGAGGAACGAACCCAACAGCATGTTCTTGAGACTGACCAAGGTGTTGGGTGCCTTCGCAAGGCGATGCTCGGGCGTGAAAAGCTCGGTAAAGGAGCGACGCAGCGTGTGTCTCGACTCCATCGTGGCTCGGCGTGGTGGGCCAGCAAAAGGGCCTCCGAGACCCTCGCGGATGGACGACTGGTCGCGGTCGATGCCACGCTTTGTGGATGGCTCGGACGAGACGATGCGCGTCACCGCCGAGCTGTCCTCGTTGGACGAAGCCGCCTGGCCCTTTTCGAGCATGTCGGGTTCGGACGCGGCGATGGTGGCGCGCTTGGGGCGCTGCGTGACGCTGTTGGTGTTGTTGGCGGCGGCGGAGCGAGAGGAGGAGTAGGGATTGTTGGGGTGCGGGCTCGCCGATGTGAATGTCGTTGACTCGTTGTTGGGCAGCGGCTCTGCCGACGATGTCGAGTCAGCACCCGCCTGGTGTGGTTCCGAGGACGACATGTCTTCCGATGTTGGGCTCTCCCGCAGAGCGTCGGAGGAGAAGGCGACCTTCTTTGGCGTGGTAATGATGGGCGAGATTGGCCGCGGGCGGATTCGCACGCAAAAGTGAGTGCCCTCCGTCGGTCCAGCTGGACAAGTGCTGCTGCTGAGGCTCAGGAGCTTGTAGCGCCGCGCGTGTGTGAACGTCTCCGTGTCTAGTCGGAAGCTCCGAGATGAGGGGAGCTTAAGCTAATTGAGGTTGCTTGGGTTTAAAGGCGCGAATGAAGATGCGAAGTGGCAATGGAGGATGCGTTTCAGGAACCTATAGACCAATGAGCCAGGTAGGGTGGCTACGGCTCGAGCGGGTTGCACTCGCAAGCAAGGCAGTGACGCTGTGCCTTCTGGCCAACTTGCGTCAGCTGCCCCCGCGCCTGGATATTTTCGCCCGGGTGTGTTTTGTTGCTCTCAGATGCTCAGATGCAACACCGCCTCTTTATTTTTGGGCGCCGGCTTGCATGCATGACCCTCAATCCCACACACCCACACACGCCGCACCGCCCAGCACACGCACACACGCAACACGCACACAGGGGTCGACGGCCCGAGCCTTCCCTCCGTCTTTCTAGTCCGCCGCCATGCAACATCCGCACGTAAGTAAGTGTACAGTACGTACACGAATGTCGCGGATGTACCCTTATGAATTTGCCTCTGAAGGAATCTGCCTCTGAAGGAGTAGGCAAAATTCAGGCTAACCCTGATGGTTCATGTCGAGGGAGAAAGAGTCCCAGGGACTGGATTGTATGGCAGTGCTGTTGCCGTGTGGCTCGCGAAAAGGAAAATGACGTCTGGCAGGCTCCGCCGGCGAACGGCGAACCGACCGCGACCGCCGCTGCCGCGCCCAACCGACAGGCGGCAAAAATTCCCAGACCGCCGCTTCTGCCAGCCGATCCGGATTTCCACAGATCGAGACCGAAGCGAGAGCTGCCCGATTGAACAAAAGTCGAGACTGTTAAGTTAGCTGAAGCTGAGCTCAGCTCGCTCGCCCAGGCTTTTCGAGGCTTGGCGACACTTGGCCGAAAAGTGGAGACGTGTGCGCAAGTCGAGAGGAGTGTTGGTCTGAAGCGGAGAGCGGAGCCTGCAGGGTCCGCTTCCGAGTGAAAGCGCAACTAAGCCTCAGCCCCCCACCTTGTCCTCGCACCATCACACACACACGCACACACAGGCTCTCACTTGGCCGAGCGCATCACCACCATCACCATGGCGTCGTCCAACGCGGCAGGTCAACTCGCCCGCAAGGCGCTCATGGAAGACGCTCGCCAAGAGGAAGCCATCACCGTCAACCAGCGCGCCCTCATAGACAAGATTCTCGCTAGATACGCCGCAGAGTTCACGGTCTTCCGCGAGCTGCTCCAGAACGCAGACGATGCAGGCGCCACCCACTGCGAGCTCCGATTCGAGTCGCAGCGCTCGTCTCCCTCGTCCACCGCATCACAACAGCCTTCATCCTCGACGTCGTCATCCAACCTGCTGCCCGACTTCAAGGCTACCCTCTCCAACTGGGTCTTCCGCAACGACGGCAAACCCTTTGGCAACGATGACTGGTCCCGTCTCCGCAGGATCGCAGAGGGAAATCCAGACCCGGACCGCATCGGTGCTTTCGGCGTCGGCTTCTACTCCCTCTTCAGCATCTGCGAGGAACCCATCGTGTCGTCAGCAGACGAGCTCATGGGCTTCTTCTGGAAAGGCGACTCGCTCTTTACAAAGCGCGCCACCAACACCGATCGCCAGAACGCCCCCTCCGAAAGACCATGGACCACCTTCTTCATGGCCCTCCGCGAGCCTGCCCCCTTCCCCGACTCGCCCATGGCGCTCGCAAAGTTCCTCGCCACCTCCCTCACCTTTACCACCCAGATCAAGTCCATCTCCCTCTACTGGGACGACCATCTGCTCTGCAAACTCAACAAGAAGCTCGCTCTTCCCAAGCCCATGGTGATGCCGTCCCATCTCAACGCCAATAGCCCGGGTCGCACCATGCGCGTCCGCGACCTCGAATCGACGGCAGTCCAGATCGACGTTCAGGCCCTTCGGCTCGTCATCGACGCCTTTGAAAAGGAGAAGCCAAAGCCAAAGCTGTCTCTCACATCCGCTCTGGGCAAGTCAAGCGGTGGCGGTCTGACCTCGATGCTTCAAAGCGCCTTCGGCTTTGGCTCCAGCTCTTCCAAGGAAAAGGAAAAGGAGCGCGAACTGCAGGCGCGCAGGGAAGCCGAGCAGGCTGCTGCCAACGACAAGGCCAAGCTCGATACCACAGCAGCCCTGCTCACCTCGGTCTCGGCTTCAATTCACCTGCGCATCGCCACCGCCAACGTCGCGGTTTCTGCCGACAAGGCTTTCCAGAAGGAGATCGAGCGCAGCACAAAGAAGCCTCCGCCCAAACTTACTGCTTTCCATCTCATCTTCACCGGCAAAGAAGAGTACGACGCCAGCTTCCCTCAAGACACCGAAGATGCCGACAACTCGCTCCCCGCATCCTCTTCTGCAGCTGCACTTGACAAAGGCGCTCGTCAGATCTTCTCCGGCCTCATGCCTCGCCTTGAAGACCAAGGCCATGCTTTCATCGGCTTCCGCACCCACCAGACCACCGGCTTCAGCGGCCACATCGCCGCACGCTTCATCCCCACCGTAGAGCGCGAGTCGCTCGACTTTGTGGACCGCTACTGCGCCCAGTGGAACTCCGAGCTGCTCTCCATGGGCGGCTACGTCGCACGCGCCGTCTATGAAAACGAGCTGGCCGACATCGGACGTCTGTGGACCAACACCTTTGCCGACAAGCGTCCCACCACCGACGACGATCAAGCGCTGGCCAAGTCACTCAAGGATCGCGCTTTGCATCTTATGCGCTTCTTCACCATGCGCACTTCGTCGCCGTCCTCGCGCGTCTCTTCTCTCTTCCTCACCTCCTTCTTCGGAGCAGCGCGCCAGAATACCATCTCGCTCATGTCCACCCGCGGTGTCAAGCACTCGGCTGCAGTCCGCATGCCCAACACCCTCCTCTCCGACTTTATCAAGGACCTCGCCGTCATCCCTCCCAATCACATGGAGGAGGCGCCCGACTTTGTTCGCGAGGTTCGCTCGCGTAATCTGGTGCAGGACATCACGATGGACGACGTCTTCTCGGAGCTGTCCTCGCGCGCCCTCTCCACCGCCGAGATGGTCGCATGTCTCCGATGGTGGACCAGCGTCGCGGCGCATCCCTCGTACGACGTCAGCTTGCGATCGAAGCTCCTCAACAGCGCCATGCTTACAATCGCGGACCCCAAAGACACTGCCGTGCCAGAAAAGTTCCAGCCACTGAGCATCGTGCGCTTCTACCTCAACACCTCCCGCCTTCCCACCGACGTGCCTCTGCCAGACTCGTGCCTGTCGTACGACGTATCCAAGTCTTTCACCTCCAACGAGCTTGCTCGCGTGTTCGGCTGGTCCGAGCTCACCGTCTCTACGTGGCTCAAGAATCTCGTCCAGATCAGCGTCCAGGCACGCCGCTCCGGCTCTTCCGCCATCAGCGAGACGGACCTGCAAACGTCGCCCGCCTTTGCTGAAAAGGTGCTCCTGACCCTCTCGAGGGCGTGGTTTGCGCTCCCTTCGGCGCAGCACGACGACATCCAGCAGATCCTGGCCGATACCACCTGCATCCCGACGCGTTCGCAGATGCAAAAGCCCGGCGACGCCTACTTCGCCAACGTGTCGCTCTTCTCAGACCTGCCTATCATCGAGCTCCCCAGCGGCGCACAGGTCAAGGGCAACCTCGAAAAGGTGCTGATCGCGCTGGGTGTGCGTCGACACGTCGAGTTGCAGATGATCTTCACCCGTCTCGTCGCGGATGGCGGCTGGTCGCACGTCGACCTGCTTGCTTATCTAGCCTCGATCAAGGACTCGCTGTCGGAGCTCGAGAAGGACAGGCTCAAGACGACCGCGATCTTTCCAAAGCATGGAGAGGTCGGTCCGCTCAAAGAGGACGGCACGCCAAGGATTATTCGCCATCGCGCTCGCGACCTGTACGAGCCCACCGAGGCGCTCAAGGCACTGCAGCTCCCCGTCCTTGACTGGGCAAACAAGCCGTGGAGGCCGTCGTCGGACGAGACGCGCTTTGTCTTCGATCTCGGTCTCCGTCGCTATCCGCCCATGGAGACGATCCTCGAAATCGCTGCAACGAACCAGGACGCGGCAGTGCGTTCCAAGGCTCTCGCTTTCTTCCTCGAAAAGTTTCATGCGCACTACATCAACCAGTACACCATCTTCCGCGCCGAAAAGTATGCATTTGTGCCGGCGCGCCTCCCCAACGAGAACAAGCTGGTGCTTCGCAAACCCACCGAGGTGTTCACCAATGCCGAGGCCGCCGTGATGGGCTTCGCCGTCGCCGGGCCCGAAATCAACCTGGCGGATCTGCCCAAGCTCGGCCTGCGCTCGAATCCCACCGCTACGCAGCTCATCGCAAGACTCGTCAACTCGCCCACCAGGGACGAGGCTCTGGCGCGCAAGATCTTCGAATATCTCGCCACTGTCAACGAATTCAGTCTCAACGACTTTAAGCAGCTGCGCGGGGCCGAGTTCATTCCCGTGCGCCGCACGAAGCGCGCCGAGACGACCTCTGACTCTGCGACCGGCGCTTCGCCTGCAGACGTCATGCTAGTAGCACCGATGAACTGCTACTTTGGCGGCTCCACGTCGGACGTTCAGTTCAGGGACGTCTTCTTTTACTGCGACTTTGGCTCGGTCGCAGGAGCGTTCCTCAAGAATTGCGGCGTGCGCAACGAGCCGAGCATCGAAGAGGTGGCCGAGCGCTTGGTCAACGAGCCTCAGCGATTCTACCAGCTGGCAGGAAGTGCAGACGCCTACCTCGGCATCCTGCGTCAGATTGCTACCAACTGGGATCGGATCCGCAGCCCCTTGCGAAAGCAGATGGCGCGCTCGCCCTTCCTGCTCGGCTCAAAGCGCATTCAGGAGGGCAAAGCGGAGGGTGGCGCGCAGAAGGCGGTCAACTTGATGGATGCGGATGACGACGAACAGGACGAGGAGGCCGACGATGCGGGCACGCTCGTGTATGCGCTCAAGAAGCCGGCGGACGTGGTGATCGTCGACGACGCGAACTCGCACATGCTGTTCGCATCGTCGCTCTTCTACGCGCCGCACGAAGACCTGCTGCAAGAGGGGCTGTACGCCAAGCTCGGCTCGCCGCGACTGAGCTCGCTGGTGGAGGAGCGGTACTTGGTCGAGGGTCGTGTGGTGACCGACACGCAACGTGCGCGCGAGATCAAGGCGCTGGTGTTGGAGAGGACGCCGCTGTTCCTGTTTGAAAAGCGACAGACGTCGCGATCCGAGATCCGCAAGGACGGCGAGTGGCTCAAGAGCGCACTGGAGGTGGAAGAGATCGACGGCGCCGGGCTGCGCCAGGTGCGCACGCTGCGCTACGACCGCGTGCACGAGCAGAACGTGCAAAAGTGCACCGCGACAGCGTCGATGCGCGGCTCGAAGCTCGTGTTGCACCTGTCGTCGTCGATGGAGGTCGACTTTTTCGAGGTGGCCAACTCGCTGAGCAAGTACCTGTTGACCAAGCAGCGGCTGCAGGAGGTGCTGCTGTACATGACGTTGCTGTCGACGTCGCTGCGCAATCTCAAACGGCGCGGCTTCCACGTGGACAAGATCCTGTCGCAGCGCAAGGCGGAGAGGGAAGCGGCGGAGGCGAGGATGCGCGAAGAGCGGCTCAAGGCTGAAGAGCGCGCGGCTGAGGACAGGGCGACGGAGGACAAGATGGCGGATTGGCGAAAGCAGGTGCTCAGCATCTTCCCGGACGCGGATCCGCGGTACGTGGACCAGGCACTGCGCAGCCACAGCGACGCACACGTCGAGAGGACGACAAATGACATGCTGAGCAGCAACTATCCACGCAGGAGCAAGGAGACCTCCTCGGCGCTCGCTTCTGCGGCGGCCGCCGACGACGAATCGTATGGTGCGGGCGATGTGGCTGCGGGCGGAAAGGGTGGTGCTGGTGCTGGCGGCGGGTTTTTGTCGGGCTTCCGCAACCGATTCATGCAGGCTGGCGGCAAGCAGCGCAGCTCGCTCGCCGAGGGTACGAGTTCAATCACGCGACCGGGGCAAGGTGGGTCAGGAGCATTGTCTGGCGGCGGGCAAATGGGCGAGGATCGAGCGCTGGGTGGTCTTGCGACTGGTGGTGGAGGAGGAGCGGCGACGGCGCCCACTCGGGGTGTGACGCCGCTGTCGTCGATCAACAACAATGTGCTGCAGGCGATCCGAGCGTCGCGTCCGGACGCGTCGTCTTCGATCAAGAGCGAAGCTCGGCATGGGCAGATCAAGGAGGCGGCGGACACGTACTGCGATGCGACGCCGGAGACGGATCTGAAGCTTGCGGGCGAGGTGGCGGGGATGAAGGTGTTCCTGCACTCGTCGCTGGACGCGGCCTCGATGCTGCAGGCCAACGCTTCGGCGCTGGAGCGGCTGATCAACCGCGTGTTTTCGCCGGTGGGAAGCATCTTTGGGCTGGATCCACGCAGCATGAATGTCTTCTGCGATACGGAAGGACCCGTGATCGCGTTCAACCGGGGCGGCGCGATCTATCTCAACTTCCGGTACTATCTGGCGTGGCACGACGAGTTGGTTCGGCAGGGCAAGATGGCGGATGCGCTCGTGTCGACGTACTTTAGCGTGGCGCACGAGATTGCGCACAACGTGGTGGCGGCGCACAATGCGGAGCACGAGTACTACTTTAGCGCCATCGCGGAAAAGTACGTCGTGTCGCTGGTCGAGTACATCGCCAAGGCGGAGGCGGAGGCGAGGATGTCGCAGCAGTGAAAGTGCTGGCTTTTCCGTTGGACCAACTGTAAGAGATCGGTTAATACGACGCAAAGAAAGAGTGCGTGCTTGCGGAGGTGTGAGATCGACTTTGCGTGGTGTTGGGCTGTGATGGTTGGATGAGATGTGGTGAACGAGAAAGAGAGATGCAATCTGCGGTGGGGCTGGGATGCAATGAACGATTGCGAGCGAATAATGTACAGGGAGAGATTTGAGGAACTTGGGGGAGGCTTTATGCGGAAGCGAGCTGGGGGGATGGGAGGCTCTGGCGCTTTTCCTTTCCGCCGAGATGGTGGTAGTTTGCGAATCTGAAGAGCTGGACAGCTTGTGCGGTAGCGTTTGTGGCGTGGCAAGCGAAGAGGAGGTAGTTTCGGGGCTGGACGCGCCATGCGAATCGCATAAAGACGGACGAGTAGGCGCAGAGAGCGCCGCTCATGGTGCCAGAGATCATCTCCTCATCCTTGGACAGATCGGCAATGGCTGCGAGAGGAAGACCCCAGTTGGCAACCGGACCCCAGAAGTGCGTCGACTATGTTCCAAACGGCCCCAAGCAAAATCATCAGTAAACCTCGAGTGAAGAGACAGGTTAGGGTGGTGTTGGATGACGTACGAAGAAGTATTGTCTGCCAGCGGGCGACTTGATCCAGTTGATGAATTGAGAAGCCATGATGTGTACTTTATGCCGCGAGACGAGACGAAGCGGGAAAGAGTGACACGGCGAATTGCGATGGAGGTGAGCGGAAGGAGCAGGAGCTTCAAGGGTGCTCCATGCACCCAAAACGGCGCGCAAAGAGTCACTCACATCCAACCCAAATCCCCACTCGACGCACCCACCTCCAACCCAACAAGTCTGCCACACACGGCTCCGCGCGAATCCTTCCTCATCGAAATCGGGCGAGCACCACCCACTGCCAAAACATCGGGTGATGGGATGCAGTGCTCTGATTCGCCCGAGAAAAATTTGAAAAATTGGCTGCATCGCGTGGCTTTGAGCCGTTGGAGCCGTTTTGACTCGCTGCGGGGAACGGAGACTCCGGACCGCTGCTCCGCAGATGCGAGGGTCCAACTTCCCCACTCGCCTCTCTCTCTCGCTCTCTGTGTGAGGCGTGTGCAAGGCACCAGCGGCGAACGTCTCACAGCCGAGCCAGCCGAGTCAAGCTGGGATCATGCTGCAATGCACCCATTAGCTTTGTAGCGCATTTCGTATGCAAACCATTGTTTGTGACACCGGGACCGCCGCATAGTGGCGGAGCAGGATCTTCCGGGCTATCGTAGTTTCGTGTGCCTGAGTACCGTATTAGTAGAGCATTGGCCGTTCCTTCGGCGTGCGGCTGAAATTGTGACGGCACGCTACCTGCTCGGCAGCTGCCGAACTCGGCTTCCGACCAATCCGCTTCAGCCTTCCCCTCTACCTTCATCGAGCACTCCCATCCACCCTCCCGACCATTCGCCTCGACCCACACAATTCACTTCATATCATCCTGCGCTCCCCGTCAGAGCGTAACGCGTCGACTCCAATCGGGCACCGGCACCTTCATCCATCCGCGTATCGCCTTCCGTGCTTTCCGTTCGACCTATACCTTTCTACTCTGCCACAGCATGTCCGCAAGCCGCGTTCTCCTCGTCGGCCTCTAGCTAGTATTGCTCCAGTCATCCTTCCTTGGCACCCACCAGCCGGCCTCAGCCTTAACCTCGCACACCCTTGCAGCAATCGCCGCTCGTGCGTACAAGCAGATCGACAATGAGCGCTCGCAAAGAGTCCACCGCCGACTCGCTCTCCGAGCACTCCAATTATCCCGACTCCAGGTCCGACTTGGACGCCGACTCCAAGAACACCCCCGCCAAGGAAGAGCTCAAGATCTACAAGACCATCTCCAGAGTTCACCGCGCCTGCAACGCCTGCCGCAAGCAAAAGGCTCGCTGCGATGGCCCCGAGAACCCGCCGTGTCGAAGATGCAGGCAGGTCGGCATCGAGTGCATCTTCGAAAAGCCACCCAAGGATCCCTCGTCGTCCACCACCAACACAGCCGACACCGGCGCCAGCTCCGATCGCATCCGCGTCCTCGAGGCACAAATGTCCGGCATGCAGAGCATGATCTCCGAACTCGTCGCATCCATCAAGGCCAACACCAACGCCATCGCTGCTCCAGCACAGCCCCCGTCGCAGCCGCAGCAGCAGCCACCCCAACACTCTCCTCATGCTTCGTCCGTTTCCGCAGCCTCGCCACTCTCCTCCCGAGCTTCCAGGTCGGATCGCTACGCTCGGCCGCGCCATCATAACGTGTCGCTTCAGCAGCAGCCATACGCCCAGCCGCCACACCACCGCAACTCACACCCCGCTGGCTCACCAGCAACAGAAGCGCTGCAACATTATACTCCAGACACAATGCCCGCCGATCAGCTTCAGCGCCCACCTTACCCTCCTTCTGCCAGCTCCTTTGCCAGCACATCCAGTCACGCCGGCACCATGCCCATCCACGCCGCACCCGGCTATCCGCTGCAGCAACCTCCCAACTTTCAAACAGCTTACGGCCATCCGCCATCCAAGAACGACGACCACTTGCTCCAGCACCACTCGGATCTCGACGCCTTCCAGCGCAGGAGCAGGTCCCGACCCGGCCACGATTCCGACATCCGCGATCAATCCTCCAATCCATGGCAACATCCTCATCTCGCCGCCTCCGCTCCAGTCTCGGCGCTTTCCCATGGCGTGAGATCCGACGTCGCTTCGTCCTCTCCCGGCGATCCCTCGGCTCCAGCAGCAGCTACCTCTTCGGGCTGGACACCGACTCCAGCCATGCCCGCCTATCAGCGCTCTCATTCGAGCCGCCGCCGCTGGACCTCTTCCGATCGCGCGGGCAGCCATAGCCTCTCCAACGACCAGAACTTGACGCCCTCCGATGGGCCTGGCGCGGCCGACGATGGCGATCATCGCGAAACGGACATCAGCAACGACCAGCTCAGCGCTCCCATCGAGGCGCTCCGAGGCTTGGCCGATGCCGCTGCCGCTGCCGCCGCAGAGGAGTCCGAAGGGCACACCTCCAACGACTCGAGCGACGAAAAGAATCACGGCACCGAAGACGATTCAGCGCGGACGGGACGCGGTGCCGGTGATGCGGATGCAGCGTCGGCGCTTCAACAAGGCGACGAGGCGGCTAAACGCAACGCAGCCCGGAACGACGACAATCCGGGCGAAGGCGGCGGTCAATCGCCCCGCAAGAAGCGCAGACGCGACACCAATGCAGCCTCGCCCAACGCAGCAGGGGCCGCCAATGCCGCGTCCGATGCACAGGCCGGTGCTGGCGGCACAGGAACCACTCCGAAGGCGTCCGGCAGCACGGGCTTGAGTGCAGCAGCACCCTCACCCTCCAACGCCGCAGGCGGCGCCGGCCGCTCGGGCAAGATGGAAGCGCCCGGCCTCGTCACGAGCGCACCCGGCGACCTGGTCACCCTGGGCCTCGTCACCGAGAGCGACGCCATGCGCCTCTTCGAGACCTTCCAGAAGGGCGTGCCCAAGTTCATCTCCATCTTTCATCTCGAGGACGAGCCGATGACGACGGCCGAGGCGTACCACCACGTGCGCACCACCTCGTACTTTTTGTTCAACGTGATGCTCGCTATCGGCGCGAAAGTCGAGTGCGGCGGCAAGAGCCCCAGCCGCCTTTACCAGACGTGCATGGCGCAGGCGAAGCGCAATGCAAAGGACACGATGTTCAGCCCTGTCGCAGGCAAGTCCGCCGTGCAGGCCATGGTCCTCTTGGCCGCCTACAGCGAGAATGGATGGCTCCCGCTCGGCTTGTCCATCCGCATGGCGCAGGAGCTCGGGCTGGACCGCTCGTTCCAGAAACTCATGTCGGCGCTGCCTGCGTCGGGCTACATCAAGCATCCGCAACCGCCGCCGCCGCCCAAGCATCTCACCTTCTACCACAACTCGCCCCAGTCGTCGCACTACACCGGCTCGCCCACCGACGTCAACTCGGTCGGCGGCGAATCGATGGATGGCAAGACGGGCGCCAACGTCGCTGGTGCAAATGCGGTCGCGGCGGTGGCAGCCGCCAACGGCAACACTGACGCTGCGGCCAAGCGCGAGCTCGACGAGCTCAAGGATCTGGCGCGAGGCGCCAGGCTGTGGTTCTTCCTGTTCCTGTTCGACCACCAAGCGTCGTACGGTGCGGGCAGGCCGGCGATGCTGTCCAAGCACTACGTGCGCAACTGCCGCGCGTTCCTCAGCCTCGACTATCCGCTCACTGTCAAGACGGACGCGCGCTTCATCAGCACGCTCGAGCTGCTCATCATCCGCGAGACGCACTACGATGCCATGGCGCCGTACGACCAGCCGGTGGACGCGCGCATGCTCTCCAAGATGCGCAAGGTGACCGAGGAGCTCAACGAGTGGCATCAGTACTGGTCGACCGACTTTGAAAGCCGCGGATACGCGCACGACTCGTTCTTCCAGCAGTCGCTCATCCTCCAGTGCGCCAGTGCCGAGCTGTATCTCAGCTGCACCGCGCTGCGCGGAATCCGCGACGCCAACGATGCCGATCAGATGGGTCCCGAACAGAAGGAGCTCATCATCCAGGCGACCCGAGCCGCAGATACCTGCCTCAGCATCTCGGTCAATGCCAAGGAGTACAGGGAGATGCTCGGTTGGGCACCGCACTACACGCACGTTACCGCGGCCTTTGCCTGCGTGTTTTTGATCAAGATCGCAAGGCTCTTTCCGAGGCAGGTGGACACGTACGGCATCTTTAGCAATGCAGAGAGGCTCGCGAGTCGGCTCGCCGAGGTGCCTGCCAGCAAGTACGCCAGGGTCATTAGGATCCTGCTCGCGCAGGCGTGGAAGAAGATCGCCGACCTCAGTCCGGCGATTGGGCTGTACGCTGCGCTGGGTGCGGAAGCGACGAGGCCGGGCGCGATCACGCCCGCCGAGATCAAGACCGGTGGGCCGAGCGACTCGGGCATCAGCCTGCTGTACAAGCTGCTGCAGGAGTACCAGAATGGTCAGCTCGAGGGCGACGAGGATGCGGCGCGAGGCGAGGGGGGCGTGCAGCCGGTGCATGCCGATGGTGCAGGTGCGGGTGGTGAGAGTGCGTCGGGTTCTCGCACACCAGGGTTCGGCGACCTGGCCAATAGCAGCAAGTGGTTGATGACGGGCATTTCGTCGCCTTCCGTCGGCGGTGCGGCGCTTGGGGCGGGGGGAAACGGCGCCATGTCGCCGAACAAGGCGGCTCTAGCAGGACTGTTTTCACATCGCGGTAGCATCAGTGGGTTCGACCAGCACGTAGGTGGCAACGCCGGCAATGCAGGTCACGACGGTCTGGCATGGAGCTCGTTGATGGGTCCAGCCACGCCATCTGCATCGCACGCCGGTGGAGCGTACATTAGCGATGGCTCGTTGATCAATGCTGCAACGCACCAGCCGATTCAGCTGCCGGTGTGGATGCAGGAAAGTACGGGTGGTGCTGCCGACTTGGGTGCGTTTGACACGCCAGCGGGTGGAGTTCCTGAGGCTTCGGAAGTCAAACCTGCCACCGCGGCGAGGAGTTGGGGACACCAAGACCACTATCAGTCGCCAGTCCCGCATGGATCGCAGTACACCTCACCGGTCTATCAGACGCCTCAACCTGCGCTGCACCAGAATGCGAGACAGGATGCGCAGCAAACGGGGCATTTGCAGGTCCACCACCCGCGTGCTCATATGGTCCCCGCAAGCCCCGCACCCCAGCTCGGACAGGGACTGCAGCCGTTCAACTCGACCAACTTCGATACAGTGCTCTCGGACCTTGGATTGCCCCTCGATGGGCTGGATGGCCTGTTTGGCGATCTGCCCATCAATGCACCCACCGCCCAGTCGAATTACTCGGTCTGATCAATCAAAGCATTTGGACGAGCACAAGTGGGGATGTGTGTGTCCGTGTGTCCGTGTGTGGGGCGAGTTCAGACGTGGGTGCAAAGCGAGGGAGATGCTGGCAATCGTGATGAGGGTGCCCTGGAGGATTAAGACGCCGTGTGGCGGTGCGTGCACCAGGGCGGACTTGGCAACGCGCCGTCCACCTCCTCTCAACCAGTGCTTCGATCCCCGCTGCAGATGGTGAGCAAGCTCGCCCGTCGCAAAACAGCCCCGATCCTGTAAACTTCCCCTCCCGTACCTTTGCACCGTTGAAAGCGGCTCTGACCACTCCAACTCACTCAACCGTAACACAAGCACATCCGCAGCAACGTTGGGGGAGGAATGATAGGATTGAAAAATTCGCGGACTATTGGACTCTGGTGCATATCTTTTGGGGATATTCTCCGTGCGGGAGCCGACACATCAGAGGCAAGACAACGCTAGAAAGGTGCGGGGAGCATGGAGCTCTCCTCTTTCGAGGCTTTTTTGGGTGTTCTTCGCCCCTTTCAAACCCACGAATGGGTATCGGGGGCTGTGTCCTACTGTGGCGCGGGTGCGCATTTACTCCCAAGAGCTGGTGGGCTGCTCGGCAGCGCCGTCAGCGGCCCAGTCCTGAGCGCCCTCGGCGGACCAGTCGACGTTGCCGGTCTCGGTGGCGAGGTTGGCGGCAACGGCGAGGGGAACGTCGGCCTGGACCTCGGTGTTCTCGGCGGCGGGCTCGGCGGTCTCCTTGGCGGCCTGAGCGGCGGCGGCGGCCTCCTGCTGCTCGCGCTCGACCTCCTCGGGGTCGCGGTAGAAGAACATGTCGGGCATCACGCTGAGGTCACCACCCTTGAGGCGCAGGACGGTGCGGCAGAGGAGCCACCAGAGCAGACCGACCGAGTGGCGGCCGCGGACGTTACCGGGGATGGCAACATCGACGAACTTGAGCGGCGAGTCCGAGTCGACGAACGAGATGCAGGGGATGTTGACGTACGAAGCCTCGCGGATGGCCTGGTGGTCGACGCGGGGGTCGGTGACAACGATCACACGGGGCTCCTTGAACGAACGGGTGATGTAGTTGGTGAACGAACCGGGCGTGAAGCGGCCAGCGATGGCAGTGGCGCCAGTCTGGGCGGCGAACTTGAGCACGGCACGGTGACCGTACTGACGGCCCGAGATGACGCAGATGTCGGCGGGGTTCTCGATGGCGGCGAGAACACGGGCGGCGAGAACGATCTTCTCCCAGGTCTTGCCGATGTTGAGCAGGTGGATACCGTCGGCACGACGCTTGTAGATGTAGGGGGCCATCTGCTTGTCGGCGTTCTTGGTGCCGATGTGCGTCTGGGCGGCGAGGAGGAGCGAGATGTCCTCCTCGGTGGGGTTGAGAGCAGCAGGGACCTTGGACATTTTGAAAAGACGAAACGGGAAAGGTAGAGAAACGAAACCTCGAAACTTTTGCGTGTAAGAAGGAAGGGAAGGAAGGGATGAAGGTGTAGCGCTCGTGGATAGCGACCGGCGCACTCTCGCTGCCTCTTCCAGCTTCGGTGCCGTCCATCAAGCGGTTGACTGGTGCGCAGTGCAAAATTCGTCGCTCGCTGCTCGACTGGCTGGAATTTCGCTGCTCCCAGAGGCGCGCGGTCAAGCTCGGACGAACTTGCCGCAGTCGATCGGGATTGTGTGCAGATCTGGTGCTCTTGATGCAAAAATCGGGAGATTGGCACATTGACGCGAAGCCTCCACTCGACGCGTGACAGCCGAGGGTGTTGGTCTGCGGGTGCGGAGCTGCATGGACCCGTTCCGCATGCATGGATGCTGTGCGCAGTACAAGACCGCACGCCCTCTCTCGCTGCCACCATGCCGCCTACTCTGACACGGAGCTTCCATCATATGCAAGTGCTTGCTGCCTAGCCCACTTCGCGAGTTCCGCTCGAGGTCGTGGAGATCATGACGTCGTCGCGCCCCTCGTCCGAAGACTCGAAGGGTTTCAGCCTCAAGGACGCCTTCAAGCGATTCAGCATCCGTGCTCGCTCCTCGTCGCCAGCATGCGACGCTCATGGCAAGCCGCCGTCGACAGCGCTGCCGAGACCACCATCCTTTCACAAAGCTGCGAAATCAGCATCAACTGCAGTGTCGCTGCCGCCGTACCTAGCGCATCTTGCTGCGTCTACTTCAACAGCACCCCCACCAAGGCCATTCGCGGAGCCACGAGTCAGCGGCACCGCCCCAGCACCTGCTCGATATGACCATGACATCGAACCACATCGTCTGCCGCCACGACCCCCAGCTTTTATGTCTGCGGCGCCGAAGCAACAGCTCTCCTCGCATAAACCTGCACCGAGCCAACACCCGACGAGCCTCACTCCAGCCAACATCCAGGTGGACGTATACAGCAAGCAACCGTATCCATGGGAGCTGGTTCCGCAGCTCAAAGCACGTCCCGGTACCAGCAGTGCGGACAGGGACAGTAGCGCGCCATCTGATGAAGTCGAGAAGGAGAATCGCATCCCACAGAGCAACAGCGCGCAGCAAACACACGCCAAGACCACCCAGGAGCCCATCAACCTCGTGACGCCGCCAAGGGCACCAGGAAAGCTCAGGCAGAAGAGTCCGTCCCCCTCGACCCCACTCGGAGCACGGACGCCCAATGGCTCGCAGAGGGATCCCAGCTGTCCTCCTGTTCGAGGACAGTGCTGGGGCATCAAACAAGACGGCACTCGCTGCACCCGCAAGGTCCGCACATCCTCGCACACTAACAAACTCGCAGCGGCCGGAACTGCGAAGGAACGGAGTCGATTCGAGCGAGGAGCGTCCGCACCGCCCATGCTTCACCAAGATGCTTCTGCTGGCCAGCCTCTTGCCATCGGAGACAGTGGCAGTGAGGATGACCTCGGTACAGCGGTGGCGCGGAGACAGAGGCTGGCATCGCCCGCGTCCAAGGACGCTGCAGAGGACATAGAAGAGGTGTACTGCTTTCAGCATGTGGCCGAGGTGAACAAGACCACTGGCTTTTATCCTGGCACAAGGTCTTCCGCGAGTGACTTTGTCCAATTCAGCGACTGGTTCGGCACCGTCGAGCTCAGCGACCATGCGCAGGCGCTGTTGCGTCGAGCCATGAGCCGACCGCCCACCGACTTTGATCGCGCCGAGCAAGGGTACATCTACATCTACGAGCTGCGCGACCGTTCGAGCGCCACGCATCTGTGCCTCAAGGTCGGGCGCACCGTCAATGTGTTACGCCGTCTGGGCCAGTGGCGCACACGATGCTACTCCAAGGATCCGCTTCTGCGCGCGTTTCATCCGTCTGCTCACGATCAGGGGATGCTGTCGGGCGCAGACGCCGTCGAGGCCCCCGGAGTCGTACTCAGCCATCGGTGGGAAACGCTCGTACACCTCGAACTCGATGCCGTAGGACAGAGGGTGCTCGAGGTGTGTCACGATTGCGGCACCCGCCACAGAGAGATCTTCATGATCCCCCGCTCGCCCCGATTGCAGCACGGCCAAGAGCAGGCTGACGGCTTTGAAGTGGTTCAGCAAGTCGTGCACAAGTGGATGCGCTTCGTCCAGGCCATCGCATGACGAGCATTCGCCCACGCATTCTGATGACACCATGTACTTGTAGGCACGCACCCAGCCTTGGGCTATCTGAAGCCTCGTTCTGCATGGCGTGCAGCTTCTGAAACTACAAAGATCCGTCCGCCACAAGTGCGAGACCGGTGCGTGCATCGCTACGGGTGGGCCCTCGGCTATCAAGGACACGGTTGAGCATTTCTCGCGCAGATGAATTGTTAGGGCATCGCGATCCACAATATCAAGGCCTGCAATTTTTGCTGGCGCCTCGATCTGCGCCGCACGCAAGGGCAAAATCGAATTTTTTACAGTTTTGATACAAGCGCACGTGACTCGATCGGACCAGTCAGCCCATGAGGAGGTGTAGCGGGGCTGGAGCCAGTCGAGAAGATTGCAGCTGGTGGCCGCCAGTTCCAGCACAGGCAGGCAGCAGGGCAGCACGTCGACAGCAGCAGCGCAGGAGGGCTCCGTGGGTGCACACAGCGAGGCCTGCACAGCGCAGCCTGAGCGAACAAGACGGACGCTGCAGCCTCAGAGTACCATTGCGAAGCGTGCAGAGCCAGGCTGGCGTAGATCCGACTCTGTCTTTGCTGGATCGTCATCGAGAACCTCCATCAACCACCATCCCCCTTTCATCAACCTTTACAACTCAAGGTTAGTAACGAGCACGACATGCATGCGCCAGCAGGGAATATACAGCCGTCGTGGAGATCAGCGCAGCAGGCCAGCACGAGCAGCACCGACAGCCGGCATCAGTGGTAGCAGACATGGACAACAGCATAGAGACCGGCAGACAGCCCTAGAGACGGAGTATCAACAGCGCCGAGGACAACTTCGTACCTAGGGCCAGCGCTACCCCGGTGTCAACCTAGCCGTAGCAGGATCAGCATGGTCACAGCAACCGGAGGGCAAGGGGCATTCGACTTAGTACAGACGACCAGGTCTCGCAGCGATCTCGACCTATTCATGCCGCAGCAGCGTTTCGACCAACACCAAAGCCGGTTCGACACAGCTCCATCAGTCGCATTGTCACGGTTCGCTAGCCAGGCTCTACGATCACCACGAGCAATCACAAAGCCAGCGAGCATGACTCCATCAACCCAAGGATAGCGACGAGCGCCATAACGCAACCTGCCCATGCATTTCTATCGCCCATCTCGCTCAGATCGACCAGCATCCCGTCGCACGCGAGCGGACATCGACCGCGCCGTCTGCGCTTGCAGTGATTCGGCTTTTCTCGACCATGATCGTCCATGCAGAGTCCAAACGAGGTTCTCACCAACACTGTCATCGTCATTTGCCTCTTGCTGCCGTGTGACTCGCCAATCGCCGCCTAGCTGGACTCGTCTCTGTCGACGCACGACTTGTGCCTGAACTGGCCGCGTCTCTCCTGCTGCCTCTCCACGATTGGCGTGTTTCTGGTCCGATTGAACACCTGACTGACCTCTTTGCACTTTATCAATGCACCGGCAACCTGCAGAACACAATGGCTGACGCTGCTCCCCGTGGACGTGGCGGTTTCGGACGAGACCGCGGTGGACGAGGCCGCCGTGGCCCCCGTCGTGGCGGTCGCCGCGACGGCGAGAAGGAGGAGTGGGTCCCCGTCACCTCGGTGGGCCGACTCGTCAAGGACGGCAAGATCAAGTCCATCGAGGAGATCTACCTCTTCTCGCTGCCCATCAAGGAGTTCCAGATCATCGACCTGCTGCTGCCCAAGCTCAAGGACGAGGTGATGAAGATCATGCCCGTCCAGAAGCAGACGCGTGCCGGTCAGCGCACCCGCTTCAAGGCCTTCGTTGCCGTCGGTGACTCGGACGGCCACCTTGGTCTCGGTGTCAAGTGCGCCAAGGAGGTCGCCACCGCCATCCGCGGTGCCATCATTGTGGCCAAGCTCTCCACCATCCCCGTTCGCCGTGGCTACTGGGGTAACGCTCTTGGTGAGCCCCACACTGTGCCCATGAAGGTTTCGGGCAAGACCGCCTCGGTCATGTGCCGTCTCGTGCCCGCTCCCCGCGGTACCGGTATCGTTGCCGCCCCTGCTTCCAAGCGCATGCTCGAGCTCGCCGGTATCGAGGACTGCTACACCCAGTCGGCCGGTCAGACCGCCACCATGGGCAACTTCCTCAAGGCTACCTTCGAGGCCGTCTCCAAGACCTACGCTTTCCTTACCCCCAACCTGTGGCGCGACATTGCTCCCCCCGCCACCCCCTACGTCGAGTTCGCCTCGCACCTCGCCCGCACCCAGAAGAAGTCGCTCTACTAAATGTAGTGGCTCGGCTTGTTCGGTGTACGGTCTGGTGGAGGTGCTAGCGATGTCTTAGCGGGCATCGTTGGCTGTCTCGACTCTGGCACAGGGTCGTCAGTCTCTTCGTCACTTTTTTGAAGGACTGCGACCTGATCTTTCCCCCTTCTCTCGCCCTCTCTATTCCCAGCTTCCCCGTTCCCCCCACCTTTTTCTCTTCTGCCCATTCTTCGCTCTCTCGCAGCGACTTGTATTTTGCATACAGCCAACCCCCCAAAAATCTGAAGCATGCTCCTATGCGTCTTGACCATCCATCTTTGTAGTGTGTGTGTGTGTCCAAAGGCTGGCTGGCGAGCGGACGAGCAATCGATGAAAAATTGAGCACCTTGTTAGGGTGATAAAGGGTGCACAGTGCCCCGCTAAAAAAGGGTGGGGTCGTGCGCGCGCTGATCGAGGTTGGAGAAATTCGGACTGGTGCGGGCGGGCGGAAGGATTCCTGGATCGGACGGTGAGATCGGGCAAGTGCGAAAAGGCGAGACTCGGAACCGTTGATGGAATCGCGCGGGCGACGTCGCAGGCTGGGCACCTCCAAACCCGCACATTCTTGCTTCCACCTGCTCGTCACCACCTACCCATCACCACCTTGACCTTTCGGTTTTATTATTCGACATGTTTGCTCGTGTTGCTCGACAGGCCGCCCCTTCGGCTCGTGCCATGCGTCTGGGAGGTGTTCGTAACAACTCGTCGCTTCCCATTCCGCCCAAGATCGCCACGCCCAAGTCGGCGCAGGGTCCCGGAGGCTCTTCCGAGCGCATGGAGAGCGTCGTCGGCTTCTACAAGGCCCTCCCCAAGGGCGAGGCCCCCCAGAAGCGTGGCGGTGGAATCAAGGCTCGCTACTTTGACGGAAACAACGCCTCGGGAAAGCCTATTGTGGCTACCCTCTTCACCCTCTTCCTCATCGGTTACTCGATCGACTACGCCACCCACCTCCGTAAGTTCAACTATACTACAAAAAGACGACTCGCTTCGGCTGCTAACTTTGCTTCCAACGTGTCTGTTGCGTCACAGGTCACCACAAGAACAACCACCACTAAAGCGGAGACTGCTTGACAGCACGTGCTGGCGTCGAGCCCAATCGCATCCATCGTTCCGAGTGACGCAATAGAACACAGTTGCTCTCGCACCGTCTCTCTCTCTCGCTGCTATTCGTGAAGCTGTCGTTTTTGGACACACAGACGCTACAATCACACTGGAAAAAGGTGAAAGCCAAACGCTGCATGAGATACTCAGCAGTTCTAGGATCAGCATCGAAAGACTAGTTGGAGCGACGGACGAACGAGTCTAGTGGACCTTTCCTGCGCTTTCCCGGCTGCGGCGTAGCGACACGGGGTGGGTTGAGACACTCGTCAATGTGCGCGTTGAGCTGGACGTTTGTGCCGGTGATCCGAGTGCCGCATACGGGACACTTTACACCTCCCTCGGCCTCGGCGCGACTGGTAGACGTGGCGGAAGTGTCCTCGACACTGGTCGACGGTGATTCGCGCAACGTGTCGTCAGGGTGAGCGGGAGCCGGTTCGTCCTGGCTGAGATCCTGCACGTCGCTGAATGGATCCGCCTGACCTTCGAGTGAGCGCTTGATAGCCAGGGCGAGTTGGCGCTCCTCCTCGTCGTGCCACTCTTTGGCTGTTTTGCGCCCGTCCGTTCTCGAGCCTTCAGGCGGGATATCGGTTGGAGCAGCGTCGGCGGCACGCGCCTGGAAGAGCTTCCTGAGCCTCTGTTCTCCCGCTGCTGCCGAACGCAGATCCACGAGATGCGTCACCCTCACGCCAATCAGGCGCAGCGAGAGTGGACCTTGGCGCTCGATCTCTTGCAGCAGCAGGCTGCTCGTAATCTCGTACAGCTCCTCGGCAGTATGCACGAGCCGGGTCGAGGTGCGTGCGCGCGAGAAGCGCTGATAGTTGTCGCGCTTGGCTACGAGCGTGACGGTCTTGCCCTTGAAATCGAGCCGCTCGAGATCGTTCTGCACACGCTGCGCCGACTCCTTGAGCAGATCCAGCAGCGACTGTATATCCGACGTCGGGCTGAACGTGTGTTCGCGCCCGACGCTCTTGCGTTGCTCGCGCTTGCTCGGCTCGACGACAGTATTGCCAATGCCCAGATGCGCCTTGATGAGCCAGTCGATCTTGCCGTCGAGGGCTAGCCAGAGTTGGACGCGGTTGTGCCAGATGTCGCCGCACGTGTTGACGCCGAGGCTCTCGAGGATGCGCTCGTTGACGCGTCCGATGCCCGGGATCTTGCGGCACGGCAGATCGCGCATGAAGTCGACGATGGTCTTGCGGTCCGGATGCACGCGGAACTGGCCGTCGGGCTTGTTGCGATCGCTCGAGATCTTGGCGAGCATGGTGTTGGGTGCGATTCCCACGCTGACAGTGAGCTGCGTCTCGTTCCGCACCTCGTCGCGAAGCTGCTGCACCACCTCGTCGATCGATCCGCCATGCTGCTCGAGGTACTCGGTGATGTCGAGATACGCTTCATCGAGCGAGGCTTGGGCGAGGTTGTCGTCGTAGCGTTCGAATACGGCCATGACCTTGTGGCTTGCGGTGACGTAGCTCTGCATGTCGTTTTTGACCACGATGAGGTGCGGGCAGAGCGCCTTTGCGACAAAAACGGCCATGCCGCTGCGTACGCCGTAGCCGCGGCGCGCTTCGTACGAGGCAGTGACGAGCACGCCGGAGCCTACGCCAAAGCATTTGCCCTTGAGCGAAGGGTCTCTGGCGAGTTCGACGGCGGCGTAGAACATGTCGATGTCGGTGTGGAGGATGGTGCGCGAGAGGTCGCGTGTGTCTTCGTGGCGCATGGCCATGTCGTTGATCTTGCGCTCTATAGAGAGCCACTCGGGACTGCCGGGCGGTACTTGGAGGAGCTTCTGGTCGCGACGTGCGAGGAGCGCGTTGATGCGCTCGGTGGTCTGGGCATCCTTCTTGCGTTCGTTGTCGAAAAACTTGCTGCCCTTGGAGACTTCGTAGATGATCCTGTTGATCTCGTCCTGATCCTTTGCGAGACCCGCTTTTGCTGAGGACGGACCGGCCATGCGTTTTCGCAAGCTTGCGAGTGCATCGTCGTCGCCTGCAGCATCTTGGGTGCGAGAGGAGGTCGAGGCAGAGGCCGAGGCAGAGGCGGGTGGCGACGTTCTCTGTCTCTTGCGTGGGGAAGTGGAGGGCGAGGGTGCGGTTGGATCGTTGTTGGGGTCGTCAAAGACGTCGGTGTTGGCGTCTCTGTCGCGGAAGAAGTTCATGGCTCGTCGTTCGGCGTGATTGGCGTCATGTGTGCAAGAGGTGTTGGTGAGCAGGCGCAGAATGGCCCCTGCATGGTTGTGTTGGTTGATGGCGAGGGAGCGGCTCAGCTCGAGCGTGTCCAAAAGGGTGTTGGACCCTGAATGGCCTTCCTCGAGATTTGATAATGTGAGATTGTTACATTCTCAACAATTCTGTCCGCGGCCAAAAAGTGGAGCTGCGCAGCCGGAGCAGCGCAACGCAATCACGCGGTGGAGCGGCAGCGGCACAACGCCTCAGACCGACACGAACACGCCCAAATCGCAGCCAACAGAGCCGAGGCACAGGAGATGCGCACAGCTCCCCCCGAAAAGGGTCCAACGCATGCCTTACGCCTCGCTCTCGCTCTCACTCTCTGTTGTGTCTGTGCAGCATTCATACCATCTCTCTCGCTCTCCCATCACTCTCGCTTCATCTCGTCCACCACCACCACACACGCCGTGGCGCGCGCCATTTCATTCTGCCTCGCCCACACCGCATCCATCGTGCCGATCCAAGCGCTTCAACCCGCGTCGTCATCGCTCTCACCTGCATCCCACATCCTATCGTAATCAATGTTGCATCGCGCCCTCTGATCTGGGCTGCCATCGGCTTTCATTTCTCGCCCATCCCCCGCAGCATCGGTGCAAAATGTCCGGCGCTGCCCCCCAGACTGCCTCGCCCAGGCCTGCCAGCTACGGTCTCCCTGTTCGCACCATCCCCATCCACGACTCGACCTCCGCCTCTTCCTCCACCGCAAACCAAGCCCATGCTCAGCCGCAGCCGCAGCCTAAAAGGGGGATCCGTGTACGCGTCAACTCCCTCGGCGCCACCATGCTGCTCAAGCACAACGCAGCCACTCCCACCGATCAGCAATCCTCGTCCGCCATGCGTTCCCACTCGCCCTCTGCCACCACCACAACGCGATCCCGCTCGGCCACCTGGAGAAGCCCAGATCCAACGCCGTCCTCCTCGTCTGTCTCTCCGCCGCCACAATCCCACTCCGCTGCACCATCTACTTCCAACTCCGGCTTCAATCGTCGCAAATTCTTCGGTCGCAGCAACAGCATACGCAGCTTGCTCGGAGGCGCTAGTGCAAGCAACGCAGGCAGCTCGGCCAGCGCCGCATCCAGCAGCAATGCTGCCGCTTCGTCGCCCAATCCCGACGCCGCATCGCGCTCTTCGTCTGCAACTTCGCCTGCCTCGCAGCACCCTCTCGGCCTCTTGCGGCGCATGGGCAGCAAGAGCTTCCTCAACCTCCACCAGTCCAATCAAGCCGCTTCCGCAAACCCCTCCTCCGACGATGCCTCCTCCCTCGCATCCGCAGATTCAGAGCCTTCAAAACGCTTCTCCGACTCTCTCAAGCGCATCGGTCGAAGACGCGGTAAATCCGTCTCCACCAACCCACGCTCCAGCTCCTCACAATCCAGCTCCGACTTTCATCCAGGCCGCCTGACGCACAGCGAACTCCTCTCTGCCCACGACGCCTCCAGAAGGAGCACCGAAAGCGCACGCTCGAGCACCGCATCCATCACAACCCCCGACCCACACCACCGCCACTCCGAACCCGACCCCGCCGACACCAGACCCAAACATGACTCTCGCGACCTTCACCAAAGCGCGCCTCGCCGCCTCACAGGCTGGCTCTACAACATGGTCGGAAGCGATAACTCCCCTTCGCCTCTCGAACCAGGCGCTCCTCTCTCGCCTGTGCGCGAAGCGGATATCAACGAAGTCATGGCTCAAGCTTCCATCTCGCCTTCAAAACATTCAAGAGACACCTCCGCCAATGCCCCCAGCTCGGACAGCATCCCCAGCCGCTCCAAAGCCGGCGCACTCTTGCACTCTTGGACCAGCGTAGGCTCGGCCAAACCCACCAGATCCCTACAAGCCTCAACAGCAGAGAGTACGCAGTCCGCTCCGCTCACGGCCAGTCAGACACTCACAACCCTGGCGACCACAAGCGCAAGCTCGACGACCAACACGAGCGGCGCTGGCGCCGGCAGCAATGGCGGTGGCGATGCAAGCGCCAGTGGCAGCGCAAGCGGGTCTGGCATCGCCAGTACCAACTCCCAGGCTGGTGGCAATACTTCCAACACCTCCAGTTGGGTCCCCGGCGGCGTTGGCTTAGATCGCGCCTTCAAGTTCTTCCTCGACACAGACTCGAGCGCAAACCAAGACGAGGGCATCTGGCTGCTCGGCGTCTGGCACGCTCCTCGACAGTCGCAAAAGTCAGAGCCACTCATCGCACAAGACCCAAAGTCAGCCACACGCGCAGTCGCATCCGACGCACCTGACGACGATCAAACAGATGCAAGACGCGCGGCTTCTCCTTCTTCAAGCGTATCCGCCTCGTCCCCGCGTCGTGGCCCACTCGATCTCAACTACGCCTCCTTCGCGCCTACAACCTCCTCAAATCAGCCCGATCGCACCACCGTCGGCAGCTCCATCTCCACCGCTGCCACCGCATCCACCGCCGAAAGTCTCAGGACTCGATCCTCAGCCACGAGCTTCAACATCGCCTCGTCCGGACCCACCCCGCCCGCTTCGGAAACTCAGTCGGCATTTCAACCCGACTTTGCCTCGAGAATCTGGTGCACGTATCGCAATCACTTTGCTCCCATCGCACGCGACGGCACCATCTCGGACCAAGCCGCCTCCGCAGCCGAGGCGCTCGCCATCGCTCAAAGCCAGCCATCCGATCCCACAACACCGTCGGCACAGGCCGGCGCCCCCTCTGCCCCCGACCCCACTCGCTCAAGTAGCCCTCCCGCTTCCGCCAGTCGCGGCTGGCTCGGTCGCAAGACCGCAGAGAGCAACGTCGCACACGAAGCCGCACAACAAGCCGGCTCGCCCCTCGGCCTGGGCGCTGCGCTGGGTGCCGGCTATGTGAATGCCTCGGCAACGCTCGGCGAAAAGATGGGCATCTCCAATCTCTGGAGCAGGGCCACCGCAGCCGCCCAGGCCGCCGGCTTCAGCCGCGCTGGCCTCACCACCGACTCGGGCTGGGGCTGCATGCTGCGCACCGGCCAAAGTCTGCTTGCCAACGCGCTCATCAATGTCCATCTCGGCAGATCCTGGCAGAGGGAGACAGCGCCCAAATCACAGATCGAGTTCTTTGAGGAACTCGCCACCGCCTCGCTCGACGCTAGCGCTGAGAATCAATCCCTTGCCACCTGGCGAGAGAGGCGCGCCCGTCACGCCACCTACATCCGGATCCTCAGCTGGTTCCTCGACGATCCCAGCCCCGCCTGCCCGTTCGGAGTGCATCGAATGGCACGTGAGGGCAAACGTCTCGGCAAAGAGGTCGGAGAGTGGTTCGGCCCCTCCACCGCCGCCGGAGCCATCAAGCAGCTCGTGTCCGACTTTCCCGAGGCTGGTATTGCCGTTGAACTCGCACACGACGGCGTCTTCTACCTCGACGAGGTCCGCGCAGCTGCAAGTGCCTCGACTGGCAAATCTCGAGCCAGCGGCACGCTCTCTGGCAATCGCAGGGCCGAGACTGCCGTCTGGCGTCGGCCCGTGCTGATTCTGATCGGCATCCGACTCGGTCTCGAGACTGTCAACCCCATCTACTATGAATCGGTCAAAGCCACCTTCTCGTTCCCACAGAGCGTTGGCATTGCAGGTGGAAGGCCGTCCTCGTCCTACTACTTCATGGGCCACCAAGGCAACTCGCTCTTTTATCTCGACCCGCACAATGTGCGACCTGCCGTGCCTCTACGATACCCTCCCACCACCTTTCCCGCTGCGGCCCCACACAGGCTCGATGTCTCGCATCGATACGCCCTCGAAGACCGCGACGACGAGGACGAGTGGTGGTCCCACGCATACACCGAGGCTCAGACGTCCACGTTTCACTGCGAAAAAGTGCGAAGGATGCCCATCAAGTCGCTCGACCCGAGCATGCTCCTGGGTTTCCTGGTCAAGGACGAAGAGGCGCTGGTCGATCTGTGCGCGCGCATCAAAGCGCTGCCCAAGACCATCTTTTCCTTCGCCGAGTCCGCACCAAAGTGGGTGGATGACGACGACTTTGACCCCAGCATGGAGAGCTTCTCCGAGCCGTCCGCGGACGAAGCTGGCTCCGATGACGATGCCAGCAAGAGCGAGGACCAAGACGACGTCCCTGCGAAACGCGAGATCAGTGCTGAAAAGGCGGAAGGGACCTCTCAGCGATCGAGTCCCAAGACAAGTGTGGTCTTTCCATCAAAGCGGGACGCGGGTCCCGGCGAATCGCTGTACAGGGAGAGCCAGCAGAGGACGGCTGCCTGGCTCGGACACGGCCGACCCGCCGCTACGGCAGCCAAAGCGGACCGAACCGACGGCGCTGGAGCAAGTGGAATCGCCTTCCCCTCGCTGGATCTGCTCACGCCGCACAACGACAGCCTCGGAGTGCAGAGGCCGAATCGCTCAGACATGCGACAAGTATCGACTTCGTCGGCGGCGACGACTCGGCCGATGGCGCGCAAGGCGACCAACGCGACGGACACGGACGAGATCGACGGGCGGGACCTTACTGCCTCTGCTGCTGTCGGCGCTGTCGTGGCTGGCGCTGCAAGGGCGGGAAAAGTGTCGCCTTCGAGAAGCCCGGCGCGTGCAGGGCCGGACGAGAGCTTTTCCACAGTGCACCTTTCCGATTCGGAAGTGGGCTCGGGATGGGAAGAAGTGTCTGACGGAGGCACGATTGCGCCGTCGGCTTCTGCCACGTCGGGGCTGCATCGAACCGGCTCGCCTACGCTGCTCGGCGCGAGTTCCAGCGCGGCGGAACCTACTAGCCAATCGGCTTGGGTGATGTCGTCGATGCGAGACGGTCTCGCACCCGAGGAGCTCGTGTCACCGATCTCGGTGGTGAGCGAGAGCGAGCTGGTGGGCGTCAGCCTCGATACGCCCACGCACGAGGCACCCAAGATGTCCTTAACTACTGCTGAACAAGCGGGCTCGGTGACAGCGACTGAGGGTTCAAGGCACGCTGGGCTTACGACGGCACATGCGCCGCTCGCCCTGCCGCGCAGAAGGACACAGTCCAAGCCATCGCCCATCGACCCCCCGCCTAGCTCGGATGCATCTGCCCCACCCGTACCCAGCGTTCCTGCTGCATTCCTCAACGCCCAGCCTGAACCGTCCGAGGAGGCGAGCAAGCCAACCAGAGCGCCCGACCTCGACGCCAGCGACGACGACTTTTAAACCACCCTGCGCGCGCGTGACACAGCTGGTCTGTACCACGCCATATACCCCCTTTCCTTCCCTCTCTTTTGTAGCTTGCAAATTGCCAACCGTTCGTGATCTCTCCCAGCCCCAACTTTGAGTCTTTGAAAAGAAACGGTGGGGTGAAATCTTCTGGCTCGCGCGGTTCTTCTGACCCGTCCTCCAGCATCGACGTCGAATGCATGTCCAAGATCGATGCTACTCTGCCTCAGCTCAGAACACGATGCACTTTCACGCACTGCACCAACCCCCCACTCCATCGCATCGTAACCAGAAATCTGTTCGCAAATTTGGACGTCGTGGGGTCGAAAGTAACATGGGCTTTGGTCGAACAGGTTTGCGAGCACAAGAAAAGGGTGGAGTAGGGCAAGGAAAACAAAACATGATCTTGTACAAAATCGATCTTGCCTCAGCTTGAAGCATGGGGTTGGCAAGGTTGGGGTCATGTCACGCTACGAGCGCACACGTGCGCGCTCACTGCTGCTTGCACTCCTGAGGATCTTGCGAGCCGGCCATCTGCGAGCCGGCCGACGCACCGAGCTGCGCCGATCGTCGCGGCTGGTCGTCGTCGTCCTCATCCTCGTCATCCTCGTCGTCCTCGTCGTCAAAGTCGGCGTCGTCGAGCTCGTCGAGATCCTCGTACTGCAGCGCCTTGCCCGTGAAGAAGTCGACGGCGTGCGGGATGATGCGGTCCTTGAGGTCCTCGCCGATCTGGTAGTCGAGCTCCAGACGCTCGTCGAGCTCGTCCAGGTCCGCCTCGTCGTCGTCCAGCTCGCCGTTCTTGGGCGGCTTGGGCGGGTTGAAAAAGTTGAAGAACGACTCCACGGGCACCGAGCGCTTGACGGTGCGCGTCTGGTTCGTGTTCTTGTTGCGCTGCTTCTTGGTCTCGATCTTGTGCGTCAGGTCCTTGTCCTCCTTCCACTCGATCTTGCAGCCCTCGGCGTGGTCGTACACGAGGTCACCCGAGAATCCGACCTCGTCCTGGTAGTAGTAGGTCTTGCTGAGCACCGAGTTGGTGAAGTAGTCGTTCTTGGAAGGCTCAAACTCGAACTCGAGCTTGAAGCCCGCCTGGTCCACGAGGTAGCTCATGCGCACGTCGACGAGCGCACGCAGCGCCTCCTCGTCGCGCTCGGTGATGAGCTCCGAAAGCGCAATGTGGTTCTTGAGCGCGGTGAGCCAGAACTCGGGGATGCCGTTGGCACCCTCGGCGGGCGCCTTGACGTCGGCGAGCGACTCGGGCTGCTCGTCCTCGTCGTCCTCATCGGCATCGACGGCCTCGCCGGCCTTGACCTCGTCGGCGGTGGGCTCGGTCTTGCCCTGGATGATGGCGGCACGTCGCTCGTAGAGGGGCTTGTAGCGCTGAGCGTACTTCTTCTCGAGCTCGAGGATCTCCTTCTGGAAGTCGGCCTCGATCTTGTGGTGCTCGACCTGGACACCCTTGAGGCCCTCGACGCGCCTGCGGATGTGGTTGGGGAGCGACTCGACGTAGCCGGACGATCGGCCGACGAGGCTGGAGAGCTTGTCCTGCACCATGGCAGCGAGGGCGGGGTTGCCCTGAAGGGCCGAGGCGACGTCTACGGCGCTCTCGTCCTCCTCGCCGATGGTTCCGACCGTGGGGCGCGAGAGCGCCTCACGGGTGAGGGGAGCATTGTCGAGCGGGGTGTTCTGCGGGGTGGGCGCGATGGCGTCGGAGTTCTTGCTCCTGCCGATCTCCTGGGCGCCGGACATGATGACGGATGTGGTGGGTTTGGTGAACGAAGGTGAGGTTGAAGAAGGATGAGGCCGGTGATGGGTAGCAGTGAGTCGCGGCGGCCAACGGTCAGGCCGAGTGTGCAGAGTGTGGCGTGGACGGGAGCGTGGACTCTACGATGGGCAGAAGCGTAGCTGCCTTGGTGTTCAAAGCGAGCAAGGGGGTGAAGGAGGAAGAGATGGTGTGGCGGTGGATAGAGAGAAAGGCGCTGCTGCAGTGATGGTGTTGGCGGATGGGCGATCCAACCAAAAGCTCAAAATCCAGTTCAAAAGGTTGGCAGGCTGGCTACAGCGACGCAGTTCCGCTGCGGTTTCGAGTGGCGAGCCAGCCTGTCTGCTTTGGCGCCCTGCTCCCCTTTTTTTGGTTGTGGCTCGCTCGCGACTGCCAGTGAAGCCAGCCTGACGCAGCGCACGCGCCCGCGCCCGCGCCCGCGTCCTCGCCAACCGACCCGGGCTGAGTTGCAGTGGATGGAAATCGCGTCAGAGTGTTCCACAGGGCGGGCGAGCGAGCGAGCGACTGATTGCAATCGACAGGCGACGCTGCAAGGGATTTGCACGGTCGAATTGGGATTTGGGGGAGGGGGCGATGAGATTTCAACTCGACTCCTCTGCTGAGCGGCTTCAACCTCCACTCGCCAGCGCCTGCCATTCTTTTTGGGCCGTGCCGATTCAGAGAGCGAATACAAATGCCAGAGAGGCGAAATTCAACCCGAGCCACGCAGCTTTTCGTAGACTGACGCACAGACTCTAGCCAAAGTTGGAGCTCGCTCTCTCGACCCTTTGTCTCGCCTGGCTGGAATCTCCCCACACTCGGGCGTCAGTGGTCGGTCCAGAGCTAGGACAGCTCAAAGATGAGCCGTGGCTCGTCCGTGTCTGGAGAATCGCTATTGCGTCGCATCGTATCGAGGCCACGAAGGAGAATGAGCCTCATTTGACGGTGAGCGCTTCGACTCAGGTTCATTGCAAATGGCGATACCATACATGCCGAATGAGATGCCAATGTTTGGGAGGGCAGCGCCATCAAGCGATTCTGTGGCCGTCGTCTTGACAGGTGTGCTTTCGGCTGTGGGCATCCCAAACTTTTTTTTTCAGCGCGTTTGCTGTTCCGATTTTCGAGAGCTGCAGCCGGCGACGAGCGCTGCTTATCTCGAAGCGTCAGCCAGGTGTTGGGAAAGCCGCCTCAGCCTCGAGCTGCTGCGCGTTTCTGCGAGCCAGGCCTCACGGGTGCTCCTGCTTGCCGCCATTCGGGACGAGTGGGGTCCCGGCTGCCAACCGTCGGTCGGTCACTCTCTGCATCCTTGCTCTGCTATGCTTCAGCCACGCTGCGGACTTGAACGAGCCGCACGACGCAGCCGCGCCAATATTGCAACAAGACTCGCGGTGGGAAGCACAGAGTCACGTCCAGCGGTCGCGCGCCGTCGAGGCGGTGGCCAGGGCAGCATCAAGGCTGACCCGGGCTGCCCGTAGCTCCAGGCCACGTTCGGAAGATCCCGGATATCAAGGCGGTCGGCAGCTGTCTGCTCAGTCAGTGATGTAGGCCCGATTGTCAATGCCAGACCTCTTGCAGCACGGSGAGCAGCGAGCATCCTTCTCCCCCCCCCCCCYCCAAAAAAGTGGTTCTTGCGCTCGGAGCAAATGAAGGAGGTGGTCAACGCGCAGGGTCCAATTCCATCTTTTCCAAAATGTTATCATACGCTCCCGCACATTGCATGTATTTTTGTCCGGATGTTAGATCTGTGGAGCCGTGATGGAGCAGGATCGTTGTAACGTGGAGCACCGCCGCACGAGGCGAAGCGACCATCTCACGCCCGGACCATGTTTGCGCGACCGAAGATGGAGTGAGTGGGCCTCGGCACGCGTCGGGCTTGGCATTCCTTGGACAGCGCTCCGTGGCCGTGGAGATGACAAGCCGCAAGAAGCCGCGGCGAGACCCTTTGGAAGCAAGATGCACAAGCGAGCCAATTGGACAGGTGTGGCAGTGCTCAAAAGGCAATGCACGGCGAGCCAAAGTGTGCAAGCCCGCGTTCCACCGTCCTTTGGCTCTCCGAATTTTTGTTCATTTTCTGGTGGTCTTTTTTCTTTCTTTCCCGAGACGCTTTGTTGGATGTCGCTCTCTCTTGGTCCAAAACCGTGGGCACTCGCCGACACAAACAGCGCTAGAAAGCTGAGACAGACGAGCTGAGCCTCTGCAATGCTGTGTGTTGGCGCTCGTCGGCCTTGTCGACGCAATACAGGATTGTGGACGGCACCACAAGGATAGGAATGACCACCTCGGAATTCGGAGCGGAGGAGGCAAGCTGAGCCGCAGCTGCATCTCGGAGCGGCGGCGGTGGGTGGCAGCCGCCAGCAGAGGGTGGGGTCCGAGTCAGGTGGAAGTGGAGAGCGAGCGAGTGGCCCACCCAGGACTCGAAAAAGGTGGAAAATCCGTTCTGGTCGTTGATAGCCGCACGCGTCATGGATGATGGACTAATCGACTCGTGCCCTCGTGGGCGCCCCCTCTGCAAAGCGAGGAGTGGGATCGAGCCCTTTTTGGATTTGCATTTCCATCCACCCTTTCACAGAACGCGCGACACCACCTTGTACCGCTGCCACCATCCAACCCGCGGCAAGCTCATACACGTCTTCTGCCATCCACGGCTCTCTCTCACAAGGCAAACGAACGGATTCCAACGTCACCCGCCTGGTGCACACCTCGGCTGCACATCTTCACCCGTCAGGACGGCAACACCTGGGTCGGCTGCGCACCCACGTCGATCCGAGCTGCCTTGCATTCGAGCTCAGCGAGCCACATGGCCCGGCACAGCCACACCCCTTCCTGACACCCATCCCGGATTGGACGCCCTTGCCCTCCTCCTCCTCGTCCTGCTGCCATCGCGTGGGCCGCCTGCCCCCCGTCATTGCATCGCCTGGACAAGCGCATCTCTGTAAGTACTGGATCGGCTTTGTCGCCGCGATTCGCCCAGCACAAGCTTGCCACACTATCAACACCGACCCTTCCGCCGACGTCCTCGCCCGCCCGCCCGCCCGCCCGCCCCTTCGCCGCCGCCGCCGCACCCGAGTCCTCCTCGTTCCGCGCATGTGACTCGCACCCCGACCTCGCTTCTGTCAACAACGCATCCGTACATTCCTCCGAACCTCGGGCGTGCATTGCCGATCGATCGCACCGACACAGCATCGCCCCACTCCCACGCTAGCTCCTTTCGCTCTCCCCGTACAGCAAGTCCGCCCTGTCGCTTGCACATCCCTCTTCGCCCACGCCCCAAACCGGTCCATCTCGACCCGGTCTCGCTGCGACCATCGCCATCATTCACCAGCATAGCCTCAATCGGCTCGTTGATGCACCCTCCGAGCACCTCAGCTCCTCTTTCATTCGTCCACCATCAACAGCAATACTTTAGCGCGCCCACTTTTGTTGCATCCGCCATCCTCATCACCATCAGCCGCGGGCCCGCCGCCCATACAACACCAGTACCGCGTCCTGCTCTGCTTCGACGCCAACGACTTTAGCGGCCCGCCCCTTATTACTGCACCGTATCCGAACGAAGCACGGCCGGATCAAGCGATCAGTCGCCGTGGACAAAAGCTGACCTCGATGCCTCCCTTCGCAACCATCTCGCTTCCGATTCCTTCCTTTCAGACCGAAGAGCCCAGCCCCTTGACGCCCGGCTCCGACACTTCGACGCTCTTCGAGTTCGAGCTCGACGATCCTTTCAAATCGTCCCTGGACTCGGGCAAAGACTTCGAGCTTGCTTCGCCTTCTGACCACCCCCCGGAACCTTTGGAAGAGCAAGGCACTCGCAGCGCACCCTCCATCCCTTCTCGACGCCTCAGGTATCTCGAGCGCATCGAAAAGGTGCTAGCAACCGAGCTCAATCCCTTCGACCTCATCGCCTACTCCGACTCGGACCACAGTACTATCGGTGCGCCCGATTGCCATTCTCGTCCCGCCGGGGCTGGCTGCAACGACGCCGCCCTTCCCACACGCGTCGACATGCAGAACACCGGCGCCTCGAGCACACAACACCACTTCAATGACCCCGCCCAGCAGCAGGCGCTCACCGACAACGCCTACAGCGGAGCGTTCTACGATCCATCCTCCGCTGATGGCTACAGCGCGCCAACCCAGACCAGCTTCCTGAGCGCAGCGCCGGCATCCTCCTCCTCCTCATCCATCCTTTCCCAGCCATCTCCCGCCGCATCCTCTTCCGACCTCAATCACCTCGGAGCGCCGAATGCCTTTCGCGACAACAATGTCAACCCAAGTCCGCTCTCCAGCCCCTACCTCGGAGCGATATCTCCGGCGGGCTCGCACCACCGCTCGGGCTCTCACAGCTCCGAGGCGGCGAGCCCACCTCAGTTCGACAGAGGCTTCATTTCGGACCCGGCACTGTCTCAGACTGTCGGCCAGATCGGTCAAATTCGCCTCGATGAGGATCAGCGCTACCCACCCACCTTTGAAGAAAGCTCGGACTACGCCGGCTCGCCCGCAAATCAGGCCGCTACCAGCTCACAAGGCGCAGATGGCTCGACGTTTCCGTCAACAAATAACCAAACGTTCGGCGGCAGACCCGCCGGTAGCACCCCGCAACTCACGCTGGGCATCCCCACCGTCTCTGTCTCTGGCAGCTCGATGGACTTTACGCCAATCGCTGCAACCGCTGACACTGCGATGCCCCGCATCAACGTTATGGCGCCTTCGCCCTCGACGCCAAGAGCCATGGGTGCGCACGGTCAATCGGGCGGTTTCCAGGACGTCCTTGCTCAGCTAGTCGCCTCCCACGCCGCTACCTCGGGCATCTCTGCGCCATCGAATCAGCCCGATGCCTCCAGCAGCTGGCTCCAGTCCGATCAGCCCTTGACCATGCACAACGAGCCATTCAGCTATGCCTCGACCCCAGGCACAACCGTCGAGGCTCAACAGCCATCGTCGAACGAGCAGCCTTTCCGACCGAACTTGGCTAGCGGTCGACTGATTCCCGAAGGATACACAACCGAGTCGGCTCAGATGATGTCGACCTTGGCTGGCAACCCGCAGCGCAATCCTGCCGTGCACGCGCCCGGCCAGTGGTCGAGCCAGGCCAAGCGTCAGGACTCGTACGACAAGATCCGGCAGTTCTTGCGTTTGGACGTCGACATGGGATTCCAATCGACGGGCAAGACCGAGTCTCCCACGCTCGCCATGTTCCGCAAACGTGCCAATTCGGATATAGGTCCAAGATCCCCAGTGGTCGGCGGCGATGCGGGAGCAGCAGGTACTGCGTTCGACTGGTCGCTTGCTGCCACCAACGCATCCAACGCGAAGGACCAGGACAGCCTCGACATCGACTGGACGCATTTGAAAGCAGACCCGACAGGCTTCCAAGGTGCATCAAACGAGCTCGGCTCCACCCAGCCGGCGACGATGAACCCTGCTCTGTTGAGCAATGCCCAGCTACCTGTCGACCTCTCGCAGGCTTTTGATCCTAGCAACGCTGCCCTTCTGGCCAGCTGGCAGCAGCAACAAGCCCTCATGCAACAACAGCAACAGCAGCAGCAGCATCAACAGCCGTACCAGCAGCAACACCAACAGCAGCAGCAGCAACAACAACAAATGCAGCAGATGATGGCGCCCGTCTTCCAACTGAACGGCAATAACAACCTGATGGGGGAATCCGACTTTTCCTCTCAGCTGGGCGGATCGGGGCCGGGCGAGTTCAATCCACAGTGGCGCTTCCCCGGCGACGGGACTCAGTCCGCCAATTTTGCAGGTGGTGCGTCTGCCCAGCCGAGACTGCGAAGATCCAGCAGCGCGCGACAGAGCTCTGCGGGTGGACACCGCCGACTCACGCACTCGGAGGACCTGTCGCGCAGCCGAATGTACCAGGGCGCTGATGAGGACTTCCTCGCCAAGATCACCGCGCCAGACGGAGGACTGGCGCCGCCGTCGGCAGGACGCTCGGTGTCGTCGAACAACGCTGGTCCGAGCAACCACCAGACGTCGTCGCCAAGGGTACACCCCTATCGCACAGGCCACGACCGACACTTTTCCTTTGGGTCCAACACGTCCAACAGCAGCGCCACATCTGCGTCGCCGTTGCCGCACTTCAGGGGCACGGTCGGTTACGATGCTGCAGGGAACTTGGTGCAGTATTCGTCTGACATGTTTGGCGAGATGGGTGGAGGCGCGGAGGATGCTGCGCAATCGCCATCGGCATCGAGCGCGGCTTCGGCAGCGAGCTCGATGCTGGGAGCACCGCCCGTGCCGGTTGTCACGAGCCAGGCTACGCAAGCGGCTTCGGCGTCGCGGCGAAAGTCGGAGGCGCTGTTTGCGTGCCCGATTCCGGGATGCGGCTCGACGTTCACGAGGCAGTACAACCTGCGCGGCCATCTGCGATCGCATGCGGATGAGCGGCCGTACAAGTGCGACTGGCCCGGTTGCGACAAGAGTTTCGCGCGCTCGCACGACTGCAAGCGCCACCAGAATCTGCATCTCAACATCAAGCCGCATACGTGCGAGCAGTGCGGCAAGACGTTTGCACGTCTGGACGCGCTCAACCGGCATCACAAGAGCGACACTGGCGGTTGCACCACCAAGAGCGACGGCGAGAGCCAGTCGAACGAAACCGACGGGTCGTCGATCTCCGGTGCCTACGATGGAGCCGATTCGGATCGCGGTAGCCAGCATTGGGGTCAAGGCGATGCGGGAGCAGCAGCGGCTACGACAAGCTCCGGCAAGACGTTTGGTGGCCATGTGCTTTGATAGCGCAAGCATGCGTCCGGTCTGTGCAGGCACAGATTCCGGGCCGCAAGGCAGCTTGCCCAGCATGACCCGGCTGCCAGCTGACAAGAGTGGCTCTTTGCTGTACTTTGATTTATGCGTTATGGAACTCGATGGTCTTATTCTACTGTAGCCTCTGCCTGTGTGTGTGTCCGTTTGCTCTCAGTGTCAGTTCTCGTACACCAGAGTTGTCCGGGATCGGGTATATGGGATGCTTGGACTGAGGCACCAACATCTGCGGCCATAGAACCTTGAAAGCACCGCATCCCGTCCGATCTGCGAAGTTAAGCAAGGTATCGCCTAGTCAGTACTGCGGTGGGGGACCACGCGGGAATCCTAGGTGCTGCAGTTCTTCTTTTGCCTTTTTTTGAAGGTTTTGTGAGATAAGAGCAAAGCTTGAGTCAGAGCCAGAAGCTCAAGGGTTTCCTCAGTCGGCCGCACCGGGTTGCTGGTTTGGTTTCGACCGGTACGTCCGTCGGCGCGGGTTGCCACTATCTATCTCGGACCGTCTCATCGAGTCTCATTTCGGCCACTACTTGTCCCCCTTTGCAAGAAAGCCGCATGACGGTGTGTGGGGTTTCTGAGCACTTGCATGACGCAAGTTTTGACCAGGACATCATCGCAAGCTGTCAGGTGGGGTCAAGTGGGGCTCAATGAATCTCGGCATTCTTTTGTGCAGAGTGGGCCCTTGACTTTTTCAGGGGCGATGGACAGAGCAGCAGCGCGCGGTGGGCCGAAAACGCTCCACGCATGCAACTCGCTCTAATCTCGGCAGATCCGGCTAACTCTCTGAGCGGTGGTATCGCGCGTCGCTCGCTTGCTCGCTCGCTCCACAAACAAAAGAAAATTTCCGCAGGGATCCTGCCGCTGATCTGCTCCACACACTCGAGCGAGGCTCGGGCTTAAAGGCCCAAAAAAGGCTGGCGAACGTGCGCGATTTGGATGCGGCGGTGGCATGGCTTTTGAAAGCTCGCCGAGTGATGCGCGGACCCTGCTGCGAAATTCGGCTTTGTGCCGCACTCGCTCGTGATTGTGTGATTTCGTGCCCGGCTGTGCTTATGCGCCTATCTCGCCCAGACACCGCGACCAGCAGCTCCGCAACCCTGGCCCACACATCCCGCATTCAACACAAACCTGAGCCCGTCTGATACCCGGTCCTCCACCGACACCGCCAACCGCCTMAGCCTCAGCCTCAACCAACACGCACATCACTTCCCTCCCATCCATCCCCTCTGTTTCCCTGCTTCGTCTAGATCACCCATCGCCTACGCCCTTGCATACTCGCGGAAAGTATCTCGACGCAGCTCAGCTCAGTAAAGCAACTCAGACTCGGAATCGGACCGAACCCAAATCACTTCCATCACCTGCGTTTCCCACGCCATCGTCGTGACTCCTCCTTATCCAAACTTCATCTGTTGAGCCGTAGCGCACAGCAGCTGAAACGCGCTCTCCGAACCCCAACCACCTAGCCCCAACCCAATCAAACCGCCCAGGAGCAATCAGCCTGCTGCAGACCCGCCATGCTGTTGTTGTGAAGCACCATCTTCAAGCATCTCACTCTCTGAGGGCACGATCACCGCATCGCGTGACAGCATAGCTCAGGCGACATCATCCTTACTCTCATCTTATCGCTTTATACCCTACACCACTAAATACGCGTCATTCGCATCATGTCGTTCGAGGGAGAGTCCACACTTCAGGAGCAGATGGCCGGGCCGTCTCGTTCTCGCTTCACTGGATGGCTCACGATGGCCCCGGAAGTCGACCCGACCCCCGCTCCGGCCGCTCCAAGCGCTCAACCTACCGTCGAAACCAATGACGCGACTGCATCAGGCTCGTCCTCAGCACAGCCAGTCGCATCCACGCATGGGTTTGGCTACTTGGGCCAGCAGATCAAGCTTCCGCAACGAAAGAAGCGCCGCGCTACCTTCCAGGTTGGCTCACCTGGCCTTTCGGAGGACGAAGGCGGAAGCATTTCCAGCAGTCTCTCCTCGCGTGCCAGCTCAGACGCACCGGACTTTGATGTGCGCGCCTCGTTCGCGCCCATGCCAGTGTACGGCAAGAAGGTCAATGTCGCGCCCTCGTCCATCAACCGGGGCGTCGGCGACCAGGGTCTGACAAACTCTGTCAAGCAGTCTGGGCTTCACAATCGAGCTGTCGCAGACGCACACGCGCAGCAAAGCAGCAGCGACGACGAGGCGGACGGCCTGTCATTCGGAGGGCGACGATGGAAGGGCAAGACCGTCCACGCGGTCGAACTGGAGCTCGAAGCATTGCGCGACGAGAGACTCATGAGTCACGCTCCCGACGCTGCCTACCTTGCCTCGCGACTCGAAGGCGTTCGACGCAACCTCGAGATCGAAGAGAGGAAGCCAAGCTACGTTCCTTACGACGAGGATCTCCTTACAGACGAAGAGGAAGCCGCTTTGGCCCCGGACGCCTCAGATGTGGTTCGACAGCTCTATCCATTCCAGCACCCGCACGTTGGCCTAGCCGACGCTCCTCCCATGCCGCATCGACCTGTCTCGAACGCGTCATCCGTCAGCTTGGTCGAGGGCGAGACACCGCACGACCTCGACTTTGGTCTGCAATTCGAATCAGGCGCATCCATCGGACAAGCATCACAAGAAGTCAGGATCCACGACCCCGACGAGGTTGCTATGCCTCCCCTCCCGGCACACTTGGCTCCACCGAGCGCCAAACAGATCGACCCAGCAGCACGAGCTGCGGCACTCGACTCGCGCATCGAAGTGCGTGCGCTCCGCCGCGGCGACTTGGAGCAGGTGCGAGACCTGCACGCCTTCCACGGCGATTCAGACAGAGTAAGTCACCACATGGCGTCCCTCACGCTTTCCAGCTGTCCATTATCGTCTCCCGTCGACTCGACGACCAGGGGCAGCCCCAGCGGTCCCATGGCCCACCTTGCAGGCGGTGCGCCTCGCGCCAACTTTGAGTGCTGCGGACAGGCGGCATGGCCGGTTTCCTGCCGCTGCTCGCCTCTGTTGCCAGCGCGGCCGCTTTTCGGCGGCTTCACGACCTCACCCATCTGAGCGGGGCTGTAACAAGCTCGCGATCGATTCGACTCTCGGCGCATCTGTTCCGCGTCCGCATCTGCTTCAACCGCTTCGACCTGCACCAAAAAAAGCTTCCTGCATGAAGAACGCACGGCTTTGCAAAAACACACGAAGCTTGAAAGAGAAGAAAAAAAGATTGAAGAGGGACGGGCAGTGCCTGGCGCACGGCCTTCCGGTGATCTGTCGGCCTGGACACTCGCATCCTGCCCAAGAGGTCGTCTCGACGGTGGGGACGAGGAGCCAGGCTCGACCGCCCATCGGTAGTTCTGCCGAAGGTGCTCAGAGGCAGGGGCGACTGTAAGGCCAGGCACGGTTGCAGCTGCACCCACACATGCAGGGAGCAGCAGGTGGCCGACCATTCGCAACGTCACGCCCATTGTCTTTCGGTCCGCCGTGGCGGCGCATTGCAATGCAGTGCAGCGAGTGTGTGACACATGCGCTGCGATGCTGCGCACGAGGTTCGACGGGGTCGAGCAAGAACAAAAAAAGTTCAGAGCTCAGCCCTACATACCTCGCTTGCGGCCAGAAAGCTCCATCCCCCCTCCTCCCTCTTCTTGCGCTCGTGATGTTCTCAGCTGCTCCAACCTCAGTCGTATCTTGATCGTGGGCGGAATCGCCCTGCCCAGGCGTGCGCGATTAGTGCCAAGCTCGCCCGGGCTGAAGGCTTAGCGCCGCGCGCTCGAGCTTGGCCGATCCGGCGCACCGGAGTGCGGTCTGGCTCAGCCGGTCCGGTCACAGATGCGCCATCGATAAAGCTTTTACGCAGGCGGCCACTGCTTCGCCCTTGGATCTGGGGTCAGCTTTCGGTCTTCGCTCGATCTTCGTCGGATTCTCGGCGAGACTTGCGCCTTGCTCGCTCGAACGCTGTCGGTGATTTCTTTTTTTCCAGCACACCGTTTGGGCTCTGGGCGCCGAGCCTTATCGGTGCAGGATCTTTGCACCGCGCATGCGCTCGGCATGAAGTCGCTAAAAAATCCACGCAGGGTTTTGACGAAGAGGCGTGTTTTTTCAGCTGGGCTCGCTCCCACGTTCTCGAGTCCCGCAGCGGATTTTTTTGTGGATCCATTTCCCGCTCTCCGCTCCCTGCTCCCCGCGCCCCGGTCCTGGCTCGGCCCTCGTGTGCTCAAGATTGCCGCCCCCAGATTCCCGGCCATCTCGCTACCCCGCCGCCGGCAGAGTCTCGCCATCTGTCTCCTCGCTCTGAGGCGTTGACCGGCCTTCCTGTCAGCACTGCTCAGGTTGAGGTTGGCTGGCGAGCGTCATCGCCCGCTTTGGTCGGGCACTCAGAGCAGTGGAGGATGAATCCTGCTTCTCCGAGACGTGTAGCACCAGCAGACGACCGGCATTCTCGTCATTTTCCGACCGAGCTGTCCAGATTCGCCGATGGACCGGCGATGCGTCTGGCTCCCGCCACGTCGTCGGATCGGACATCTCTCGTGCATGCTCCCGCTTCCCCACATTCCTCCCCGCACTTGCGCTTGATGGCGGGCCAAAGCTTTCCTAAGCGATGCGGCTGCCTTCCGGTCAGAGTGGGGAGCAAGCCGCTGGTTCGGGATACCTTGAGCTTGTCCGCGCCTCTTTTCGGCCGTGAACATCCCTGCACACATGTGAAGTAGATGCTGACGCTTTGCCTTTGCTTGTATTGCACAGTCTCCGGATCACGGCGAGACATATACGTCGACGGCGTCGTTCCTGCTGCGGCTGCTGGTGGATGACCGGCACGTGTGTCTGGTGGCGGTGGCCAAGCCCATCCCGGAGCCCGCGGCGCCGCTACCTGCGGCTGCCGATCTGGTCGGACTGGCAGCTCGCCGTCCCGACGATGCAGACAGCCTGCCCGGATCGCCGCAATCCACGTCGCCTGCCTCGCTGTCTGCCAGCGACGACGAAGCCAGCACGGGTCTGAAGTCGCTCCAGCTCGATGCGGCGCGGGCGGCCGAGTCGTCAGACCAGTCGAGTTTGTCATCGTCGCCGGGTCACGGCGGACGTGCCACGACATCGTCGCTCTTCTCCGCCATGGGGCCAGGGGCTGGACTCGTGCCTACTGCGCCGCACACGCGCATGATCAGCCCGCGCGGCCGCGACGGCCGCATCAACAACACGCCTGCCACCTCTGTATTTTCCGACATCTTTGCCGAGCGCGGAGCGACGGTGCACAAGCCTGTACTCGCCGACCTGCCCGGACCGACAGATATGGCGTCGGCACCCGTGAAGAAGGTCATGTCGATCCCGCCGCCCCGCGGTGCAGACGCACGCGCTGTCGAGACCGAGACGATCCTCGGCGTGGTGTCGGCGCACCTCAGCGTGGTGGCCGCACCGAGCGAAGACCATCTGTGGTTCGGCGGTGGATCTGGCAAAAAGGCGGTGGAGGATGCGAGTGCGTTGGTGGATGTGCATGTGCTTACGCTTGCAACGGCGCCCGAGGAGCGCGGGCAGGGGTTGGGTGCTAAGCTGCTCGCGGCTCTGCATGCAGAGTGCATGCACAAGGCGCGACACATGGCGATGCGGATGCGCAACCCCCGCGCCGTACCCGTCGTCGCACCGCTCTCACCCCGCTTTATCGACGAATCGACGCTCATGGCTTCGATGGGCGCGAGTGGGTCAAAGTCGCCCTACCTTCGTGGGGTGGTGGGATGCAGTCTGGCGCAGCTTCGCGATTCCAGGCCGGGCGGAAAGTACTTGGCGCGCACGTTTCTCGAGGTGCATCCGTCCAACATGCACGCGATTGCTTTGTACCGCGCACACGGCTTCCAAGCTCCCGCGGACGATACGGCGGCTGTCAAGCGTGGCTTCTACCGTGGTGACACACGCATTGCCACCGCCGAACGCACCAAGCGCGGCGGAACAGACGCCTGGATCCTCCAGCGCTTCGACGGTCCCATTCCCTAGACTCCCATCATCCGCATTGAATCTCACTCTCAAATCGCATCATCGTGTGCAAGTGCCAAGTGGTGAAGAAGTCAGAATGTGCCGATTGTGCCGCGTAGAGACGCATGCAGCGAGTTTGGGAAGAGGGGCACTTTTGGATGCGAGATGAAATTTTTGGGTGTGTGTGTGTGTGTGGTGTAGATGTACAGATCCCGTTCTCCCACGTCTGGCGCCACCTTGTTGTGTGCGCACAAAACGGTGAGAGAAACGGAAACAGAGATGGGTGCGGTGCTACAACATCGGGCTGGTCGGCTTAGATGTTGAGCTTGGTGCGGCGCCAGTGGCGGCGCTTGGCGTTGTACTGGATCTTGTTGTCGGCCTTCATGCGGAACCAGTTAGGGATGGGGCTGTTGTGCATAGCGTCGCGAGCGAAAGGGTCAGTATTTGGGTCGTGCAGGCAAGGATAGTCATCGTGTAGCCAGCAATGGCAATCGTAACAACAATAGCAGCAGTGGTAGCGATGGTAGCAGTGGGGATGCAGATTTCGATCTGGCATGCCATGTCGGGTTCAGATGGGCGAATTTGTCCAGGAGATGCGCATGTGCGATGTTGGGGCGGACGCACAACGAGCGGAGACCGATGAACAGAGTGTCGGGATCCAATGTGCGACGCAAGGATGCTGGACGATCGATCGCACCAATGCAAGAGTACGAATGCCAGAGGCGGTCGAAGATGGACGTAGTGCGATCGACGGCTTTGTGGTGGGCATCCTGCGCTACACCAGCGCCTGGGCGCGATAGCATCGCTGCCTCGCAGCTGTGAGCATCGTGTCGGGCGGCCTTCTGTGCATCCCGTTCATCCAGCATCGACAGTCGAGAAGAATCGCAATCATCTTTGCGGTTCGTGACTGGGTTGTCGGACCGCTGCAAGTATGTAGGATGGACCGCATGTACGGTCTGACGATCGTAGTGCTGGTGATAGCGATGCGAAGGCGGCAGTGCGACAAGCGTTGCGAGCATTTTTGGATACGACCAGGGTGTTGTAGGCCGAGTAGCAGCTTTTAGCCGAGAACGCGCTGACTGCTGTATTGCTCGTGGCCACGTCATGCTGAAGTTGTGATCCCAACGACGTGATAGCACATCGAAGCTCGTGTTGTGTTTGGCATGATGTAGGACCGTGATGCGATCTTCGTGTCGATGCTGTTTCCTGCGTCTGCGCATTCCCTTTCGCCGCGTCCTCCTGTCTGCTCTCTGCACGTCTATGTATCTCCCATGGCATCTGTCCTGGCTGCCCATCAATGTGTTCCCAACTATGGTGTGTGCTGATGATGGTGCCGGTATGTTGGATGCTGGGCTGATGCATGCTATGCTGACTGCCATTTGCCATTTGCCGATTGCTGATTGCTGGTTGCAATGCTGTGGCTTTCGATGCGATTTACGTACCGGTTCTGCTTCTGCGCCTTGGCGAGCTTGACCTTGGTGCGGAAAGTCTTCTGGGACGGCATCTTGACGGAGTGTGGGGGGGTGATGGGTGGTGATGGTGAGAGAGGAGATCCCGGTATCGCGGTTACGGACGACGCTCGCGGGCGGGCAGTTGCTCAGGCTGGGACTTGGGCTGTGGCTCGAGGGCGGACTTGCTGGAAGCTCGCTCTGGGTGTGGATCGGGTAGCGGCGGCTGAGCAGGTGTACAGACAAGCAACCGCAAAATTCCCATCACGGCTCCCAGGCTGCAGATCGACCCGAGGGCTGAATTTTGGACCAGGATGGAATGCGGATCCGAATTTCAATGCGCGCCTGTGGGCCAGGCCGCACTGGGTGAGAAAAGCTCGGCCGAGCTTTTGTGCGGCACGTGAAGGGACCAAAAGTTCTAATGCTGTTAGAGTATGGACGCGACAAGACAAATTGTTTGGTTTGGCCAACCTCACAAATTGCGCATATTTTTGGTCAAAGCGGATGCACGCATGCGGAGGACACACTTGGGCCCCGAATCGGGCCGCTTGCCCTGCCGAAGCCGGCGAGCACCTGCAGGCTGGATTGCAGGATCGGCAGCGCATTGCAGCTCAGCACACCAGACTTCGCCCCGCAGCAAAGAGACTAGAAAGATCCTATCATTTCGAGCGAGAATACTAGCACACAAAGACGATGGCAAAGTTGGCACGCGGATGACTTCAGAGTCGCGAGCCGGTGACGAGGTCCGAGAGCGACTTGGGGTCGAGCGAGGTGGTTGGGTAGGGAAGCATGGGGCCCTGGATGTGCCACGCGCCTCCGTCTACGACCATCTGGGTGCCGTTGACGAAGCTGGCAGCGTCGCTGAAGAGGTACACGCCGGCGGCGGCGATGTCGGACTTGGCGCCCATGCGCATCATGGGTACCATCTCTGCCACGGCTTCCTCCATGCCCTTGGGTGCGAGCCTGTCCATGCCCTCGGTGCCCGAGATGGGACCGGGAGCAATGACGTTGCTCCTCACGCCCAGCGGTCCCATTTCAACGGCGAGCACTCTGCTGAGCGCATCGACGCCCGCCTTGGCTGCCGAGGGATGCGACTGGTACGGCAGACCAAAGTAGTGCAGCGTGGCGCTGATGAAGATGTAGCTGCCGCGGTTCTTGGTCACCTGTTCGAGCGTCGCCTTGACGGTGTTGTACGACCCGATCAGGTCAATGTCAATGACCGTCTTGAAGCCCTTCTCCGAGTTCTGCTCGATGCCAGCAAGCCAGTTGGCGGCCGAACCGGCGATGACAAAGTCGATGCGTCCGAACTTCTCGACAGTCTTGCGGACGGCTTCCTTGAGCTGCTCGGGCTCGCGCACGTCCGCGGGGCACGGGATGCACTCCTGGCCCGTTGCAGCCGACAGCTCCTTGGACGCCTTGGCGAGACGGTCTGCCTTGCGGCCCAGGATGGCGGCGTTGGCTCCGAACGACATTATGGTCTTGGTCATCTCGTAGCAGATGCCCGAGCCGCCGCCCGTGCAGAAGAGCACCTTGCCCTTGAAGATGTCGGGCCTGAACACCTTGGCCGGATCGGCCGCAGGCAGAACCACTGGATCACGCGCAGTCATGGTTGCACTTTAGGGCAAGGAGATGTGGTTGAGCGTGGTGTTGGGATGGTGTGAAGGTCGCAAGGAGTGTGGGGTTGGATAGATGGACATCAAGGCCTGGTGAGAGGCAGCCTTGGCTCGGTCGTGAAATCCGGTCGATCGGAACGGGCGCGAGTCGCAATAGCCGGTGACTGGGCTCGTGCCCGACCGAATCCTCTGCGCCTAGCTAGTTCGGCTGCACTTCTCCACAACTCGCGCTGCTCGCTTAGGCCATCAGGCTGCTGTCAAACGCGGCACGCTGCAAAAAATGCTCGGAATGCGGATCCCGGCCTCAAGTGGTGGCAACCTCGCACTCACTCTAACCCCATGTCCCGAACATTTTCAAACCACTGAGCACGCGGAAATGGCTGGGATTGCTCTTGCCCATCGCTGGTGCTAGCCCTTGCGCTGCTTGCGAATGTGCGCATCGAGCCGCACGAGCAGGTCGGCCTTGCGGCCCTTGCCATCGAGCCGGTAGAATTCACAGGCGGACTTGAGCTCGGCCACGGTGTATGCGCTGAGCTTGCCCTTCTGCCACAGATCGAGGATCTCGGAATCGTCCTCGAAGCTCGTCTTGCGCACGCCCGTGCTCGTCTTGGCCTGCTTGCTGGATGCTTCGGCGACCATGGCGAGACGCGGATCCTCGTCGATGCTCGCATGCCACTCCTGGATGAGGTGCGCGGTGCGCTTGCGGATGGTGGCGTACTGAGGCACCGTCAGATCCGTCGGTCCCGCAGGCGGCTCTTCCTGGAACGCAGTGGCCATGAGCACGGCGTAGTGGTGGTTGAGCGCCGGATTCGGATAGTGGTCCGGATTGAACGGCTGCTTCTTCTGGTATCGCTCGATGAACGCCACGGCACGGTCCACCTGTGCGTCCTTGGCATCTTCGGTGTGGAGGAGGTTGGTGGGGATGTCGCGCACGTCGTCGGCATACGGCAGCGTGATGAGATGCATGCCTGGCGGGGCTACCTGCTGCCCCTCCTCGGTAAGCTCCTCCTGCTGCGGCACAATCGCCACAAACACAGGCACCACGTTTTGCCGTGGCATGAACAGCCCCAGCCCCACCTTGCCCTTGGACACCATCGAGTTGAGGAGCGCAGTGAACGTCTTCTTGCTCCCCTTCCACTCGACGTCGGAGGGATAGATAAAGTAGGCGTGCTTGACGTTCCACTCGAAGCGGAGCAGGTCGTCGCGGTCGCGGAAGCCGATGAGCTTGAGACACGGCAGCATGCCAAACGACTTGATGCTCTTGAGCTCCTGCGGCGTGAAGGTGACCTGGCCACGCAGGCTGGACGAGTTGCCGAACTGAAAGGCGGGAATAACCTGCTCCTTGGACAGCGGCTTGCCCGAGTTGGCGTCGATGTAGTGCTGGTGCGTGACCACCTCCTTGAGCTCGCCGCAGTCGTCGTCGACGATCACCTTGACCGGATTGCCCTTGGTAGTCCTCGAGACGAGGCTGTAGCCCTTGATACCGATCTGCCACTTGCGGCCTCGCATGCGTGCTTGCGGCAGCTGCTCTTCTGCCGGGCCTTGCTTCTGCGTCTGTGCGTCGGCTGTCGGTGCGTCGAGCGCGGCAAGCTCGAAGCGGATGTTGAACACGACGCGTTTGGGCGTCTCGCGTGTGGCAATGTCGTCTTCCAGCTCCTGAAATCGCACCGCCGAGTCCCACAGGCTGCGCCTCGGTTCCTGACCCTTGAGCTGCTCGGCTGCGGTCTTGCCAAAGCCGGCGGGAAGACGAAATTGGCTGCGCGCTTCTGCGTCTTCGAAATCGTCGTCGTACTGCGCAAAGACGTCGGCGTAGAATCGGTTGACCTCGAAGCCGCGCGAGAGGTCGCTGGTGGATGCCCCATCCGAGGCCGCGCCGTCGGTGGGGTTGATGAAGAACGGTTCGATGCGCACGCCGATCTTGCGAAACTCGTTCATCTTGTCGAGACAGGCGCGTCTGGCCTTGGTGGCTTTGGGGTCAGAGCTCATCGGATGCGGGTCGTCGTTGTCTGTGATCCAGAAGACGCGCTTGCTGCCTGCGTTGGCGGCTGCGACCATGGCGACGCCTGCGTTCGCGAGTGCCCAGTCGATGCGCATCTGCTTGTTCGCCGGGGGCAGCACGGTGCGCAGATGCTTTGGATCGGTGGCAGCGCGGCTGAGGAGCGCCTTGAGATTGTAGGTGTCTGGCACGTTGACCTGGCGTACGGACTGGAGCTCGTAGCTGCCCTTGTAGTACTCGCCGGGCTTGGCGGAGCGGAAGAGTGTGTCCTGGCAATTGAAGATGAGCACGCCGACGTGGTCGTGCGGCGAGGAGATGAGCTTCTTCTGCATGAGCGAGGCGGCCGCCTTGAGTGCCGAGTAGAGCGGCGAAGTGTTGGTGGCTGGATCGATGCGGTGCATCGACTCGCCGGCATCGATGCAGAAGAGCACCATGTCCTTCTGGTAGGTGGCGTCCAGGTCGAGCTGCTCGAGCTCGTCGTCGTCGTCATCATCGTCCGAGTTGAAGGCGCGTGCGGCCTCGCGCTTGTTGACAAAGTATGCCTTGGGCATGATCGGCAAAATGCGCGATGATGGACGTGCGGGGGCAAGAGGCAAGAAGGCAAGAGGCGACAAGGCCATTCAGGGTTCAGGCAGCGCTTCGAGTGGAGGCGACTGAGCAACTTTCGAGGGTTCGCGTCGGTGCGGGATTTTTGGCTCGAGCGCGTTTGAAAGTGTTGGTCTGACTTTTCAAAGCGGCTGACTGTTAGATCTGTTCCGGCCGTGGATGTGGGGAGCGGCGGCGATTCCGGTCCGAATTGGCCGACCGCCGCTTTGATGCCGCTTTCGTGTATTGCATCCGAGTCAGACAACACTCTGCGGGGCAACACGCCGCAAGCAGTGAAGAGCAGGCTTCCTTCTTCCACCATCTCCAAGTCACCCTGCCCCCTACCGCCCACCAAAATCGCTTACAAGAACCATGTCAGCTGTCGCCGCTACGACTGCCAACGCCTCGACGGGCTTCCAGCTGCTGCCGAACCCGTCCAACCCGAGCGAGGCCGAGGTGCAAGCGGCGCTCAAGCTGGTGCGAGCGGGTGGCATCACGTATCCCCAAACTGCCAAGCCGGACCGCACTGCGACGACGCCCTCCACGACTCCCTCGGCGCCGCGTGACGTAAAGCTCGACATCTACGATCCCGCTGGGCTGGACGACAGCGTGCCGCGCACCGTCGTTGTCAGCTGGCACGGGAGCGGCTACGTCGTGCCGCGCTTTGGTGCGGATGCGGACGTGAACCGATGGCTGAGCGACGAGCTGCGCGTGACTGTCGTCGATGGCGACTACGTCAAAGCACCCGAGTTCCGCTTTCCCGAGCCTCTTTACGACGTCGTTGCTGCCGTGCGTTGGGTGGTGCAGCAGCCGTGGTTCGACGGCAACCTCATCGTCAAAGGTCACTCGGCAGGTGCGCAGTTCGCGCTCGCCATGGCTAACCGTTCCACCGCACTATCCGTCGGGCTGACTGCAGACGAGTATGCCAAGATCAAGGCGTGCGTTACGCTCTACCCTCCAACCGACTCTTCGATCCCTTTGATCGAGAAACCCACCAACGAACAGGGCGAATTGCCAGGCATCCCCATGTCCGCTCTCTCGCATCAGATCATGCACTTTTTCTTCGGCGCCCTCCTTGGCTGGGACGCCGAAACTCAGCAAAACATGGGCAAGGATCCGAGAGTGTCCCCCGCTTTTGCACCTACAGAGGCGTACGAGGTTCCGTGTTACGTGATTGCGTGCGAACACGATCCCCTAGGCCCAGAGGCCGTCGCTTTCGCAAACAAACTTCACGACCACAACCCCGTGCACGAGCTGTACTTTGCAAACGGCGTAGGACACAGCTTTGAAACGCGCATCCCTGACGTGCGCGCAAGTGACGTATTGGACCACCCCGGCGGAAAGTCAAAGAAGGAGAGCTTCGAAGGCATGCTTGCCTTCATCCGCAAACACGTCCCCTCCATCAAAGCCTAATCTCCCCCCCCCCCCCTCTACCGCACAGTATAGACGAGGAATGCTACAGAACACTTCTTTCGGAATAGATATACTTTCTGATCAGACACGAGCTTCTATTGGGGAGGCCAGTTGGGGCTGCCCGAGATGCGCCAGACGCCGTACTCGATATCGCCCTTGACGCCGACCTTGACGAGGTCCTTGCCCCTGCCTCCACCCGGTGCGACGCCGCCACCCGGTCCGCCATGCGGCACGATGCCCGTTCCGCCATTGTCCCACGCGGGTGCATTCTCCTCGCGCGGCCAAGTGTCCGTCTTGAGCACCTGCGCATACGCCGCCAGCGCCGCACGCAGATAGCATGCCGTAGCAGCCGGAGTAAGGTATCTCCTCCTTAGCGACTCGACCGCATTATCCGCAATCCTCTGCGGCGGATTTACCCCGAGCGCACCCGCAACGCCCTGCGTCGTCTGCAGATCCTGCTCGATCGGAATCCCCGCCGTATTTTGCAGCTGTCGCGTCGTCTCTTCCAGGCCATTGAAGAGTGGACCGGGCAGCTCGATGAAGTTTTGCGCACGACTGGTCGGGTCAGCATTGAGGGCCGGGTGAAAGTGCTGCGTCCACTGCATGGGATGCGCGACGGTGACACTGCGGCACGACCAGAGGAACTTGCCGCGACCCGAGTAGCTGTTGCCCTCGGTCTGCACGAGGTACCTGTGTCGGCAGTGCTCGTGCATGGGGATGAGCGGGTGGAATTCGGCCCCGACATCGTGAAAGCTCGTCTGCTTCACGTCCGCCCATGCCTCGGCACCCGCAACCTTGCGCGGATCCGTGCGATCAAGCAGATCCACCCGAGGCGGATAGCCATTGGCCAAGCCGCGCCACAGAATCTTATCCCCCTTGTGGTCCCATGGAGCCAGCTGGTCCTGCAGCTGTGCGAGGTGGAGGAACTCGTCGAACGACGCAATGCCCGTTTCGGGCCAACCTGCAAAGCCAAAATCGGGCAACAGCCATGTTCCTTTGGACTTGGGTTCGTCGATGCGTTTGCTGATCGCCCATACGGCATCGTTGGGCGATGCATCCCGGTCGGCTTCGGACAGAACCAGCTCGATGCCCGTGTCATTTCCTGCCTGCGACGTCGACGATGGGTCGGTCGTCACCGCGGTGTGGATGAGATGGAGCAGAGCCGAGATGCGCGATTCGTCGCCCTCGCGCACTTGGCGCAGGAAGAGCTGGCCGTCGCGAATCACGATACGCGCCATACCCCAGCGCGGATCGCACGTGCGTGCGGCCTCGTCGAGATCCTGGAACGAAATCCCACCCTTGGCCCGCCACGCTGCAAGGTTGTCGTCGATCTGCGGAAAGAGGAGGGGGAACTCGGCCTTGCATGTGGCTGCGTCCATTGTGCGGTCGCGTCGGCGCTCGGGTGGAAGCCCACGACTCGTGCTGCGGCTACTCGACAACGACCCGGACGGGAGAAAGGATAGCAAGAGACAAACTATCACAAAAGCCGTAGCGCCATACACACCCGTGCGCGCAAGCACGATGCGCAGCCGCGGATGCGCTTCTCGCAACGGTGCACGGCTCGAAGTGCTTCCACTCGCTTCCGCCCCGCTCGAAAGCGGCGCATATCGCGTCGTCGAAGCCATCACGTCAAGCCTCAGACGGCACGAGCTGCAAAGATGATCCTCCGGGTATAGATTGGTCGCGGTACAATTCCGTCTTGCAGTCCTCTCGTAGCGCGCTGGTGATTGTACATATGTGTGGCGGTGATGGTAGTCGCAGCACACGTTTAGATGGCGCCAAAAAGTGGAGCTATCAGCTGGACTGGCAAGTCCGCTACGCAAAGTGGCCGTGCCCACCTGCGCAGTCGGTGCGGCGCAGGCGTCACCAACTCCGCTTCGAGTCTAACATCTTTGAGCCGAAAAATTGCCGCACACCCTTCATCCGCTCGCTGTCCTTGACCTCATGCTCAGCAGGCTCTCTCATGCCTCCATGCACACGATTCCACACGGAAACCACAGGAGGGAACGCAAAAATGTGCGGAAATTGGCAGCTCGCTACAATACAGTTAGTGAGCTACAGCGCTTGAGGATGACCGTCCGATGAGTGTGCGGCTATCGTCGTGCGGGCGCGCTGGTGCTGCGGTCCGCCTTGGTGCCGGGACGTCGGAGCGAGGCTCGGCCGCGCGCGTCGCCGGACGCATTCTTCTCGCGCACCTGCTTGGACGCTGAGCGGCTGAGCTTGCGCATCTCGCCGTCCTTGAGCTTCACGCTGAACGCGCAGTTGAGCACATTCTCCACCGTGAGGTTGTGCGGCGGCGGATGGAGGAGCAGCTGGAGCATCTCGCCTGCCGTCGGGCACATGGCTCGGTTCATGAGCTGCTCGCGCAAGATGCGCACGATCGCCAGCGCCACTCGCAGCATCCACGTCGGGCCCTCGAAGAAGAACACGTCCCACACGCGCACCAGCGTCGTCCACGGCAGCACGCGCGTAAACAGCGGCAGGAACCAGTTGGGCGTAAACATCATCGAGACCAGCCCCACCTCTTCGAAGCGCGCGTGCAGCTCGGCATCCATGCTGTGCAGCAGATTGCTGAACACCACGCTGTCCACGTGCAGCTGTTTCATACCTGCCGAGTAGTACTCCTCCATCTGCGGATTGCGCAGCACCGCACACAGCAGCCAAAAGGCATCCTCGGCCGGCATGTGGATGAGCGAAAAGGCGGCCAGCAGACCCATCCCCTGCGTGTAGCCGAGCATCGGGTTGAAGTGCACGTACGACTTGAGGATGCCCTCAAGGTCCGCGCGTCCCGTCGCCTTCTCGCCCATGAAGAGGCGGTGATCAGGCAGCGTGCGATGCAGGTCCTTCTCGATGGTTTCGTAGGCCTCTTCCTTGCCGCGCTTGCCCTTGGTGCCCTGCGAGATCTTGCAAAGCTGCTCGAACAGGCCCGGTCGACGTCGCACGGATGCGTTGGCGAGGAAGAGCCACACCTCGCGGCGGATCGAAGCAGGCACGCCCGTGCGCACCAGCTTCTTGACCTTGCGGCTCTTCTTGGCCGAGGCGACGTCGTTCTCGTTGAGCACCGCCATCCACTTTTCGCGGAGCTCGGGATCGTCGGTGGGTGGCAGGCAGGGCGCAACACCCGGCTCGATCACAAAGCCCATCGCGTCAAAGCCGTGACCCATGCCGCCGGGACTGGCGACCGAGCCGGGCGAAGCGGGGAAGGCGAACATGCCGTCGGGTCCCATGGGCGCGCCTTCTCGTCCTGGCGTTCCAGGCGCCGAGGCCGAGAAGGGAGGCATGGGCATGCCGAGCGGACTTCGTGGCGCCGGGCTGCGCGGGCCCATCGAGTGTGCGCCCAACGAATGCGCACCAGTGCTGGCGGCGCTTCCCCGTCGTGCCATGTCGTTCGTAGGTGAAGGTGCGCTGAGCTGGCTCATGGGGCTGGTGCTTCTGGCCATGGGAGACAGTGCGTGAAGACCGCTGCCACCATGGAGGCCGGGAGTAGGGTTGGACGGATTCTTGCGCAGCAAGCCCGATCCGTGTCCTGAATGCGCACGCTCGCGCTCGGACAGACGATCCGACGAAGCACGCACGGGGCCGAGCCCTGGCGAAGTGGCCTGGCCGTTGCGCGAGCGCGCAGAGCTGGCCGAGGTGCGGAAGCTGGGCCGCGCCGCGCCCGCCGAGGCGAGTCCGGTGAGGTGCGGAGGCGTAGGGATGGGCGGATGCGCATCGTCTGCGCCTGCGTCGGTAAGCGCAAGGCTTTCAACCTTGTTGAGCGTCCCCACCGACGCGGATCGACGACGCTCTCGCGCCTCGGCGAAACCGGGACGGTGCGAGAAGCCAGCGTCGTGGCTGTTGGTCGTAGCTGTGCCGGCCGAGACAGGCGGAGACGAGCCCGAGCCCGATCGCGATGTCGATGCATTGGACGCGCCCGTGTGGATGGGCGGAAGCGTGCTCGGGTGCATGCGCGCAGGCGCACCGGGCACACCAGCAGTGTGCGCCAATGAAGGCCGTCGGCGCGGATCGAATGCGCCCGGCCCTCGCATCCCTGATGAGACTGTCGAATCCAGACTCGAGCCTGCGGCGTCGAGCGGCGAGGAAGAGTGAGCGCTGGACACTGGCGGAGTCTCTACCTGGCGACGCAGGCTGGAAGCCATGTCGAGCGGGGCACGTACACCGTCGGCACCGGCGGACCTCGGATCGGGCGCTGCACTGGGACGACGGCCGGATGGCGAGCGCAACGCCAAGGGGATGGAAGCATCTGCGCCGGGTGGCACGACGAGCTGTGCTGGACGGCGAAGACCGGCGGTGGCTTGAGACGGGGCGGCAGGGTGGTGCATGGACTCCGGATGTTGCGCGGACGAAAGCGGGTGGGGCTTCTGCTGAGGCGAGTCGGTCGCGCTCGAGGAGCGCTGGCTGGGCACGTTGAGCGACTCGGAGGACTTGGATGCGGCGAGCTTGGCGAGCGACGACTTGCTTCCGTACTGGCGGAAGTCAAAGTTGGGGAAGGCGACCGAGTCGCGGCCGTAGACGTCGTAGATGGAGAAGGTGTAGTCTCTGCGGCGGTTGTCGACGGCGTTATCGTCGTCCGAGTCGTCGTTGGTGGAGGTGGTGTAGCTGGAGGAGGTGCATGAGGTGCGCGAGGCCAGGTCGGCTGGCGAGCTGGCCGTGGCGGTGGGATTTGTGGCGGCAATCGTGGTGGCGGTGGTGTTGCCAGAGAGCGAGTCGGATCGGCGGGAGGAGGTGGTGGCGGTGGTGGTGATGGAAGGAAGGGTGGAGTTGGCCTGGGCGTGCACGGGCGACTCGCTGGACGAGATGGGCGAGGGAGGGAGGTGATGGATGGTGGGCAGGCCGTGGCCGTGGCCGTTGGGATGGGCGTGGTCGTAGTCGTGGGCGAAAGCAGATGAAGTGCGTGCCGGTGCGCGTGGACCTGCGAGCGAGCCGTTGCGGGTGGGAGGCAGCGCTGCCGATCGTGTGGCGGCGGCAGGGCTGGAGAGGGAAGCGGCGCTGCTTTCGCGGCTGTGCCTGGCCCACGGGAGGAGCGATGTGGAATCGTCCGAGTCCTCATCATTGTTGTCCTGGACCGGCCTGCGACGTGCCGACTGCTTGCGGAGGTGGCCCTCGTCTGAGAGTGGCGGAGTGGTGAGGCCGAAGCGGCCTTGCTTGAGTGGGGGCACGGCTGATGCAGAGGGGCGAGCGACAGCCGCCGAGGAGGTGGGCGCGTGGGTTGATGAAGCTGCATGGCTTGCCGCCGAAGCGGCAAAAGAGGGCGGCGGCTGGGTATCTCGGCGGTCGACCGGCGATGTGAGGGCGGCGTCTTCCTCGCCGTCCGAGTTGACGGCGGCAAAGGGGATGCCTGCAGGCACTTGGGAGAGGTGCATCTTTGCGGCTTCGCTTTTGGACATGGGACGCATGCTGGAATCGCGGATGCTTCCTGCGGCGCTGCGGCGCATTAGGACGGGCTTCTTGAGACGTGCGTGGAATTGGACGTGTGCGCCCTTGAAGCGACCTACGACGCCTTCGCAGTAACCGAGGAACCATGCTTCGGAGTCGGGGAGGACGTCGCTACGTCGTTTTGGATTGGAAGAGCTTGCGCTGCTGATGGGACGACCGTTGGCGTCGGAAGCGTCGTCGTCTAGTCTGCGGAGAACGATGATCTTTTCGCCGGACATGAACATGAGATCCTCTGGCTCTGTGGCAGGGTTATCGATGAGGGCTGTGCACGAGCCGATGCCGCCCTTCTGGAGGGCGAAGCGAGTCCATGCATTGAGTGTATGGGCGTCCATTTCGGGCAGAGTGATTGTGGACACGGACCGCCTGATGGAGATTAGCAGAGGTGTCGGTGTTGGCGGAAGATAAGCGTGCTCGATGTTGCGGTGTGTGCGTGCGCGTGCGTGGCTGGAAAGATGCAGAGGGCCAAGAGACTAGCTGGTGGTCATACGCGACGACGTTACGATGCTTTGCGATGGCGGGAGCGAGTTGGTGGACGACAGCGACGGAGTGAATTGGTCGGTTCCAGCCGACGGCGCCGATGCGAGAAAAGCCTGGATGCGAGAACGGAAGCGACTGCGCGAGTCGGATGCAAGACGAGGCAGGGAGGCGAGAATGAGGTTGCAACGTGGACGAGGCCGAGTTGGTGGCTAGACGGGCATGAAACGGGAGCGAGCAGGAGGAGCGATGGCCGCGTGGTGGATGTCGAGCGAGGAAACGATTGGAGAAGCGCTTGCCAGAGCGGATCGAGTTGGTGGAAGGCGGATGCAAAGGTGCTGCGGTTCGAGCAGCAGCGTGGCGGCGGCAGCGGCGATAGCGGTCAAGCGACGTCGTGCGGTGCGATGCAGATGCGATGCGGCGTGGTGCAAGGCGAGGCGCGGCTAGGTGATTGAAAGAGGGAGAGAGAGCAGCGGGCAAGAGGATGCAGGAGCAGGTGGTGGAAGGGCGAAAGTGCGACGACGCCGACGCCGATGCAAGCAGGAGCAGCTGACGGAGCAAGCGAAAGCAAGCGAAGTGAATCCTATGGCCACGGCAATAATGGTGGATGGTCACGACGCGGGCGAAAAAGAGCGTCGACGCAAAGCACAGATCGGCGAGATGCTCCGCTGGTGGCTGCACTGGGCTGCACTGGCTGCTGCACCAGAGCTGCACTGTAGCCAAAGTGCGGGATGCTGTGCAACTCGGCGTTGACAGGGCGCGGCGGCTCGACAACAGACAGAGCGAACGCCATGAAATGCAGTCGAGTTGAAATTGAGTGCAGAGGGGTTCAGTCCAACTCGACTGCAGGCGTGCCGCTCTCCTTGCCTGTCACCGCGAGCCTACTCGCCGTGCCGTGCCTCGACGCAGAGCCAAAGCCAAAGCCAAAGCCAAAGCCAAAGCCAAAGCCAAAGCCAAAGCCAAAGCCAAAGCCAAAGCCAAAGCCAAAGCCAAAGCCAAAGCAGGGCACGGCAGTGCAGGGCAGAGCAGCGCAAGGCAGTAAACAAGAACAAGACGCAATTTCTCGAGAAAACTCCCAGCACACGCCTCTCGAGCCTGAAATGAGAGTCGACCGCGTGCACGGAACGGAAGCAAGGCACTTTGGCCCAGCTCTCGAGATGCTGTGAATGAGGAGGGAACCATGAGGCGCGTCGGCCGCACCGCCGCTTGGAGGCGCCGGCCCACTGCGGGCAAGCGCACAGAGCCGCTCGAGCAGACGGCAGCACCGCGTGGTTGGGCCGGTGTGCGGTGGGAAGCGACGACGCTCGCCATCGCCAAACGCAAATCGCTTTTTGCCGAGCCACAGCGTGGACAGAGAAAGAGGGGCTCGACGCGTGAGCTGTGGGCGCCGGCCGAGGCTCTGCAGCCGGGCCCGGCTCGTTGCTCATTTTGCTACAGAACGCACGCGTCCGGTTCGTGTTGGTTTCAGCGAGCGATCCACTTTGACACGCATGCTCCGCCGACCAATCCACCCTCGGTTCGGCATGGCTCCGATGGTTTTGCTGTACTGTAACTTGAGTTTTTGCCAATGCTGCTCGAGCGGGCTCCGATGTGCGTCGACGATCAGCTGCCAACGTGTCAAAGGGCCCATTGTGTGCCAGCCCGAGCCCTGATGCGGGCGTGCGTCGGCTCGAGCTCCATCCCGCCCGAGTGCATGCCGAGCGCAGGTGCAGTCCAAATTCCTCGCGCCAAAAACAAACTCAACCCCCCAAAAAAATCCCCTCCTCTGGCAAGCCGAGCGCCCCTTTCTTTGAATTGCTGAGCTGGCATCCATCGCATCTTCACCCGAGACCGAGACAGAGACAGCAGCATGCTCATGCCAGGCCATCCCAGCATGCACGGATGGCATGCGTCGGCACTGCCGCACTACGGCATCCAATCCACCAACAAAGCCAATCCTGCCTTAGCTTAGCTTCGGCCTTTTTCCATCGGCTCTCACGCGCCTCGGTCTCAGTCTGCTCCTCGCTTCACTAGGCTCGGGGTGACCGATTCATCATCCACCAACAAAGCAATGCAAGTCAGAGCCGACATTGAGGCCACCGTCTCACCATGCGACTCATTGTTACGCCCACGTCCGTCCTGAAAATCGCATCTCTTCCGTCCCGAGCGACATCGGCCCTGCAGCATCTCCGTTCTGGCCTTCAATTTGACTGTGTCACTACTGTAGCTCGTGTCGGCTCTGAGACCCCTCGCTGCATTCTTACAGTAACCTCGTTTGTTCGTTCATGCCATCCTTGCTTGTCGAGGTCAGCATTCCGTCTGGCTGTTGGGCTCCTCGACGCGTGTTGGGAAGCGGATAGAGTTTGCATCATGCCTCGACGCCAAGCCTTTGCTTCCGTAGGTTCAGCTCCCGTCCGACGCCATGATCGTCGCTGCCTGTTGCGCATGCGAGCCCAGCCGAGCCAGTCTTTGGTTGGTGACGATCTGCATGCTCCGTTGCTGCCTCTTTGGGCCCTGCGCATCGACACTGCTGTCGAGCGTCTGCCAACCTGCATGCGCGTGCCAAGCCTCGCACCCGGTGTTCTGGCGAAACCTTCCTTCTTCTTGACAGGCGCACCTCGCAAATCTCGAGTTCAATCTCCCCTTGACTTGCCCGCTCCTGTGCCTCCCTCGGTGTCCAGTCACAAGCCCAGCCAGAGTGATGAGCGCCGACCCTCGAAATTCCAATCCCGGGCTGGCTTGGCACGCCCTGCACCGTCGATCATCCAGGGTCCGCCAGATGTTTTTTCTGGCACCTCACCACACCCACGCGCGCGCGACCATCTCCGCACCGAGCCAAGCTCTTTGCTCCGGGCTCGCTGCCCTGCCAAATGTCCGCCCTGCGTGCGTCTCGGTGTTCATGTGACTAAAGTGGATGCGAGGCAGGGCACGCTGGCCTTACCTGCGTCTTTGCTCTCGCTGCCGAACTGCCGTCCATGGCCGATCGGGGTTCCCGATCAGTCATCCAGTCGACGTAGCCGCCTGAGCCTGTCGCTGTCTGCAACCACGGCGCATTGTGCTTGTGTGGGCTTCGTCTCGAAAGACAGGCCTTATTGAGCTTGTGCGGACAGCGAATAGCATCGATGTCGCGAGGCTCGGGCGAACTTCCGTGCATGCAAAGGTTTATGGCATCAAGAATTGCCGAAAGCTAAAAAGCCTCCCAAAAAAGAGGGAGCGGAAAAAGAAGCGTCGCTGGATCGCGCTTCCGGCCAACAGATCAGGCTCGCAATCGGCGATGCAGACGTGCCTCCACCGTGCCCGCTCTCCACATCCTCGCATCGGCTCGAGCTGCATGATCCGAACGGCTGAGTCGTGGAATACCTTCAATCTTCCCGCCGCCATCTTCCAGAACAGGCCCCATCGCGATGGCAGCCAACGATACCGCTGGTAGCGAGGCGGTGCCCGCGCTCGCTTACGCCTCGGCCTCCATGCGCCACGTCGAGCTTCCATCGACACCCTCGCTGCCACTCCCCTTTGGTCCCTCGCTTTCCTATGCCCAGACCTCGCAGGCACGCAACTGGCGCTTCAGCACCTCGGCACTCGCGCGAATCCGAAGCGAAGCCAACCTCGCTGCGCGTCGGCGCCTCGAAGCTATCTGGTCCGAAGAACACGCCGCGTCCTCGTCCAGCTCCGCGCCCAGCATCCCCTTCCTCTCGGTCGACGACGAGCTCGCACTCATCACCTACTACCTCGTCAAAGTGGGTCAGATCGTACGCGCATTCGGCCTTCCTGAGCTCGTAGAAGCCACAGCCACTACATTCGTCAAGCGCTTCTACCTGCGCAACACGTGCATGGACTTCCACCCGAAGAACATTGTCATCACCTGCATCTTCCTCGCGTCCAAAGCGGAGAATTATGCGCTGAACCTGGGCGAGTTTGCACGCAAGCTCGCGGGCAAGTCGAACGATCGTGCCGTCATCGAGGAGAACAGACGCACCGTGCTCGATCTCGAGTTCCTCGTCTCGCAGAGTCTGCAGTTCGAGTATGCCGTCACGGGCGCCCATCGCGCGCTTTACGGGCTGCTCCTCGACCTTCAATCGCTCCCCGATAACCAGGCGCCTGCAAGGGAGGAGCTGCACAAGATCGCGGCCGCCGCACATGCTCGGCTGTCGACATCACGACTTACAGATGCAGAGTTCGTCTACACGCCGTCGCAGATCGCACTCGCATGCGTGCGCGGCGCCGCACCCGACACAAAGCTCGTCGACAATTGGATCAATGCCAAGCAGTCGCGTGCACGCACTGTCGCTCTCGCCGCCAAAGCCAGCCGGACGGCGCTGCGCGATGCAGAAACCGCACGCGCGGCTAAAGCCAAGATCGCACATGCCCGCCGAACCAAAGGCAAAGCAGGCGCCAAGGCGGCTGAAGACCAGCTCGCCGCGGCAGCTGCCACACCACAGCAGAACTTCGAGTTTGACGACGCTCAGATCGAAGCGGATCCGCTCGGCATGTCGATCGACGAGCTCACACGCACGCTCGACGAGATCAACGCGCTCATCGACACCAGAGAGACGGGCGGATATACGGGCCATGGCAAGGGCGCAGAGGATGTGGACCGGGTCAAAGAGATCGACAAGCGCCAGAAACTGTGCATGAATCCGGAAAAGAATCCGGCCTCGACAGTCTATCGCAAGCGACAGGCTGATGCCGAAGACGCCCAGGCGGCGAGTAAGAAACAGAGGACCAGCGGCGCTAACGCAGATTCGGACGACGACGATGTACCAGTCGCAAAGGACTTTGCGGTCAAACCGGAACCCGCCGTTTAGCTCTTCACTGTCACGCAATGAAAGGTATGAAAGAGTAACTATGTTTCCGATTCTAATGTGCGCGTGCTGTGCCGTGCTTTACTCAAGTGCTGCTTGTTTGGCACTTGTGGTCTTGGGGATCTTTGCGCGGAAGTGGGCTTCGGCTTTGGCAGCGACGGCCTTGATCTCGTCGATGCGCGGCGTGAGGTGGAACTGGTCCATGTTGCCGCGCGTGTAGTTGCGGATGCACCAGCGTTCCTCGTCAAACAAAAACTCCCATGATCCATCGAGCGTAAACGCATTCGGCGCGATATACACCTCGTCACTGTCCACCTTGGAGTCGAGGATGCCGCCGTTGAACCAAGCCGGTCGCCCCAATGTCATGGCGTCCACTTCACCGTCGCCGTTGTTGTCCTCGACATCCGCACCGAGGAAGTGCAGCGGATGCTCAGAACACAGCTCCTCCACCTCGGCCTCGGACCCATCGTCCTTTGCATCATCGAGGCTGTCGTGCTCCTCAACTTTGCCCTCGGCTTTGGCCTTCTTCGCCTTGGCTGCTGCGATGGCCGCTTGCCTTTCGGCCTTGGTTCGCACTCGGGCAGAGCCAATCGCCTGCGCGTATCGCGGCACAAAGTAGTACGGGAAGCGCGAAAACTCGAAGGCCAGCCAGAAGGTCTCCTTGTCGCCCCACCAGATGCGGTACGTTGTCTTCTTGCGGATCTCGCCCATGTTCTGCCACGCCGTAAAGAGCAGTGCGGCAAACACGTCCGTCTTGCGCTTGTCCACCACCACAATGCCCGACTCCTGCTCGAAAATGCCCTTCTTCTTCCAGAACTCGCTCTGCGCCAGCCTGGGTGACGGCCCACGCAGCGAGAGCTGATTGTTCATAAAGTCGTGTACGATGGTGTTGACGCCGTCGCGCTGATGGTCGCGGTCGTGGAAGAAGAGCGTACCCGTATCAATGTACCCGGGCTCCTCAAAGAAGTGGTCCGGATCCTCGAGCAGGATCGCGTCGGCATCGGCGAGCATGACCTCGGTAAAGTTGGTGGCGAGCACCGCAAAGGGCTTGATCGCAAAGCCCTGACGCTCGAGCTGCACCAGATCCGGATCAAACAGTCCGAGCGACTCGAGATCGATGCAGCGCACATTGCGGTACGTCTTGGTCAGATAGTCGCGGTACTTGGCGGGCAAATCCGAGTCGCCATAGTAGTACAGCTCGATGGGGATGTTGTTCTTGTGCTTGTCGCGGATGACCGAGATGAACTGCGATGCAAACACGGATCCCTTGTATCCGAGCGACATGACAATACCGCGCGATCCGCGCTGTCGCTCTGCACTCGCCCCGAAAGCGCGCGACATGAGCTTCGAGTGCCCAGCTGTGCTCTTATCGGATGCTGCAGAGTACGGCATGGGCTTGGCCTGGACAGACGCCTGCCACCACCGACGCAGCTGGTTGATGCCGGGGACAAATGGCCAGAGCGCGCGCTCCATGCGGTCAAAGTTGGGCAGCGTCGGATGCTGCAGTAGATGCGAGTACATCTCGGTCCTCAGACCCATCTCTGCGAATCCGGTCTTGTCGCGCGCGCGCACGGGGTGGTGGATCACGTGTTCGATCCAGCCATTCAAGAACACCGCATCGCTCGCCTTGTGCTTGGCAATCTGCCCGTTGACGCCCCGCTCGATATCGTGAGAAGGCGCAAAGAGCATCCTGACGAACAGGACGATCAGAAGCACAAACGCAATGAGCGACTTGTACGAGGTGAACAGACGCCTGCTCGTCGTGAAACTCCTGCTGTGCTTGCCGCCATCGCGTTTCGATGAGAGTGGAAGCATCGCCCACAGACTGCCACGACCAGAGCGAGGGAGCTCCTTCTCGTGGGAGGATGCGAGCGAAGAGACGTCGGTGTTGGTGTTGTCCGAAAGCAGCTTCGAGGGGCGGTGCAGCGAAGGCCTCTGCTTGACCTGTGCCCCTTTGCTACGGCTCCAGCCTCCCAGCAACATAGGCTCTCCCGCCTTATCTTGGCCGCCGCCAAAGAGGCTCGATGGCGACAAGATGAACGTCGGTGTCGTAGGTGTGGTCGGCTTGCGTTCCACCAATCGTGGCTCTGGCTGTGGCTGCTCTGAGACTACATGCGCCGCATGCTCCGAGGTATCCACCGGCAGGCTGATGTCGTACGAAGCTGCTCGAGCTGGCTTGGTGGGTCTAGCGCTGAGGAGGCTGTCGGTAGCCTCGACGGCGCCGACAAACGGAGATGTCTTGTTCCTGACCATGGTGTGACGAAGGCGCGAGGATGCTAATGCAGGCTTTGGGCAGCCGTAGCGACTCGAGCCATGCACTTGTCAGAGATGATGGTGAGGAGGAAAGTCGAAGCAACGAGCAAGAGAAGCATACACATGCAGGTTGGTGCGGAGCGAAGAGGAGCTGGAAAAAAGTGAGCCGACACAAGAAAGTCCAACACAGGGTGTTCACCGGCAAGCCCATGCATGCTGTCCTGGCAATCTCCAAGAAACCGACCACGGTCAGGCACACACGCCTCTCAGGCAAGAGCAACACTTGGAGCTGACGGGCTCGACTCTCCCACCTGCGTGGGGCGACAGAATCCAACGGACCAAAAACGGACACAAGGCGGAAAGCCGAGCCTCGTCTGGCGTTGCAAGCAGGCACGGGAAGGTGCGACCGAAGTGCATGAACCCACCAACATCCTCCAGGCTCAGGGTCCTCGGTCGCTTTGGCTCGTGTGGGCGTTGCGCGTGGCTGGTTGGCAAGCGCTGCAAGCTGTGCCTCGGCGAATTACGATTCATTGCATTCATGCAGCGCTATCGCCTGACCCGCTGCCTGGCCGGGTGGCTGGCGGGCAACACGACGCGCGCTGCGATTTTTTCCACGCTGCTCCCGTCGCCGAGAGCCACCGATGGACTTTTTCTTTTTGCAAATTCAAGCCGGTGCTGGAAAACGTGCATTTGCTGTCAGACAAAATGCAGACGGCTGGAGCCGCGGCGACAGGCACATGGCGCCCACATGTGACTTTGATGGATCCCGCTTTGGTGTCTATCTCTTGTCGGTCGAGGCCACTGGGACTGATGCATGCCTTGATACGGCAGTCTGCTGCAAGATAGGCTCGTTCCAGCTGCAGATACCTGCAAATCATCCTGCGCGAACACTGTCGTCAAGATTCTCCGCCATGCTATACTATGAGCAGTACAGTATGCTGAATGCGTGCTGATTCATAGGTAGCACCGATTCTGCTCACTAGCTGGGCCCTGGAAAGAAGCACATTGCTCGATTGTATCCACGGCGGCCGAGGGGCAGCGCAGAGTTACAGTATCCCTGTGCCGGCCAAGCCGAGTCCGGAGAGCAGCTCCGAGCCTCCACTTGGCGTCGTTCCTGTTCAGGCACGGCGCTGGCTTGGTTGTGTGCCGTTTGCTCGGTCTCGCTGTCAGCACTCGCAGCTCCAAAAAAGGCAATTTGATTTCCTTTTCTTCCTTTTTCTCAGAAGCTGAAAATCAAATATCGAAAAGAACGAGCACAAGGCGACCAAGCTCCGGCCTCACGCTCGACGGCTCCTTTTGTCGCCGTAGGAGATGGCATGGAAGGCGACGAATTCCGAAGCCAGCCCCTCGGTGGCCTTACTCATGGTCTTACGCTCCAGTCGCCGTCGGCGCGACCCTGGGCGCAGGCCATCGCTCTGGTGGTGCCGAGCTTGAACATGCATCCTGCCGATCCTGTTCTTCTCGGAATTCAATTCTTTTTTTTTCCCGCTCGCATTTATCCAAGCCAGTGCCCAACGCGGGCCACCGTGATTTCTCTCCGCAGCCAGCTGCATCTCGCCGGCGTGGATGCTGTGAGGCTTTCAGAGCAACACACGGCGGGAAGAAGCAGTGCAACCGCAGACCACATGCAGACCAACACTTTTGCTCTTGCAAGTCTCGCCAGCTTCCTTTCCACCATCATTTCCCCCATCCCTCCCTGGCTATCATCAAGCTCCAGTCCATCCGCGCCCCAGTCTTCCGTTATACCTGCTGCGAGCCGACCCATCTGCAGGCGATTCGTATCCACACACGGAGCCAAGATGGTCGTGGCCAACTTCTCCACTTTCTTGGGAGCGCAGAACGGTCCCAAGTCGCTGTCCATCAAGCTTCGCGGCTGGGGGAGCAAGATCCGGGCGCTATGTCTGCTCGTCGCCATCGTGTGGCTCACGCGCGTGGTGCTGTACTTTGAGCCGACGCTCTCGCCCATGTTTGGCATGCGCGTCCGAGCGCTCGATGCCGCCGCGCACGATATCTGGACCGACTATATCGCCACCCATCCCGTCGAGATCGACGACAGGTACGGTCTGCGCGAGATGGGATTTCGCGCTCATGCTTACGCCGAATTCGCCAGGACCGGTCAGATCGGAAGACTCGAGCGCATCGAAGAACACCTCTGGTCTTATGCGCCAGCAGTTGCAGAGATCCGCCGCACTGCGCTGCGCGTCCGTCCAAAGGCAGCTGAGCCTGTCGAGGATCCGGTAGAGGCTAGAGTCAGTGCACAGCTGAAAAAGTCAGGCAGACTATCTGCAAACCAGACCGCGGCTCTGCTCACAGCCGCCGAACTCGAGGAGGCGGCTCAGGGAGGAAAGTCGAGAGGCATCGTCATGGTGGTATCACGCTACACTGCACTGGCTGCGCTCCAGACCATCACGGTCCTGCGTCAGCTGCACGGCTGCCTCCTTCCGATCGAAATCTACTACCACACCGAGGACGAGCTGCCCGATGGTCTGGTGGACATGTTCAAGACACTCGGCCGCGTGTCGGCGTTCAACATCGACACGCTGCCCTACTTCAACAGCGATCTCGAAGACGATGCCGGCCGCTATCCCGGCCTCAAGGTGACGTGGGAGCGCGAGTCGCTGGCTCTGCTGGCCTCGTCGTTCCAGGAGATCCTGGTTGTGGATCCCGAAGTGGTCTTCCTGCAGAATCCGTCGCTGCTATTCTCGCATCCCACCTTCGCAAGCACTGGTACGCTCTTCTTCCGAGCCAAAGCCAAGCCGGTGGATCGCGCATCGCAGTACCTCGTCTCGTTCCTCAAGCGTCAGATCGACCAGGGCTCGCCATCGCAGCAGCTTGCAGAGAGTGCATTCTTCTCGCACGGCATCGGTGCGCGCATGGACATGGACGTGGTGGTGCTCGACAAGTCGAGACCCGGCGTGCTGTCGGCGCTGTTGATGAACGCATGGATGCGCAGGAGGATGGCGCGCGCGCTCTTCTGGGGCTCGTACGTCGGCATGATGCGCGAGGCGCTCTGGCTGGCGTTTGAGCTCTCGGACATCGAATACGCCTTCGAGAACACGTGGCCGGGAGCCATCGGACGCTTTGATGGAGAGTGGGACGACCACTCGCCCCAGCTCTGCTCGCCGAGGACGCTCCAGTTCCTCTCGCCCCAGGCCGCGCATCAGAAGCTCTCGCGCAAGTACTTTTCGCTCTTCCAATCGCACGGCTCCAAGACGAGTGGGAAGAGTGTTGCTTCCAAGCACAAGGACAACGCCGTGGGCGAGAAGCCGTTCTGGTTCCACGGCGGCGTCCTTGTCCCCCGACAGACGGACGAGACATACTTTAGCCCCAACGTCTATGCGCGAAACGCACCGCCGTACACCACTGTGGACGAGGACAGCAGCGATTCGGACAGTTGCCTGTACGGCGCCACTCTGAACAGGCTCAAAGGCACCATCGTACCCTCGACGCTGCAGAAGGCCATCGAGATCGCACACGAGGCGTTCATGACCTACCGCTCCACGCTCATGCACTACGCGCCTCTTCCGGCGCCCATCAACTCGAAGCCATAAGCGACCTCGCCACGCCCGAGCTGTATCCCTTGTTTCCGCATCACACTTTGCTCCTAGACCTTATCGCATGTCTTTCCACTCTGCCCATACTTGCATGGTTTCTCGTCGTTGTAAATGTCACCGCCTTTCTATCATCTTTTGCCCGCGCGGAAGAGCTGGATCGGGACAGTGTGGGGATCGGGGAGCATGAATCGATCGGCTCCGTTGTGTGGTTGGGTGCTCGTGACAGAGTACCGCGGTTGAAGACGCAACGTGATCGTTTGTCGATCATGCGCGCAATGCTCAGCGCCGAGTGACCACAGGTCTCGTTGGGCATGAATCCAACTCCGCAAACGGAGCTTCGGCGTACCGTGCAGCCTGCAGATCTCGGCAGCTCGGCTCGGCGTGGACGGTGCCATTTTTTGCGGTTTTTTAATTGTTTTTATTTCTTTGAAAATCAATTTGATGCCTGTCTCGGTTGCAGTGTTTGACACTTGGGCCAATACGGCAGTTGCACTGCCTCCTCAAAGAGCTTCAAAGCAGCACAAAAATGCATCGACACGCAGCCTTGACCGAGCCGGTCCAGCCCTCAACATCCACTCCCCTGCCGGCCGCGATGTTTTGCTTTTGGCACTTTTTGCGCTGCCGATCGAATCTCGCTGCTCAGTCACAGTCACACTCAAGCCGTGGCAGGGAGACCAGAACAAGGGTGGAATTCCCAAACTGTTGCGAATGCCTAGCGAAGCCCCGGGTAAAAGTGCCCGTAAATCGGACTAATAAGGGAATATAGCGAAACCAAAAAGGAAGAGGGAGGGGGAGAGGGGAGGAGAGGATGTGAGGAGGAAAAGGGGAGTGTCACCTCTGACACCGCCTAGGTGAATGCGAGAGGGTTTAAGCGCAAGTGCGGTTGTTGCGGCACCTGCCGCTGATGCAGGTCTCGTTCATGGAGCAAGGCTGGTTCCTGGCGCGCTTGGCACGGCAGGCGTTCTTGAAGCAGAAGTTGGACTGGCACTTGTTGCTGGCGGTGCAGTACTGGCCGAGCTTGGCGAGACCCTTGGAGGAGCACTTGTTGTTGTTGCAGATACCGCTGGTGCAGCCCTGGGCCTTGTAGCAGTACGAACCGGCAGGCTGGACAGTGTTGCACTTGCCGTTGGAGCAGAACGAGCCGTTGACGCACTGGTCCGATCGGGTGCAGGTGAAGCCGTTCTTCTGCGAGGAGTTGTTGATGCACTTCTTGTTAATGCAGCTGCCCGAAGTGCAGCCCGAGTCCTTGTAGCAGTTGGCGCCGGTCTGCTTGATCTCCTGGCACGAGCCACGGTAGCAGTATTGCGACGTGGTGCACTGGGCGTCGCTGTCGCAGTACGAGTTCTTGACACCAGTGCCGATCTGAGGCACACACTTGCCAGCCGAGCACGAGCCAGTGGCACAGTCGCTGTTGGCCTTGCAGCCGGTACCGGGAGTGGCGGTGGCGGGGCCAGCCGTGCTGGTCGAAGAGGGAACAGCAGTGGCGGCGGCGTCACGACGAGAGTAGTCGTAAAGGGTGGGGGTGACGTTCTCGAAGACCTCACGGTCGACAAGGTGACCCGAGACGGGCTGAGCCACCTGGAGAGCCGCGAGGGCGGCCACGGCGAAGATGAGAGCAGATCGGACGGAGGCTCGCATGTTGAGATAGAGGTAGCTACCTTGGCTAGACGGTGAGGGACCGGGATGGGAAGGGGGTGGGAAGGGCCGGTGGGGGGGGCTAGGGGGACAGAGTGGAGAGGAGTTGCTTGATGGGAAGAAAGGAAAAACTGAGTTCGAAGGTGCGAGGATGGACACCTATATACCTTGTTGACTCGATGCCCTCGCCTTCCCTGTAGATAGAGGGAGGGACAGCGCTGAATTTCCGCTGCCGCTCACAACAAAGGAGCGACAAGACCCGGTCGACTATCCTCCGGAGCGTCAAATCAAGAGACTCAGCTTGTCTCAGGCTAGGCAGACGGAAATAGAGTTGTTCTCCTGCGTCCGTGTGTGAGAGCGCTACGATGAGAGAAGTTTTCCTCCGACGGACACTGCTCTCCCACCGCCACCTTGTGCGCATGACACGCCACTTCCGGCTCGCCTTAGCTCCGTCAAAACACGTGAAGGTGCCTGGACCCCTTATTTGGGGTTGCGATCCTGCACGATGTCCTGCCGAGTTGGTTTGACACCGATTTCGGGTCAGCGGGACGGGGAGCTCGGCCATACCTCGTGCAGCTGCTGCGTGCATTTGCAGGGCTTCAAGGAATAACTCACGGCAAAGAGAGGCTTGGCGGTAAGTAGAAGTCAAGTGTCACGATCGCCACCTGCACAAGTGCAGCATTTCGCAGACCGTCGTTTGCCCACGCAACCCCGTATCGATGGTCGACGGCGGCAAATCGGAGCGACCCTTCCGAACCGAAGAGCATACTGTGCCCCGGCTCGCATACTGTGCTCCGGCAATTACTGTACGCAATCGCAGCACAGCAGCATGGGTCTCCGGCCAGTGCGCATAAAGCGAGCGCTGAATGCACGTTCACTTGGATCATGTCGGGGAGGCGCATCCGCTTGACTGGCTTGACGAGCCACAGCGGCTAACCTTGCACCGAGGTCGCCTTCCACATTTGCCTTTCTGTCGCAGAGCTTGTTTTTCCACCGGCCGTGGGTACTTTCTGACCGCATCGGAGGTGCATATGGCCGCAAGCCCCTTCGAGATCGACAAATGACCTGCTAATGACCAGTGCCTGCATTTGGACATTCTTTTGATTTATTTTGATTTTTCCTTGATTTGGTCTGCATCCAAGCAGCCGCTGCGCTGGCTTGGACCGACAAAATTTGAGAGATGGGGAAAAATTGGTGGCTTCAAAGCCACGAGCTGCACATCCATTTTGGCCGAGGCCATGTGGTGGCTCGACGGTAAATGCGGCATGCAGCTCCGGTTGGCGATATGCACCTGCCATGAGCATGGGCGGTCCAGGCCGAGCTGCCTGAGGGTGGATAGGCGGTTCAGCACCCGGCCTATCTCGCCACGGCATGTTGCCCCTAAGACTGAACGGTCGTTTATACTCAACTACCGGCGATCGGACACTTGGCGTTGCGATCCGCATTGCACCTAGTGGGATGCGAGTGGACTGCGCAAATTTGACCGATATCAAGTGCATTGCGGTACTGCGACAAATGGAAAGGGCAATGAGAAGATTCCTGATTGTTCTGGCCTATCGGATTTAGCTGAGCGAGCTGCATTCGTGTGTGCATCGGTACGCATGCTGAGCAGGAAAGTAGACAGGGGCCAGATTGTTCAAAACACGCAGACGCGAGGTGAATGCACACTGCTGCTGACATGCATTCCATCTCCGCAAATGCTCCTGATCTGCGTGTGAGTTTGGCGACAGTTTGGGAATCAGACGCAGTCACTAAGGCCGCTAGCTTGAGGTGGCTTGAGGCGTGACAGCAAGCCCTGACAACGAATCCTGATTGGGCAAGTTTGAGACCCGTCCAGGTCATTGACAGGTGCCTGATCCCAGCGGATATGGCCGGCAACTCTGCCTCTTTGATCCGCCTGATGCGTCGCTCCCCTGAATGGACCGCATAGACCGTAGACTGCTCAACTGCACGGCTTCGCACACGTGTCGACGCGTGGAGTCACCCGCGAGGGGTGGATAAACACGGCGTGCAAGAGCCCTGACAACGTCTGATTCCGCTCTCTTGCATACTGCACTCACCTTCTCTTCCCGTGTCTTTCCTGTGTACAGAAAATGAGAGCCACGCGAGCATCACCTGCAATCTAGCAAGAGCAACAGCATTTATCCTGAGCGCTTGCGGACGTTTCAGTCTAGCATTCATCCATGGCTTATTTTTGCCTGTCGAGTCTCGTTCGATAAACTAGAGAAAGCGCAAAGTCGGTAGCAAAATTACAGCACTTCCACGGCCTTGGCAGAAGTTTCTTCAGAGAATGCCACGGCTAGATAGCCATTCTGGCGGATCCAAAGACCTGAGAAGATCTTGCGACCCGAATTGCACCGATGGCTGCTTTGGGTCGCAAATACGAACTTGCTCCCAGTACCGCCCAGGAGCGATGTGCAAATTACAAAGTTCTCCTATGAGCATCGGCAGCACAAGCGCCTCGCATAGAAGAATTCAAGGCCCGACAGCTCGCTAGCGAAGAGCGAAAGGGGACTCAGTAGTGAGCGGCAGTGCGATCCAGTGGCGGTCGGCAGCTCGGTGACTCTCGGTGCCGATCATTGCTACTGGATTTGACCTGCAAGGTAGAGAGCCTCTGCCAACAAGAGGTTCTCAATTTGGGCAGCACTGAGTCCGAGGCGGACATCGCACTGGTCGAATGGCTTCTGGAAGGGTTCGTTTGCATCGAAGGCCGGTGTGATGCCTCGGAGCTGCACCGTGGCAATACTGTATGTCGATCCGTCATTTGTCGATCAAGGGTTGCAGCTCGCTTCGAACGCCGATGCTCCGCTGCCGTTGAATTGGGGATGTGCAATCGCTGACACTCGAAGGGGAGGGGCACAGTGCCTTGTTGGGCAGCATAGCGACTGTCTGCCAGACGAGCTCGGGCTCGGTATCTTTGCACTCGCATTCTGCCTGGCCAGAAGCAGACGGGGGAGAATCGCTGTGTTCTTGTAACTTTCTCAGACAGTTCGAATCTCGCACCAAGACAGGGGTGCCGTTCTACTTGTATTCCCACACTGCCTGTGAGAGGCTATGCCGATTCTCCGACCAGCGACGGCTGAGCTCGGCCTCGCGATTGGTGCCAAGGCCCGGCTGCCCAGTGGGCATTAATTGACGTGCGAAGCAGAAAAAAATCAATTACAGTAAAAGAAAATGCCCTCCATTTCGATTTTGGCCAAGTGGCGCAGACGACGAGTGTACCAGCATGGCAACTCGAGCGTAAGGATTAGCTCCGACGTGTGCGGCAGGTGGCTTTGGAGCTGAGCAGTGAGCGCAGTCGGGGTTGCCGTACGGTATCACGGCAGGTGAGCGTGCGCTGCGTTGGGTGTGGTGCAACGCGTGGCGGTCCGACGCTGTCAGTCGTGGGGCGGAGCATGAAAGATGGCCGAGTCGCATAAATGCCCGGCGTGCCATGTGCGCGGTCGATCGGCCAAATGCGACCTTCCGAACAGCACGGGACCACACTCGCTGCAAATGTATGCCTGCCCTCCGACTCTTCCAACGCCGTATCGCCGAAACCGGCTATCGGCATACATCTTCAAGCCACTTGGTCCGCATTCCGGTGATCCGCTCGGTGGGTCGAGCCAATTGCGAGCTGATTGCAACACTCTAACATCTTGATGAAGGTGCGCTTTATCCGGGTCGGGCAGCATGGATGCTTTGGCGAGGCAGGCGATGCTGCCTTCGTTGCGGTCATGTCCGAGGCGGACCTGCGCGGGTGCCATAATTCAAACTTTGTGAATGTTAGCACGTAAGCTAAAACATCAGCGAAAAAATTGGCCGACTGCCGCACGAGTCAAGAGGTGTTGGTCTCTGTGCTCAGAGCCGCGGAAGGGAACGCGTCGCGCGCGTAAATGAGCGAAAGTGATGCGCCCGCTTTTTTGAACGCAGCAGGGGCGGGTCGTTGCGCCGCGCGCTGAGTCCAGTTGGCGGAGCCCTGAGGTGCCAGAAGAGTGCGGTGCGGAAACGCGACTCAGCCACGACGTGCGGAGCAGAAGAAAGTGGAGTTGTCAAGCCCGCTCTCGTTCTCTCGATACCTTCGCTCCGACTCACCATCCTCCGGTATCGCTGCCATCAGACTAGGATCTCGCTGGACGATCGCACCCTCCACAACACGACCACGAGCCAACACTTTGATCACAGTGCGAATCAAGAGCAGTCGACGCCCACACGCCGTTCGATCCACACACTTCCTTTCCACGCCACCGCACCAAGGTGCCTTGACTACCTACAATGTCGCTCAACGACCTCACCCAGGGCGCCATCGCCCAGATGGTCCAGACCTCCGATCCGTCGAGCTCGGTGCAGAACCCCGTATGCCAGATCCTCAGCATCAAAAAGATCCAGGCAAGCGCCGCGTCCGCCTCCAGCATGGGCGACCGTTACCGCATCATCCTCTCGGACGGCGTCAACTACGCCCAGGCCATGCTCGCCTCGCAGAAGCGATCCATGGTCGAGTCGGGCGAGCTCGAGAAGCACTGCCTCGTGCGCATCTCGCAGTACGCCAGCAACTCGGTGCAGGGCCGACGCATCCTCATCCTGCTCGACCTCAACGTCGTCCACCAGCCCACCGCCGACCGTATCGGCAGCCCCACCAACGTCGACGACTCCATCAAGCCTGAAGGCGGCGTCAAGCAGGAGGGTGGTGCTGGTGGCGCGCTCGGAAACAGCAACGTCGGCAACAACTCGGCTGGCAGGACGACGCCCGCCACCTCGGCCGCCGGTGCCGGCAAGGTCGGCGGCGGTGCCGCAGGCCGACCTGGTGGCAGCAGCGTCCACGCAGGCATGCCCATCTACCCGATCGAGGGTCTGTCGCCCTACCAGAACCGATGGACCATCAAGGCGCGCGTGACGTCCAAGTCGGACATCCGCCACTGGTCGAACCAGCGCGGCGAGGGCAAGCTCTTCTCGGTCAACCTGCTCGACGACAGCGGCGAGATCAAGGCGACGGGCTTCAACGACGCCGTCGACCGCTTCTACTCGATGCTGCAGGAGAACCACGTCTACCTCATCTCCAAGGCGCGCGTCAACATTGCCAAGAAGCAGTTCAGCAACCTGCAGAACGAGTACGAGATCACGTTTGAAAACTCGACCGAGATCGAGGAGTGCACCGACGCCACGGACGTGCCCGAGGTCAAGTACGAATTTGTGCGCATCAACGAGCTGGAGAGCGTGGAGCCCAACCAGACGTGCGACGTGATCGGCGTGCTGGACAGCTACGGCGAGCTGAGCGAGATTGTCAGCAAGGCGTCGCAGCGACCGGTGCAGAAGCGCGAGCTGACGCTGGTGGACCAGGGCCAGCGCAGTGTGCGGCTGACGCTGTGGGGTAAGAATGCCGAGAACTTCCCCAACCACGCCGGCGTCGACGAGAAGCCGGTGATCGCCTTCAAGGGCGTCAAGGTGGGCGACTTTGGCGGACGCTCGCTCAGCATGTTTTCGAGCTCGACCATGCTCATCAATCCGGACATTACCGAGTCGCACGTGCTGCGCGGATGGTTCGACAACGACGGGGCGCACGCGCAGTTCCAGCCGTTCACCAACGCCGGTGGTGCCGGTGGCGCAATGGGTGGTGGTGCGGCCAACATGGCGGAGCGCAGGACGATCGCCCAGGTCAAGGACGAGAATCTGGGCATGAGCGAGAAGCCGGACTACTTCAACGTGCGCGCGACCGTGGTGTACATCAAGCAGGAGAACCTGTACTACACCGCCTGCCCTTCGGACGGATGCAACAAAAAGGTCACGCCCGACCACGAGGGCAACTGGCGCTGCGAAAAGTGCGACCGCTCGTACGAGCAGCCCGAGTACCGCTACATTCTGTCGACCAATGTGGCGGATGCGACGGGACAGATTTGGCTGTCGGGGTTCAACGACGATGCCACCAAGCTCATGGGCATGTCGGCGGGCGAGCTGCACAAGCTGCGCGAGGAGAGCGAGTCCGAATTCACCGCCGTGCTCCACCGCGCCGCCAACCGCATGTACACCTTCAACTGCCGCGCCAAGATGGACAGCTTCAATGACCAGGCGCGCGTGCGCTACACCATCTCGCGCGCCGCCCCCGTCGACTTTGCCAAGGCAGGCGCAGAGCTCGCCGACGCCATCAACGCGTACATGTAGTTGCCCCGGCCGCGATGTTGCGAAATGATACTTTTGGTTTTCTCGTCTGTTTGTGGGCACTAGAATGCTGCTAGGAGATCGGCGAGGTCGTCGACTTGTTGTTGGCGCTGTGTCGAGAGGGTTCTGTCGATCTGGGTCCATTGCTCCACAAACGACTGGGGGCTGATTTCCTCGCATGTAAAGTCGGCGAGTAGCTCTCGCTTTTCCAACAACAATTCCTGGTACGACTGTGTTTCGAAGCCAGCCCAAAAAGTCAGTGGTGGTTCTTTTTGAAGATGGTCAAAAAAGGGGGGGGGGGGTAGGTAGGTTGAGAGCTTACGTAGAACAAGGTGCTGATGCTTTCGAGGGCGAGTTTGGGATTCCAATTTGCGACGAGGTGGTCGTTGGAGTCGAGCTGGTCGAGCAGGTGGGGGATGTCCTCGTAGATGCACGCGAGCATGGCGGCGACAATCTGCTCGCACTGGTCCAGTGTTGATCGCAACGCCGCCAGCGTGTCGTCGAGAGTGCCGGTAGGTTGACGAAGCAGGTTACATGACGCTTCGAAGGTCGAGTCGAACGTGCGCGCAAGCTCGTCGCACCGGTTTACGAGCGCAAGCACGGGATGCACCCCGCCAGAAGTGCTGTGGCTCGTCATGCTGATCTGGAAGTGAAGATGGAGATGGTGGTGCAGCCAAAAGCTGTTGAGATTCCTTCTGAAAGTGGAGGCTTTTCCGAACAACAACGCGCGCCCCGCGTCCAAAAGTCCTCAGCCCAGCGCTACCCTCGGCTACACTCTAACATATCCGATCTTTCTCTCCACCACCCGCCTGTTCAAAAGTGCACCAACCATCATCCTCTCGCCTTCGTTCATACCGACATGCACCTCGCCTTCATAGTCTCTGTAGGAGACAGCGCTAAATACAACACTGAGAAAGGAATACAGATCGCTCCGATGCCTCGTAGGCCCGACTTTGGGAGTGAATGAACAGCCTGCAGACAAGGTCGATTCCGACCCGCAGTCTGCGCTAATGGATAGTCGTCGTCTTCGTTGTCCTTCAGCTCGGCCTAATAGTCCTCCTCCCTCCCTTCATCCTCCGACTCTTCAGCCTCCACCGAAACATCATCCTCCTCTGAGCCCCCTTCGCAGTGGGGACAAGGAGCATTAGGATCGCGCATCTGGTCGCAGTCATCGCAAGCTTCCCAGTAGCGGTGGTTCCACCAAGAATCGCAGCGAGGACAGTCTTTTGAGGTGAGCATTGGAGCAAAGCAGTCTTCGCACCAGAAGACGCATGCGCCGCATGAGGGCCACTCTTCCGCCTCTGTCGGCAACACAGCGTTACAATGATTGCACTCGAATGTCTCTTCGCCGGGTTCGACGGAATTCTCGCTGTCCTCGTCCTCCTCGGAATCCGGATCCTCCTCCTTCTTTGGCTCCGGCTCGTCGTCTTTCTTTGGCGTCGGCACTTCCTCCTCTTTGACCTCTGGCTTCTCCTCCTTGGCCTCGAGCTTCTTCGTTTTGGGCTCTGACTCTTCCTGCTTGAATTGTGGCTCCTCTTCCTTCTTGACATCCGGCTCGTCATTCGTGGGTACCAGATCCTCGTCTCTGGGTCCCAGCTTCTCCTCCTCCTTGACCTCCAGCTCCTCGTTCTTGGGCTCCAGCTCCTCCTGTCTGACCTCCGACTCTTCCTGCTTGAGATACGGTTCCTCTTCCTTCTTGATATCCGCCTCTTCGTTCGTGGAGTTCAGCTCCTCGCCTTTGGGCTTCAGCTCCTTCTCCTTCGCGCCCGTTTCCTCCTGCTTGATCTCCAGCTCCTCGCTGTGCTCCTTCTTGGATCCCTCTTCCTTCTCCCTCTTTCCATCGGGCTTCTCCCCATCCTCGGTTCCCTTCAGCTGACGCTGCTCAGCGAGACGCATCGACTTGCGCCTGCCCTTCTCGTTCGCTTGCTGCTTGGGCACCTGCTTCGAGTCCTGCTTTGTCTCGTGCTTTTCCCTCTTGTTGGGCAGCTTTTCGCTAGTGCCTGATGCCTTTATGGCGGTGGACTTGCGCGCGCTCGTGAGGGCTTCCATTGCTTTACGCTTCGCCTGTCTTGGTCGCACACCCTCAGGCGAGCTGCCACGCTTGACGCACATTCTTGCGAGATCGCTTGCGAGCAAAGTTGTGGCCAATGTCGAGATCGTGGTGTTGAGGCTGAAGAGCGGGGCGAGATGAAGACGAACTGAGCCTCGAAGTGAGGTGCCGAGTCACAGCAAGCCGTGAGCTGGCTAGCCGTGTGTCAGCACGTGCTTGAAATGAAGCTCGATGCCAGCTCGATGTCAACTGGGTTGGGCCTGGCTTAGAAGAACGCAGTCTTGTCGGCCTTCAGTCACAAGAGATGAATGGTTATTCTTCGTCGTCTACAACTTCGTCGCAGTAGGGACACCACTCTCCGTCTGGACCTTCGAGGGTGGCATCGCAAGTAGGACACACCAGCACGTCCTCGTCGGCGTCACTATCGAGATGCAGAACGGCCAAACAGCGTCGACAGACTTGCGACAGTGGGTCGGTGGTGCTGGTGGTGCTGTTGCAGCTATAGCAGTACACCACCGGAGACTGGCACGAAGGGCAATCGTCTGCAACTCCATCTCCGTCTTCAATGGCTGCATCGCACCCACAGCAGCGTAAGACCCTGTCTTCCGGATCCGCAATACTTGCATCAGCGTCGGTCGAAGGGGGATGAGGTGACGACTCGGTGGGTAAGCAGGCTGTGGCAGTCAAAGCATCGACACTCTTTTCGTCTTCTTGCTGAGCGTTGTGTTCTTCCACAGCACGCTTGGTAGGCCGAGCAGGTTCTAAGGTACCGTCGTGACTGCGCTTCCGATCGCCCATTTGGATTCTCCACGCCAGAGCTTTAGACGAAGGCGAAGGCGATGGTGACGATGATGGTGATGGTGATGATGTTGGTCGTGGTGGTGGTGTAAGCGAAACCCGCGAAATCCTCCGCCACGCCTTTCGATCACGTTAAAGAACCACAGTAACGCTAACACCATGGCGGAAGTCACGCTTTAGACGCAAAGTCACGCTATAGACGCAAAGTCACGTTATAAACGCAAAGTCACGTTAAGCACACACTAACGTCGGAACGCATGAAACCAATGAAGCTTACGGGGCACGTTGCGGCTGGAGCCGTGAAAAGAGGACGGCTCGGCTGGGTGACACGAATGACCTGTGTAGACGTGCATATGAACAACCCCCAACTCGCTCACTTCGGACACAACCTGCGATCACCCGCCCGACTCTCTACCGCACCGACCCAAAATCGCCTCTCCTCATCCGACAGATTCTCGACCGCCTCCTTCTCTGCGAAGTCAATAGCTCACTTTTTGCCGCTGCCGCTGCCAACGAGGGCGAAAGAAGACAGTCGCAATCACAAACAAAATCCCAATCTGTACACATTCTTCAAGCCACAGCGACTAGCGAAGCAAGGTAGTCGTCGGCAGCCGCCTGTACGGCATCTACCTCGAGTGCGGCGGGGTCCCAACCGCTTGCCGTATCCTTTCCATCCGCGGCACCTCTTACGCCGCTACCGCCACCACTCACTGCAGCCGACTCGAGCAGCGTCGCCGAGATGCGCTCGAGCGTCGCACGTGCACCCTCGCCCAGCTCCACCGCCTCCGTAGCCGTGGACATATTAATAAGGATGCGAGCGAGGTTGGTGATGCCGGCGATCATCTCGGTCCTAGCCACCATGTGCGTCCTCTCGCCCGCACTTGCCCCAGCCCCCGGCGTCGAGAGCAGCGCATTGACCCCCGCCGCCAGACTCGGCAGACGCGCCGCAAAGCGCTCCGCCCGCTCAAGCGCTACATCGCGCGATTCGCGCGCGGCAAGCAGAGACGCTAGCACAGGCACCTCGCGCGAGGCGGCGACATAGTCGACATACACCGCCGCCCCATCCGCCCAGCCCGCAATCTCGTCCGCCGGATCACCCCCTACCTCGAGGTAGAACGGCGACATCAACACCGACACCAACTCGTGGTCACCACGGATAATCGCTTCCGGCGCAAGATGAAGTGCGACAACATTGTGTGCGGCCGTCCAGTTGTGCGCGCGCAGCAGAAGTTGGTATTCGCCGTAGCGGTCGTCGCGCGCACGCGCCGCAAACGACTGCGCCTCGTACAGCCATGCTTCGGGCACGTGCAGCCGCCCACACAGGAAGTCGCGCTGCGCATCCAGCTGGGCTACATTGCGCGCCAGCAGCGCCTTGACCGCCGTCGACCGGCCCGAGCTCAGCTCGAGATGCAGCAGCACAAACGCAGCCCACTGCCACAGCCCCAGCAGCTCGAGCTGCGTCGCATAGCTCGACGCCAGCATGTCGGCACGTGCCGAGTTGCCCTGCACCGCCGCCGTCGCCGCTCCGTTCGGTGCGCCATCACCGTCCTCGTGCATCGCCTCGTCGCGAGTCTCGCCGCCAGCGCCCAGCCCGAGCTCCACACGGTCGCCAAAGTCGCGGCGCTGCATGACGCGCGAGAGCAGGTTGTACAGATGCCACGGCAGTCGCGCATCCACATTCGACGCGCCAAACGCACATGCGTTGAGCGCAGGCTCGAGCCCGTACGTCGGGTCGACGTACAGCTTGATGAGCTCGAACAGCGCATCGCGGTCGTAGCCGCCGGCCTTCTGCAGCAGCTGCCGCAGCTTGGTCGCGCCCACGCTCGAGCTCTCGCGGTACCACGGCAGCGGCGGTGCAATACAAGTATTCTGCGGCGCCGTCGGCGCCACCTGCGCCTCGTACCGCTCGAACGCGCGCTCGAGCGGCGCCTCGTACGTCGACTCGTACCACAGGAACAGCCCCAGCGCGCGCTTCCAGTCGAGCCCCTCGCAGATGGCCAAGTCGCCAACCTGGTCGATCGGGTCCTTGGTCGTCCGCGCATCGGTGCCGGGCGACAGCAACACGTTGCCCGAAAGCAGCTCGTAGATGCGGCGGTGGTCGCGCGTCATGTGCGCATCCACGCCCTCCTTGCGCCACGTCAGCAGCTGCTCGCTGATGTCGGCGCGCACCTCCTCGTCGCCGCCCGCCTGGGCAATGAGCGTCGCCAAGCGCAGATCGCCCGCCTCCATCGCCGCGTTGACGGCGCGCTCCACCTGGTGTCCGCTCAGGTAGCTGAACAGCAGCGCCGCACGGCGTGACGCCGCAATGTGCGAGCGCGCCTCGGTCTCGACCGTCCCCGCCACCGTGTGACGCAGCCAGTCGGACAGCGCCGCCTTCCTGCGCATGGCGCGGATGCGTTCCGCCGTGGCAGCGTCCGCGCCCGCGGGCACGCGCAGCTCGATCTCGTCGAACAGCGCCACGCCTAGCCGCCACAGGCTCGCCTCGAAGCTCCGGTCCTTGTGCTCGAACGACGAGGCAAAATGGCGGAAGCGCGTGCCAAAGTCGGTGTACGCCACGGGCACGCCCTCGTCGTCGAGCTCCACCTTGGTCTGCTCGAGCTGGACGCCCAGCAGCTTCTGCGCACGCTCCGCCTCCTCTTTCGACGTCTCGACGTCCTTGAACAGCTTGATCTTTTCGAGGATCAGGGTCGACGTGCTGGCAGAAGCCGCGGCCTCCGCTTCAGTCTTGGCAGCCGACGACACCGGCTCCATGTTGGCGCCGACGATCCTGCCATTGTGCACGAGCGTGCCATCGGGCCCCCATCCGACGCGGAAACTGCGTCCGAGCGAAAGACCGGCATCGAGCGTCTCGCCATCGGCAGCGACCACAGCCGAACGTGCCACGTCGGTCTTGCGCAGCCTTTTGGCGGGCTGTTGGACTTCCTGGACGGGTGCCGGGTGTGACTTTGCGGCGGCCTCGTAGCTCGGCTCTTGAGGCTCCGGTGCCTTGTCGGGCATCGGCTCGGCAGCCTTGATCGGTTCTGCAACGGCGGCCGTCGGCCGCAGGTTGAGCGTTTTTTTGTGGCTCAGGCTGGCTCCCATGGGTCTAGCAGCAACGACAGCAGCGGAAGCTAGTTTACTGTCGTCGTGCCCAAAAAAACTCGCCTGCATGACCTGGACGCGGCGCGCCTCGGCGGCGTTGGCCATGGTCGACATGGCGCGCGACGGCGTGGCGCTGCCCGCGCGCTCGCGGCCCGAGACGCTCGAAGCGGGCGTCCACTGGCGGCGCTGACGGTGCTTGGCAGCGGCGACGGCAGCGGCAGCGGCATGGCTGGCGTCGTCGTCCGTATCCATGTCGCCGTCATCGAGCCCCCGTAGCGGAGGTGGGGCATCGTCGTCGTCCTCTTCGCTGCCGTCGCTGTATGCGGCTCCGATGGCAACTGCATCGTCATCGGACTCGCCGTCGTCGGCCGACATGGGCGCGAGGCGCTTGCTGGCGGGACGCTTGTTGTCAGCGGCAGCAGTTGGCTGCGCAGCTCGCTTGGGCGCCGCCGCGGCCGCATCGTCGTCCTCGTCCGAGTCGTCCAGGCCGTAGCGACTAAAGTGCTTCACCTTGAACGTCCAGGTGCCCGACTCGGGCTCAAAGTCGACAAACTCGGTCTCGGACTTGTTCTTGAGCTTGTTGACCATCTGCTTGACGCGCGGGTGGTCGGCGTCCTTGATGGGCTCGCGCGTGGCGCGGTCGGTGGGCCAGCATGCATCGAGGCTGACGCGTGCGGGCACATTGAGACCGGTGCCCTGCTTGGCCTTGAGGCCCGGCACAAAGTTTCGCTTGGCGCCGTCCTTGGGGTTGCGCGGGTCAAAGTCGTCCTCCTCGGGGTAGACGACGACCTCCTTGAGGCGGATCTGGACGATGCCGCCGACAATGTCGTTGAGGTCGCCGATGGAGGTGAGGTCGACGGGCTCGAGGAACTCGATCTGGCCGACACCCTTGCGGCCGACGATAAAGTTGTGCACGGCGGCGAGCTCGTTGTAGTTGGCGGTGCGCAGTGCGGCGAGCGAAGGCTCGGTATAGTACTCGCCGACCTTGGCGGTGGCAGCGCTGGATCCATTGGACACGGCAGCGGCGGACTTGACGCTCGGGGTCGATGCGGCAAAGGACGACTCGAGGTCACGGCCCTGGCGCGGCACACCAGCCTTGGCCGCGGCGGCAGATACGGTCTTGAGCGGGGTGTCTTCGACAACGGTGGGCGAGGCAGCACCAAAGAGATTGCCGCGGCGCGAAGGGAGCGACGATGCGAACGAGAGGTCTCCGCCGCCGGGGCGCACCGACTCGGCGCGCTGCTCGAGGGCAGGGCTGAACGTGACGCGCGACGCCGACGACGGCTGCACGGTGCCGCTGCGGAAGGCCGATGCTCCGAGCGAGCCGACTGCCGGGCTACTGCCGGTGTCAAAGTGAGGCACGCTGCCGCTGCGGCCGATGCGCGAAGCGGTGAAGCTGTTCTCGCCTGCATCGTCGAGCACGAGTCGCTTGGCCGACGGCCGCGAGACAAACGCCTGCGACGAGAGCGGCTGGCTGTACTCGTCGCTGAGCGCCTTGAAGAGCGCGGGCGAGCCGGCTCGGCCGGGCGTGCCGAAGCGGGTGTTTGCGCCGGGGGTGCCTTCGCGCAACGAGCCAGGCGTGCCCTCGCGGACGAAGCTCGAGCTGCCGAGACCCGAGGCGCCGGGAGTGGAGCCGCGGAGACGGTTGATCTTGCTGGCGCCGCGTGGGCTGGAGCGGAAGGGCGTGGTGAGGGGCGGCTTGTTCTTGGGCGCCACGTTGAACGGAAGCGAGGCGCCGTTGGCAGTCGAGCCTGCGCCGGCGTTGAGCGGGTTCGAGGCGAATAGGCTGTCCGTGCCGTACGGGTTCGAGTCGAGCGAGGCCTGCACGCTGGGCAGCTGCTGCTGGTTCTGCAACGAGTTGTTCTGCAGCTGGTTCTGCTGCGACTGGCCGAACAGGCCGCCAGTGGACTGCTGGTTCTGACCGCCGCCGAGACCACCGAAGAGACCGCCGCCGGACTGATTCTGGGTGGAGCCGCCAAAGAGGCCGCCGCCCGTGTTGGACGCGCCCGTGTTGCCGAAGAGCGACGACCCTGCGGTGTTGGACGAGCCAAAGAGACCGCCGCCAGTAGCGCCGGTCTGTGCAGTCTGGTTGGACTGGCCGAAGAGACCGCCGGTGGTGTTGCCCTGCGTCTGGCCGAAACCGGCGCCGAGGCCGCCAGCACCCTGCTGCTGGTTGTTCTGCTGGTTGTTGTTGCCGAAGAGCGACGAGCCGCCTCCGGCGCCGAACGAGAAGCCGCCGGTAGCGGGCTTGTTGGCCGTGTTGCCAAAGAGGCCGCCTGAGCCGGTGGAAGCGCCTGCGCCAAAGCCAGTGCTAGTCTGACCCGTCTGAGCACCTGCGCCGCCGAAGAGCCCGCCGGTGGCCGGCTGGGTGCCGGTCTGTCCAGCTGGCTTGGCGCCAAAGAGACCGCCGCCGAAGCCGCCCGTAGCACCTGCCTGACCGGGTTGCTGATTGGCCTGTTGGGTGTTGTTGGCGCCGAAGCTGAAGCCGCCGGTAGTACCGGTGTTGGTGGAGCTGCCAAAGAGGCCGCCGCTAGGCTGTGCGGAGCTCGCTGCGCCGAACAGACCGCCTGTGGCGGCGGGGGCCGAGGTGGTGCCGGTGGTGGCGCCGGATGCAGCGCCGAATCCGCCACCTGCGCCGAAGCCAAAGGCGGGCTTGTTCTGTTGCGCAGTGTTGGAAGCGCCGAAGCCGCCAAAGGTGCTGGTAGCACCGGCAGTCTGACCGGGCTGGCTGGTAGCCGCACCAAAGAGACCGCCAGTAGCGGGCTTCTGGCCGAAGGAGAAGCCGCCGGTGGTGCCAGTGGCGCCGGCGCCAAAGCCGGTTGCGGTCTGACCGGGCTGCTGCTGCTGCTGGTTGTTGGCGCCAAATCCGAAGCCGGTGGTTCCGGCCTGGGCGGGCTGGGTGGTGGAGGCGCCAAAGCCAAAGGCGGGCTTGTTCTGCTGCTGCTGCTGGTTGTTGTTGGCGCCAAAGGTGAAGCCGGTGCTAGCTGCGGGCTGCTGTGGCTGAGCGCCAAAGGAGAAGCCCGAGGTGGACGGCTGCTGCTGCTGGGTCTGCTGGCCGAAGAGGCCGCCGGTCTGAGGCTGATTCTGCTGCTGGCCGAAGAGACCGCCGCCGGTGGTGGAAGCGCCGAATCCGGTAGCGGCGGGCTTGGCGCCGAAGAGACCGCCGGACTGCTGCTGCTGCTGTTGTGGCTGGCCGAAAAGACCGCCGGTGGTGGAAGTGCTGGCACCGAAGCCGGTGGCAGGCTGCTGAGCTTGACCGAAAGCGCCGCCAGTGTTGTTGCTGGCGCCAAAGCCAAAGCCGGTGGAAGGGGCACCGGGAGCGCCAGGGCCGGTGTTGCCCTTGGATCGGCCCTGCTGGTAGTCCATGAGGCGGAGCTCCTCGATGCTGTGGTGGCTGTAGGCTGGCATGACAGTGATAGTCTGATGCACATCCCAGGACTTGCGGTCCTTGATGTGTTCGGTGGGCGTGAGATCTTCGCGGAGAGGGTCGTAGGGGACCGTGGCGGTGCCCTGAGTGATCTGGCTCGGGGTCACGCCAGCGGCTTGTTGGCCAAAGGTGCCCGCGGCGGCACCGAATCCACCTGCAGCGGGCTGCTGCTGCTGCTGTTGGCCGAAGAGACCGCCAGCGGCAGGAGCGGCTGCGCCAAAGGTGGAGGAGCCAAAGCCGCCTGCTGCTGGTTGCTGCTGCTGCTGCTGCTGTGCAGGTGTGGAGCCGAAGGAGAAGGAGCTGGTGGTGTTGTTGTTGGGGGTGGCGCCGAAGCCGCCGAAGCCGGTGTTACCAGCAGGTCGTGCGCCGAAAGCGCCGCCGGTGGCAGCATTGTTTTGCGTGGCGCCAAAGCCGCCAAAGGAGGGAGTCTGGGTCTGGTTCTGTGGTTGGCCAAAGAGACCACCGCCGGTTTGTGCAGCCGGCTGCGATGCACCGAATCCGCCTGTAGAGCCAAAGCCTGGATGTTACGAAAGAGGTGGATGAGTACAGGGATGTGACTAGGCTGATGCGAGCTGGATGCGACGAGAAACTCACCTGTTGTAGAGCCGAATCCGGACTGGGCGGGGGTGTTGGGCTGTGCAGCCTGGCCAAAGAGACCGGTAGTTGGCTGCTGCTGCTGCGGCTGTTGCTGCTGGTTATTCTGCTGGCCGAAGCCGCCAAAACCCGTGGATCCGAACATGGCGCACAGTGGTAGGCCTGTGTGCTAGGGAGATGGGGTCGTGGGCGCGACCTGATCGAGGCGAGCCTTTCGGCAGCGCGGATGCGCGACTTGGCTCGCGGCGCAGAGAGGAGCAGTGGAAGAGGGCGGGGGACAAGGTCGGATTCCCGTTGTACTGGGATAGGGTGGTGATGGTGATGATGATGATGACGATGATCAGCAGAGGTGGGGGTAGAAAGATGGATTGATGAGCGGCGCGATGGATTGCTTTCTCTCTGTCCAACGCTCTGTGCATTTCGGCCGTGAAGTGAAGCACGCGCCCACCAGCCAAAGTCAACACCCAGAGAGGAAAAAAATGGGCGCTCGGACAGCCCTCTCTCTCGTTCTGAGAAGATCACCACGTCGCGTCCAACGCATCGGAGCTGGCTCTGCCTCCCGATGCACACGATCCAGCTTCCACCACGCGATCACCTTGAGCCTCAATTTCGGAATTCGGAAGCTGAGCCTTGGACCCGTTTCCGCCAAAGTGGAGCAGCAGCAGCAGCCTGCTTTCCCCTTCTTACCCTCAACACCCTCCCGCCTCTTCCAAGATGTCTGCTCCAAGCTCTTCCGGTCCTTCAGGGGGCGTCGGACCGTCACGGCGAACATGGGACAAGGACGACTTCACACGCAAGGCCATGTCTCGCGAGAAGCGGCAGGCTGAACTCGACTCGGTCAATGCCGAACGACGCTCCCAAGGTCTTCCGCCTCTCAAGCGGCTCAAATCCACCGCACCCGAGCCCGAACTCTCGATGCAGCAGCGCTCCACCCCGCTCGGACTCGAAAAGAACCAGGGCAAGACGCTTATGGTGGATCTTTCGTCCGATTCGGGTCAAACCGGTCCCGGCTTCTACTGCCAAACATGCCGAAAGCTGCTCAAGGATAACCTCGCCTATCTGGACCACATCAACGGACGCGTGCATCTGATGCGCATAGGCCAGTCGACACAACAGGACAGAGCAAGTCTGCAAGATGTTCTCGATATGCTCGATAGGTTGAGACAAGAACGAGGCGCTGGCAAGCACAAGAGTGCAGCGTACGATTTCGATCAGAGGATCAAGAGCATCGCCGACCAACAAGACATGGAGAGGCAGCAGAGAAGGCAGAAACGCAAAGACGCAAAACAGGCCAAGAAGAGCAACGCGTCCGCAGACGTCCAACAGCCAGCTAATGACGATGACGACAACATGATGGCCGCAATGGGCTTTGGCGGCTTCGGCTCCACCAAGAAACGTTGACAAATCTCCATCCCTCTCACCAGCGCGATCTCGTATACCCCTCATTGCAATTCTTACTTTCGACACTGTGAAAACTCTCTTGTATTGGGTTGCGATGCATTGGGACCGGCTAAGCCCAGGCGAGGGTGAGGACAAACTTGTCGTCGCCCACCTCCTGTTCCTCCTGCAGGATCACCTTTGCATCCGGCTTCCTGTGCGACTCGGGCAGCGGCTTTCTGCGGAGCGCCTTCATAAAGGCGTCGCTCTGGCTCTCGATGCACTCTGCCAGCGCCTGACCGAGACCCTGCTCAAACGAGTAGAAGGCGTCCACCTCATCGGTGGCAACGAGGCCAGCCTTCTTGCGCAGACGCTGGATGCGGTTCACCACCTCCCTCGCCGTACCCTCGGCCTGCAACTCGGGGCGCGGCTGCACATCCAGCAGCACCACAACATTGCCGTCCGTGTTGGACTCGAACGCTCCCTCGATCTCCTTGGTCTCGACGTAGCGCGACACCTTCAGATCGCCCTCGACCAGATCCACACCAGCCACGTTGAGCTTGCCCGTCTGCATGTACCTCTTGGCCTCGTCCGACGAAACACCCTCGAGACCCTTGCGCACCTTGCCGACATCCTTGCGCAGCTTGCGACCCAGCACAGGCCAGTCGGCAAACAGCTTGAAGCGCACCCCGCACTTGGCCTCGTCCGAAGACAGCACCAGATCGCGCACGTTGAGCTCCTCCTTGATGTAGTCCGCCAGCGACTCGGCATCCGCAAGATACTCTGCGTCCGTGTGGAAGACGACGAGCTCCTTGAGCGGCACGCGGATGGGCAGGTTCGAGTTGACGCGGATCACGCGGCCCAGCTCCACCACCGCCTGGAGCGCCTTGAACTGTCGCTGGATCACCGGGTCAAAGTACGACTCGTTGACCTCGGGGAACGAGAGGAAGTGCACGCTGCGGTAGTCCTCCTTGTCGTCCGCCGCAGGTGCGGGCATGTACTTGCGCAGACCCTGGTACAGGTTCTCGGTCAGGAAGGGCGTGAAGGACGAGAGCGTGCGACACAGCGTGAGGAGCGTCTCAAAGAGCGAGTTGAGCGCCGCCTTGGTGTCGTCCACGCCGTACTCGCCCTTGAGACGACGGCGGTTGAAGCGGATGTACCAGTTGGTGAGCTCGTCGATGAGCTCGCCCAGACGCGGCACCACCGTGTACAGCCGGTACGCCGCCATCTCGTCGCTGATGAGGCGGATGAGCGACTGGCAGCGCGCGAGGATCCAGCGGTCCATCACGTTGGTGCTCGACTGGTGGCGGTCGTAGACAAACTTGACGCCGTGGTCCTTCTCGTACAGGCCCACCGAGGCGAGGAAGAAGCGGAACGAGTTGAGCCACGGGAGGAAGGTGGACGAGACCACCTCCTTGACGCCCTCCTCCTTGAAGCGCAGGTTCTCGGCACGCACGACGGGCGAGTTGATCAGGTACAGACGGATGGCGTCGGCGCCGTACTGGTTGATGAGCAGGTTGGGGTCCGGGTAGTTGCGCAGCGACTTGCTCATCTTCTTGCCGTCGGCGGCGAGCACGAGGCCGCTCACGATGAGGTTCTTCCAGGGCGCCGAGTCGAAGAGGTGCGTGGCGAGGATGAGCAGCGTGTAGAACCAGCCGCGCGTCTGGTCGAGGCCCTCGGAGATAAAGTCGGCGGGGAACGACTTTTCGAACTGCTCCTTGTTCTCGAAGGGGTAGTGCGCCTGCGCGTAGGGCATGGAGCCGGACTCGAACCAGCAGTCAAACACCTCCTCGACGCGCTTGAGCTGGCCCTTGCCCTTTTGGGAGGGGATGGTGATGTGGTCGATCTTGTCCTTGTGCAGGTCGGTGATGCCGGTGACGCCCGAGAGGCGCTCGAGCTCCTCGACGGAGCCGACGCAGACGATCTCGTCCATGTCTTCGCTCGCCCAGAGCGGGATGGGCGTGCCCCAGTATCGGTTGCGGCTGACGTTCCAGTCGCGCGCGTTGGCGATCCAGTTGCCGAAGCGGCCCTCGCCGACGTGGGCGGGCACCCAGCGTGTGGCGTTGTTGTTCTTGACGAGCTTCTCGATGGCGGGCTCGACGCGCACGAACCACGAGGGGATGGCCTTGTAGATGAGCGGCGTGCCCGAACGCCAGCAGAAGGGGTACTGATGGGTGAGGGTGGCCTGCACGATGAGGCGGCCGCGCGCCTTGAGGTCCTTCTGGATCTGCTTGTCGGCCTCCTTGACGTGGACGCCCTGGTAGTCGGGCACCTCGGCGGTGTAGCGGCCGGAGCCGTCGACGGGGTTGGGGGGCGACTCGTCGCGGCTGATGACGCCGTGGGCGATGGCGACGCGGTGATCGTCGTCACCAAACGCGGGTGCCTGGTGCACGATGCCCGTACCTGCGTCCGAGGTGACGTAGGTGTCGGAGAGCACGCGGAAGGCGCGGCCCTGGAAGCGGTCGGCGAAGTAGGGGAAGATGGGCTCGTACTGCATGCCGACGAGGTCCTTGCCCTTGTAGGTGTGGAGCTTTTGGAACTTGGCCTTCTTGGGGTCCTTGTAGAGGGTGGTGAGGAGGTGCTCGTGGATGATGAAGTTGGTGTCGCGCTCGTCGTCGTGGATCTTGATGTAGTTGAAGTCCGGGTGGACGCAGAGGCCGAGGTTGGAGGGGAGCGTCCAGGGCGTGGTGGTCCATGCGAGGAAGGCGGTGGTGGGGTCGTCGACGAGCGGGAAGCTGACGGTGACGGCGGGGTCCTGGACCTCGCGGTAGTCGAGGCCGGCCTCAAAGTTGGAGAGCGGGGTGGTGCAGGCGGTGGAGTAGGGCATGACGCGGATGCCTTGGTAGACGAGGCCCTTGGAGTGGAGCGTCTTGAAGACCCACCATACGGACTCCATGAAGTTGATGTCCATGGTCTTGTAGCCGTTGTCAAAGTCGATCCAGCGGCCCATGCGTTCTACGGTGTCGCGCCACTCGTTCTGGTAGGTCATGACGATGCTCCTGCACTCTGCGTTGTACTTGTCGACGCCCATGGCCATGACGTCCTCCTTGCCGCGGATGTTGAGGCGCTTGTCGATCTCGTGCTCTACGGGGAGGCCGTGGCAGTCCCAGCCGAAGCGGCGGTCGACATAGTGGCCGGTGGAGTGGGCGTGTCGGGTGACGATGTCCTTGACGGTGCCGGCGAGGAGATGGCCGTAGTGGGGGAGACCGGTGGCGAAGGGCGGGCCGTCGTAGAAGCTGAAGGGTTTCCTGCCCTTGGACTGCTGGAGCGAGGTCTTGAAGGCGTCGATGGCACGCCAGTATCGGATGACCTTTTCCTCTTCGGTGGGGAAGCTGAAGGCGGCGGTGGGGTCGTGCTCGGCGAAGGTGGCGGCCGGATCGTTTGGATCCTTGGGGGTGAGGTCGGCCATGGTTGGTAGCCCCTTGCGAAACGCAGATGCTGTGTATTCACTGAGCGATGATGGTGAGGGGAAGGCAAACCGAAGCTTAACGCCGCGATGGCATTCATTCCCTCTCCCAAAGCAACACACCGAGAAGAGCCAACCGAAGGCTGAGCTGGACTGCTGCTGCTGCTGCTCTCGAGGAATGCGAAGAAAGTCGAAAAAAAGCGAGCGAGCGCATTCCGCCTCCGCTCGTGCGCAGTTGAAGCCACTCGAGTCAGAAGTGGCGACTCCCGTGCGAGTCGAAAAGGAGAGAAAGGATGTTAGGCCGAAGCAGTCGCCGAATAGAGAAATTTGTGAGACCAACACTGACTGCTGGGGCTCGTCTGCTGTGCCCTTTGGGTTGCGTTGTTGGATTTTTGGTGGGGCTGTTGGCCGCTGTCAAAGGACTGCTCACGCTAAGTTAGCCCTCTCGCCTAGGCACGAGCCACACCCACCCACACACCCTCTTTGGTTGCAACGAATCCGACTCTGGCTCTGCTATCCCACCACCACCAACGCTCGTGCATCGAGCAACCGAGTTGGCATCCCCACCGCCGCGTGCGCACCCGAACTCCAACGCAGCTCAGCCAGGCCGGTCCTACGCTGTGCCTCCTTGTCTCTCTTCTCCCCATCACACCGACTCTTTAGCAAGACCTCGAGCATTCCTCCGCCATGTCTGGAACAGGCGATGCGCTGGAAGCAGCCATCCTGCAGGGGGTCGATGCGAACCCGGCCTCCACCTACCGCGAAGACCGTCGAGCCGCCGCATCGCACTCGGCTCCCAATACCGACGACGAGCTGGGCTCGGACCTCTCGGACCACGACGACGACCGCGACCTCTACCGGCGCGACGACGAGGACGACCTGCCCGCCGCTTCCACCTCCCCGCGCGGTGGGGATGCAATCAAGCGCGTGCAGAACTCGCGCACGGCAAACCGCGGTGCCGAAGGCGCCACCAATACAGGCCCCAAGGGTGTGTTGCGCGATCAGCAGCTGCGCGCCGCCCACGAAAGCGCCGCACGATCAGCTGCCGTGCACGCCACCAACCGCCGCATGGAGTCGCTCGCGCTCTCCTCGGAATCCTACACGCAGCAGGTGGAGCGCGAACGCCGCGAGGCCGCCTTGCGTCTGCAACACGAGCTCGACCAAGACGAACACACCGTAAGCCGCGAAGCGATCGCGGATCTTCAGGCCAAGGAGCGTCGTCGCGAAGCACGGATTGCCGAGTTGAAGGCGTTCCATGCCTCTCGCAACCCCGCCCATCCCACCACAGCATCGATGGGGGTGGGGAGCAACGAGCGGTGGTTCGGGCATCTGCGCGAGGTGGACGAACGCGGCTACGTGGCAGCGATCGACAACGAGGTGCACGACGTACCCATCGTGATCCACATCTACTCCAAGGCCGTCGAGCAGTGCAACGTGCTCACCGCCGCCCTCGCCGCCCTTGCACGTGTCTACCCGCGCACCAAGTTCCTCCAGGTCCAAGCAGCCGCCATCGGCTTCGGCCACAATGCCGATGATGACGACGAAGAGTTTGACGAGCTCAATCCAAAGACCCTCGAGGTGCTACCCACCCTCCTTGTCTACCGTGCGGGGAATCTGGTGGCCAATTTGGTGCGTGTGGATCTCGACCCCCTGTGGAACCACGGTACGGAACAGGATATTCGCACTCTGCTACAGCATCACGGTGCCGTTCCCGCCTCCTCCCAACCTGCCCTAGCCACATGCACATCCACACCGCACCATGATTCGGATGACGATTGAATCTATTCTTTTTGACATTACAAAAACCGACGACTGCGAGTGGCTAGTGGGAGTCGACCCACTTGCGGGCGTTTTCAAACATCCTAAACCAGGGACCTTTGCCGTTCCATCCCTTGTCGCCCCGAGCATGTGCACTGACAGGAGCCCAGCTCATGCTCGACAGCGCAACGCCACGTTCTGGATGCGGCATGAGCGCAAGCACCCTGCCTCCATTGGCCGTAACGGCGGTCACACCCTCGGGGCTGCCGTTGGGGTTGACCGGATACCTCTGATCAGTGTACTGCATAGCGACCTGGTTCCTGCGCCTGCACTCGTCCAAATCCCCCTCTGCGCGGAAAGTAGCCCTGCCCTCTCCATGTGCAATGATCGCCGGCAAAACCGAGCCGGCCATATCGCGCAAGAAGATCGACTGCGCCCCACCCGTGGATGTAATCTCGACGTTCGACAGTCGACCCTCGAAGCGTCCCGACACGTTGGCCTTGAACAGCGGCCAGTGTTCCGCCTCGGGAATCAGACCGGCCGCAGCGAGCTGTGAGAGCAGCTGGCATCCGTTGCACACGCCGAGTGCAAACGTATCGTTACGCTGCTGGAAGAAGCGTTCGAACTGCGATCGTACCGAGGGGTTGAGTAGGATCGACTTGGCCCACCCACTACCTGCACCCAACACATCGCCAAACGAAAAGCCTCCACATGCCGCCAGGCCCACAAATGCATCCAGCGTCACACGGCCCTCGACGAGGTCCGACATGTGCACGTCCACCGCACAGAAGCCCGCGCGTGCAAACGCCCACGCCATCTCGATCTGGCCATTCACACCCTGCTCGCGCAAGACGGCCACCTTGGGCCGCGCCTCCATCTCGGCCTCCACCACCGCGCTGCCGAGAACATCGTCGCGCGGGTTGTACGTCAGCTCGTACCGCAGCGCCGCCGCACCCGACTCGTCATCGATGAGACTGAACTCCTCCGCTGCCGTCTGCGGATTATCGCGCAGACTCTGCATGCGGAACGATGTCTCGGCCCACTTCTTCTGCATCTCTGCGCGCGTAGTCGCCATCAACACCTGCCCGCCCGCGGCGACCTTGATCTCCTCCACCTCGGTCACGCGCCCCACCACATGCACATGGTTCGACGCCACCCCGGCCGCGGTAAACACCGCACTCACCGCCTTGACGTCCGCGGCACGCACCTGCAGCACTGCACCCAGCTCTTCGTTGAACAGCGCCGCCACCGGATCCGCCTTGTCGCCCGACACAACGTCGGCAAAGATCTCGGCACCACATCGACCGGCAAAACACATCTCGAGCACCGTCGTGAGCAGGCCGCCGTCCGAACGGTCGTGGTAGGCCAGCACCAAACTGCCCTCGTCGCGCTTCTGCACACGCAGCTGCTTGAGCGTGTAGCACGCCTCGAAGAACGCCTTGAGCACGCCTGCGTCCTCGACATCCGGCGCCTCGTGGCCCAGCTGCCGGAAGACCTGCGCGAGACACGAACCGCCCAGACGCTGCTTGCCCGCCGCGAGGTCGACGAACAGCAGCACCGTGTCGGCCACATCGGTGCGCAGCTGCGGCGTCCACGTGCACGCGATATCGTCCACCGGTCCAAACGCGGTCACGGTCAACGAGAGCGGCGCCGTCACCTCGTGCTGTTCGCCCTGCTCGCTCTGCCACGCCATCTTCATCGACATGGAGTCCTTGCCGACGGGGATGGCCAGGCCGAGCTTGGGGCACAGGTCGAGACCGACAGCCTGGACGGCCTCGTACAGGCGCGCGCCCTCGTCCGAGTGGCCCGCCGCGCACATCCAGTTGGCCGAGAGCTTGATGCGCTCCAGACTCTCGATGCTCGCCGCGGCGATGTTGGTGAGCGACTCGGCCACCGCCATGCGCGCCGCCGCAGCGGCGCTGATGAGCGCCAGCGGCGTACGCTCGCCGCTCGCCACCGCCTCGCCCGTCAGACTCTCGTTGAAGCCGTACGAGGTGCGCGTCACCGCCACATCGGCCACCGCCACCTGGTGCGGCCCCACCATCTGATCGCGCACCACGAGCCCCGTGATGCTGCGGTCGCCAATGGTGATGAGGAAGTTCTTGCTCGCCACGGTGGGCAGGTGCAACACGCGCTCCACCGCCTCGGCGAACATCCTGACCGGCTCGCTCTGCAGGCTGGGCAGGTACGTCGTGAGCGACGAGTCGAACGGGATGCGCAGCGGCGTCTTGCTCGCCGCCTGGCGTGCGATCTTGGGCGGCTTGCCGAACAGGATGGGCATGGGCAAATGGATGGGCGTGCTGCCCAGCAGACGGTCGGTCACCACAAGCTCCTGCTCGACCGTGGCGCGGCCCACCACCGAGTAGGGGCAGCGCTCGCGCTTGGCGATCGCCTCGAAGCGCGGCAGATCCGCCGCGGCGACAGCCAGCACGTAGCGCTCCTGCGACTCGTTGCACCAGATCTCCATGGGGCTCATCGACGGGTCGTCGACCAGCACGTCGCGGATCTCAAAGCGCGCACCGAGCCCAGCATCGTGCACGAGCTCGGGCAGCGCGTTGCTCAGCCCGCCCGCACCGACATCGTGGATGCTCTGGATGGGGTTCCCCTGTCCCACCTGGCCCTCGATCACGCCCGGTGCATCGCTGAGCGCGGTGCAGGCATCGATGACCTGCTGGCACCGACGCTGCATCTCGGGATTGTCGCGCTGCACCGAGGCAAAGTCGAGCGCGGCACGCGACGAGCTGCCGCTCGCCATGGACGAGGCCGCACCACCGCCGAGGCCGATGAGCATACCGGGCCCGCCGAGCACGATGATCGCGGCGTCCGGCGTGATCTTGTCCTTGAGCGCGTTCTTGGGGCGCACGTTGCCGAGGCCGCCGGCAAGCATGATGGGCTTGTGGTAGCCGCGCACCTCTTGCTTGCCGTCGTCGGTGGGGACGCGCTCGCACCAGGTGCGCCAGAAGCCGCTGAGGCCCGGCCTGCCAAACTCGTTGTTGAAGGCGGAGCTGCCGAGCGGGCCGTCGATCATGATGTCGTACGCGCTCGAGATGTGCGCGGGCTTGCCAAAGTCCTCCTCCCAGGGCTGGCGGCCGTCGGCTTCGAGGAGCAGGTTGCTCGTCATGAATCCGACCAGGCCGGCCTTGGGCTTGGAGCCGCGGCCGACGGCGCCCTCGTCGCGGATCTCGCCTCCGGAGCCGGTGGCGGCACCGGGGTAGGGCGAGACGGCGGTGGGGTGGTTGTGGGTCTCGACCTTGGCCAGGAAGGGCATGGGTTCCTTGACGCCCTGGTAGACGCTCAGGCCGTTGGCGGCGGCGGCGCGGGAGGGGGCGAAGCGGGTGGCCTCGTAGCCCTCGATGACGGCGGCGTTGTCCGAGTAGGCGCTGATTGTGTGCTGGGGGTGGAGCTTGTGGGTGTTGCGGATCATGCCGAAGAGGGTGTTGGGCATGTCTTTGCCGTCGATGGTCCAGTCTGCGTTGAAGATCTTGTGGCGACAGTGCTCGGAGTTGACCTGCGCAAACATGAAGAGCTCGACGTCGGTGGGGTTGCGGCGGAGCGCGGCCGAGGCGTCGCCCTTGCCGGCGATGAAGGCGTCGACGAGGTAGTCGATCTCGTCGTTGGCGAGTGCGAGGCCGAGCTGCTCGTTTGCGTGCACGAGGCGCTGCTTTGCGACGGCGCGGTCCTCGGTGCCGTCTGCGCCGAGGAGGTCGACGTAGGTGAGGGGAGCGGGCTGCGCCTTGTGGAAGAGGGCGTCTGCGGTGGGGGGCACGGCGGAGATGAACTGGGTCATGCGGTCGTGCAGAAGGTCGTTGAGGCTGGCCAGCTCGTCGGGCTGGAGGTGCGAGGCGGTGGCGGGCTGGACGACGTAGGCGATACCGCGCTCGATGCGTGCGACGTGGTCCTTGAGGGTGCACATGCGGGCGATGTCGGTAGCCTTGCTGGACCAGGGCGAGATGCTGCCGGGGCGAGGCAGCACGAAGAGCACCGACGGGTCGGGCTTGGCAGCGAGGGCAGACTGCACGGCGGCGCGCGTGTTGGGCAGGTCGACATTGTCGCCATAGACGAGGAGGCTGTCGAGCACGTTGCGCTGCGGGCTGGCGGCATCTGCGAGCACGGCCTGCGCCGCCTCGTTTGCCGGATTGACAAAGTGGACATAGACGGCATCGATGGATGCGAGCTTGTCACCGCCGAGCTTGGCGTTGGCCCTCTCGAGCAGCTGGGTGCGCTTTGAGGGGTGGAACACGGACGAGCCGATGAGCGAGAGCATCTTGCCGGAAGCCTGTACAGCTGCTACCGTGTGCTCGCTAATGTGGAGTGAAGCGAAAGAAGACGATGTCAGATGCTTTCCCCTTTGGCGCTCAGAAGAGAGGTGCAAGGTGCAAGATGCTCACGTTGCAGCGGAACGACGGGTCGGTTGGGTCAGGCAAGAGCGAGGAGAGGCAAGTTGGGTTGATCGCACGCAGGGCTGCGTGACGATTGAGTCGGGAAGGTGCAGAGCGGAATGACTGCCCTCCTATCAAAGTCGAGAAGCAAGCAGCGACGGCCATCGTCTTTCATTCTTCTCCCACCTCACCTCGAGAGAGAGAGAGAGAGAGAAAAAAAAAGGAAAAAAGAAAAAGGTGGCCCGAGTGGTGAATTTTCGGGGCCCGCACCGCAACAGCCGCTGGAAAACTGCACCGAAGCTGCTCACGTTCCCGAAGACGAGAACGAGTCAGCCCACCCAAAAAATTGGCCAATTTTTCCATTCTGGCTCGGCAGGATCTTGCTGGCTGGCCTCTTCTCGCACGAAAGATTGTCCGCACTCCACATTTCCATCGCGACTGAGCCTCTAAACTCCGAGAGCCGAACAAATTTGGACCGCATAGACCCTGGATTGGCCGCTGCTAGCCTTGCCGCCTCGCCACCATCGTCCTTCTTCACACGCGGCGTTCGAGGTGCAGATATGGACGCATCGACACAATCAGCGGCCTCTGAGCCCGTGGTGATGTTCAAGCGCAAGCGCGGCCCACCCTCTCGAGCTGCACCTGCCGCCACTGCGAGCCCCTCGACTCCTTTATCCAGCGCAGCGCCAGGGCCGTCTCGTGCATCCCAGGCGGTGCTGAACACCAGCTCTAGCGACTCGGACAGCGATGCTGATTCGGACGACGAGGTGCGATCACGGTCCGCCGTAGTCACCAAGAAGAAGCGCACCAACCACAATCCGCTCGTCCAGTCCACCGGCGCCGTACGCAAGCAACCGCGCCCCGACACCGCCCCTGACTCGGAAGACGACATCTACCCTCCCCCTTCTGCACCAGCCAGCACAGCAGCCACGAGTATACAGAAGGTCAGAGACTATGCAACACGCCATAGCAACTGGGACCTCGACGCTACACCGACCGATGCGGGGGAGTCGGCGAGCAATGCGGATGGGCTGTATCGGGGTTCGAAGGGGTATGCGTCGTACATTGCTGCGCGGGATGACGGCAAGTCGTCCAAGATGCGCTCGCGCGGACCCATACGACAAACCACCACTGTACGAACAACCTCGCTGATGGACTACCAACCCGATGTGTGTAAGGACTACAAGGAGACTGGATACTGCGGCTTCGGCGATACGTGCAAGTTCCTCCACGACAGATCGGATTATCTTGCCGGCTGGCAACTCGACTTACCAAACTCCACCGCCCGCACAAGGGAAGATGTGCTACTTTCCGATCCAGAGGAGGAGGAAGAGGTGCCGTTTGCATGTCTGATCTGCAGACAGGCGTTTACTGCGCCGGTGGTGACAAAGTGCGGCCACTACTTTTGTGAGGCGTGCGCGCTGGGCAGGTTTGCAAAGACGTCCAAGTGCTTTGCGTGCGGTGCGCAGACGGGCGGGTTGTTCAATGCGGCGACAAAGGTGCTCGAGCGCATGAACAAGACCAAGGCCGCCAAACTGCACACGAAAAACAGCTGGAAACAGCTCGATGTAGACTAGAATGCAAGCTCCTTGTATTATACCGAAACGGTTAGTTGAGCGACATGTGCTGCAGGGCTGGGAGGGTGAGGGGCTTTTGGATCTTGTGCGTCTGCGTCTGCGTCTGGGTGGGGGGTGGGGATGTGGTGGTGGGGGCAGTAGCCGCTCTGGAGCGCGGCAGTCTGTCAAGCAGCGATGTGGACAGTTCGCCTGCACGGTGGGCGACGATGGACAACAAGCTGTCCGACAGACCATGAGTTGCCTCATTGCCGCCAAGCACGTAAAGCGCCGGTTCGGGAAGATTACGTTCTTCGACCTGACTTGCGAGTGTCTGTTGCGACGAGGTGGATGAAGCATCGCTTGCGGGCGAAGCCTTTCCGCTCCTCAGCGCCGACCGCATAGCCGCAGCGCCAACGAGTCGGTAATCCCTGGTGATGCCGCGAATGTTCTCGCGCCTGCGCTCGAGCACCTCTTCGTCCTCGACATCCACCAACCTCGCCACCTCGTCCTCCTCCGCCTCCCTCTCGCGCCCCATCCACTCGCCGTCCAGTGCGGGATAGAACGCCCGCAGCGGCTCGAGGAACGCCATGCTGCTCGGCGAACGCACGAATCCAGTCCCCACAAACACCGCATCAAACACCACCCTCTCCACCCTCCCGTTGCGCAGCTTATCGCGCAGCTCCAACTCCACTCCCTCGTCGGTCAATTGGACGTGGTCGACTTCGGTGCAGCGACGCATCTCCATGCGACCCGCGTGTTTTTCGTCGACGTCCTGCAGCTCGTCGGGAAGCTGCACGCTAAACTTGTCGTACATGGTATCGTGCAGCTCGTTGAGCAGATCCGTACGCACCACCGAGTAGTTTGTGCGCTTGAATTCGGTCAACCACGCGCGGCGCTGGGCTGCACTCGCGTGCCAGAACTCGTCGGTACGTTCCGGGTCGAACGCAGCTGAGTTGACGAATCCCGTGTCGTCAGAGGGAACGAGGGCTGAGGCGCGGAAGACCATCGTGACAATCGCAGTGGGGAAGCGCGCGTGCAGGTTCATCAGCATCTCGGTAGCCGATTGACCTGCACCGATCACCGCCAGACGCAGACGCGACGAATCGTCCACCACACCCCCCGCGGTCTGTTGACGCTTCGAAGCGATCTCGTGCAGTTTGGGCTCGAGCATTCGCAGCGATGGCAGATACGTGCCCGAGTGCACAATGCGCGCCCCTTCGCTGGTTTGCTGCGCATACGCCGCTTCGAACGCAGCCGGAAGCTTGGGTACGCCACCGACGGCGACGGACAAATTGCGCGCATAGCGCACCACCTTGCCGCCATCCGCCTCGCGCGTAGTGATGCGGTACAGACACAGTGCATCCTCCGCACCCGCCTGCCTCACCGTCACCTCGTCCTGCTTGGCCTCGGCCGCCACGATCGTAAGCGGTTCGATCGAAACCACGTTCTGGCCGTACGAGACTGCGTCCGCCATCCTGCGTGCGGCCCAGGCGAGGTAGGCAGTCCACTCGCGTCGACTAGGCACGCCCTGCTCCTTGTTGATGTAGCGCGCCAGGCGGCCGTGCGAGTGGAGATAGTTGTAGAAGCTGTACGTCGACGTCGGATCGCGCAGCGTCACCAGGTCCTTGAGCGGCGACACCTGCAGCTGCGACCCGGGCAGCAGCAGCGCAGGATGCCATGCAAAGTGCGCGCGCTGCTCCAGGAAGTGCGCCTTGAAGTTGGCTTCGCCCGCCTCGGCGGACTCGCGCAGCGCGATCGACAGCGCCAGATGCGCAGGCCCATACCCAATCCCAAGCAGGTCGTAGATATCGTCCTTGCCAACCACCGTAAGCGAAGATGCGATCTGATCAAGCACAGAGCAGTCCGAATCAGTCTCGATTCCAGCAAGACAGTTGAGCTAACGATGCTACTTACTCCGTTCATGTTGTCGAGCGACGATGTGGATGCGGCCAGAGGCTCCTATCGATTCGAATCCAGAGAGACGATTGTGGATGCAAGGATGACGATGAGAAGATGCGGAACGAGGTGGAATGACGAGCGAGCACGAGCAGTCGAAGGTCGGATCAAGGCAGCGTGCCGTCGCGTATATAACAAGCAAGCTCGGAGCGAGTCGGTCCTGCTTGCGGGCGTGCAAGCTAGATGCAAAGGAGCGTGCGGTGAAGCCAGGTGATTGTGAGTGGTCGTGTCGAGAAAAGGCCGGGAGGGAGAAAGGAGAAAAGAAGCATGATGTAGACGTCGAACCGCTGGGGCGGGACTTTTTGCTAAGCAGGGCCTCCATGAAAGACAAGCACCCAGGTTTTGCGGATCGGCGGCTTGAACGGCAGCTGTGCGGACCCTGACCGTTGCCTCGCCCTTGCCATTAGCCTGGGGATCTCGGGCCGTCGCCCGCTCCGAGAAGGCATGCTAGGAGGCGGCCAACGTGCACGCTAGCCTCGCAAGCCGAGCGTGCGCGCCGAATCGCCAAAAGCTGTGTTGGCGAGGGAGCCGGGGGGGGGGGGGGACTGAGCCACTACGAACGCTGTTGACGGAGCGAAAGTTGAACGACGACGGCGAGCGACTCGAACCAATCAGAGCGCAGCTATTGGCAATGCGTCCGGTGCACAGCTCATGCCGATCGTCTCCAGAGCGGGAGAGCGGGTGTGACGGTCGAATGGCATGCCGACCAGGCAAGGGAGGGGCGGAGTGCGAATACCCAAAAACCCTGGACGGTGCGAACCGAAGGCCTAGCTGGCGGCGGAGGCAGTTGGACAGGAGGATCGTGCGTGGCCCCGAAAACCGAACGTGACCGACGTGCAGACGGGGCGAGCAGAGCCATGACGTTCGGGACGATGAGCGGCTGCATCCATGCCTCGACCCTGGCTGACAAACGCACTTTCTGCTTCGATGCAGCCGAGCCAGTGGAGGAAGAGCCAATGCCGATTTTGTCGACATCGACGTGTGCATGTGGAGGCCGTTATTGCCAAAAGCTCGATCGAGCCAACTCGTAGTCGCCCAAGTTGCATCGTCAGGCGCCTTGGTGGGTTTCAGCGAGCAAACCTACGAACGCAGCAATGCAAGCAATCAAGCACCGTTGGACGTTACGGCCACCAGGAACGAAACATTGTCGAATGAAACGTTGCTGAAAAGCGTCGACGGAGAAATGGCGAGACGAAAGCTGATTGGAAATAGCACGATTCTGATTGGTCGACGCGACTCGAGCCACACCAACGCGACCAGGGGCGACGACGAGCGACCCCGCGGTGACGCCGGAAGGCGGGCTGTTTGCCGTTGGACCAGACCTGGGTGGCAATGCCGGATCTGGGGCCAGCATCCAAACTGCTCGGAGCGCGGCGCCGACATCGAAGCTGGCACGTTCTGGTGCCGCGAAGAGCCGAGAACCCTTAGTCGCGCCGAAGCACGGTGCCAGTGGGGACGGGTCGGAGCGAAAGAAACTCTCGCTATTTGACACCCGTCGCGGCATGGAGACAGCGAAATGAAGTCATGACCATATGTGCGGGGTGCGACATGTCATCGATCCGGAAACCGAGGCTGGAAGAACGGAACTGAGACCGACGATGCTGGAACCCTCGACTGCTCGTGAGGCGAGATCTGTACTTACCACATCCGATTCAGCCATGGTGGGGTGGCTCATGTTTTCGTGTAGTCGGCTGCGACACTAGCGCGGGCGGAGAGTTTCGTCGAGACGTTCGAAGGGAGAGGGTGCAATCGAGTCAGTCATGGATCCCGCTTCTGCTAGCGAAGCGTGTTTGCCGCTTGATGGCCTTCGAATTACGCCATCGTCCCCATCCATGCTAAAGTAGATTCGCCGTGTGGTCGCTCCGAGGTAGCCGAGATGTGACAGGTACGGCTTCCCAGCGACGTTCCATCACCCGCTCGCGATCGAACACGGCAATCCACTTCTTCTTTCCGGGCGAGGTTTGGCCTGCGGTGAGGCGGCTTGGCTCGATTCTGGGCATTGTCGTAGTGGAGCGGCATACGATCCTTGCCGGCTGGATGCTAGAGCATCGGCGATGAGAGTGACCTTGCATCGGGCGGGTGCATCGGGGGCTAGCACGGACCGGGCGACCGGAGTATCTGGAAGACTGGCAAAGAGTGGTTCAGCGGTACACACCTTGGGCAATAGATCTGAGCGACAGTATGGTAACGTCGCAAGCGTATGTCTAGCTGAGATGAAGTTGGTGGGGTTCGGAGGGGAGAAGGCGCTTGAGATGAGCTTGTTTTGTAGTTCCACACCGTCGGCTCGTGGAGAGGTGGTGGAGAGGGCTGGGCCAACAGTGCGAGGTTGGGGAAAGTTCGGTTGTGGATGATCCGAGGCACAGCTGAGCAAGCGATCACTCTCGGCTGAGCGGCTCGCACCTCACAGTTGCAGAGGGACCTGGCGTCATGTCACCTTGGTCACACTCAGGGCGGCAGGGGAACTGGCTAATCTGATAAAAATTTTCGGCCATCGCCTAGGCGCGATTCCACCCAGTCGGCTCAATCACCTCACCGAGCCGCAGATCTGCACGCACTCCATCCGCATGGAAAAGTGAACTACGAGCAAAGAAGAACAAGGTTCGCCACCGTGGACCAATCGGGTCTGCCCCACGCACAGCCGAGGGTGGCAAGTGGTGAGAGCCCAGTGCATATTCCCGTCACGACCGAAGCAACGCATCTTTACCCAGAAGAAGAAAAAAAAGCCATGCTGGGTCATAACATCAACGCATACACATGGCGTAGCGTGCCCAATCATGTGTGAAGGATGTGGTGTGAATGCGTGTGTGGCTCGGCAAGTTGGCGTCCGAAGCGAGGCGAGGCGCTCATGGTTCGTGTTTGCACTTGGAACAATTGGCACGAGCTGCGGCCTGCATTCTTGGCAAACCGTGTTGGCGTGGAAGTAAGTGAAGTTTGCACTAGTGCAAGGGAGAGCTGCAGCACATGCAGTTCAGCAAAGAGCCAAGACTTTGTTAAGCGAATCCACTTTGCGGCGAGTGCATGAGGTCATCCTTCCATCCTTCCAATCGGATAAGATCGCGCCAGCCCAGCTGCTCTCATCTGATAAAAAAATTCATCACGCTCGCTTCCGCCTCAGCGTTGGATGTTTTGAGTGATCGGCCGAGTTGTTTTCGGCCCAACTCCGACCATTGAGCGTGGGCTGCGTGGGCTGGCGAGCAGCATAAGCCTCGGCACGACCAAATCCAACACGATTCGCGCATGAAACCGCATCTTGCAGCGCATCTCGGCGAAAAGTGCGGTTCAAAGTGGGCCCCGGAACCGAAGTTGCGGTTCACTCTTCAGCCCAGCTCGAAGAAGCAAAGACGAAGGGGGGTGCCAGCAATGACGCCAGAAGCTCGAAGAGGCACCAACGCGGTCTTTCGAGGGTGGGCAAAAAATTTTCATTTTCTCTCATCTGATAAGATCACTCCTCCTGCGTGAATCAGGACGGCAACGTGCACGGCCCCTCGCCAGAGCCAGGTGTTCACGCCGACTCCAGCTGGCATATGGTCCGCCGATTCTTTCCGAAGCTCGTTCTTGCGGCTTGGCACGAGCTGCTGCGGCAATGTCCACCCAGGACCCGAAGCGGTGTGATTGGTTTATCTGATAAAACAGTCTTCGGCCACCGGCGCAACCCTCTCGGACATGCGCTTCTTGGCCAAGCCGAACTTTGATCTGGCTGCACACTGACTGTCTGCGTGAAAGCATGCTCGAAAGCATGCAGAGAAACACACCGAGAACGCACAAGATGACTCGACGGCTTGGCTTGTCCACGCCGTCCTCATTTTCCCGGCCTGAAGGTCCGATGCAGTGTTAGCTCCTAGAGGTGAGAAGACGCTAGCAGACATATGGCATGATAGTGACGATGCTTTGGTGATGGATCGGGGCGAGGACTGGCTTGCTGGCTCGGGTGGATCTGCGACTGTGACGCAAGAGCGGCCGGAGCGAAGCGTGCTTCGAGACTAGTGTGGATGCGTAGGCCCAGCGAACCTTTTCGGCTCGAGCCGGCATTCCGCGGCGGGCCGACTGGAGACGAATTTCTGGATGCCGTTGCTGGGTGCTTTCTGGGTGCTCTTCGTCACCTCCACCTTTGCGCAGCTCGCTCGCTGTTTGGGCCCAGAGTGGGAAAAAAAAGAAGGGTCCAGCTGAACCGCCAGCTAGCCTGCCAGCCAGCCAGCCAGCCAGCCAGCGGGCTCTTGCTCGGCGTGTTGGGGCTGTTGGGTGAATTCAGAAGATCCTCCCTTCCGCCGAGCTCAGCATCGGAGCCAAACCGCTTCTGCTTCTGCTTCAGCTTCTGCTTCAGCTACAGCTTCAGCAGCATCGCAGAGCTGCCGGTCGGGTGTTCCGAACATACGACCGACTCGAACGATTCCTTATAGACCTCTGCCTCCATCGGCGCATCCGACCCAGCCACGGCATCCACCATCCCGCAAGTAGACGAATCGATCACCCTGGATTCTTGCGACTCTCCTGCCCGACGACGACGACATAATCCATCCAAAGGGTAAGTTGACGGCGGCCAGCGTCCGAACCAGAACCAGACCGCAGTACACAACAGAAGGGCGCTGACACTGCCATCGTAGACGCATACCTCTGATAGCCATCATGTCGCACGCACCCTTCCCAGACGTCACCGGTCTGCGAACCTCTGGACCCGGCTTCTCGCGCGTCGGCCAGCACTGCAAGCTCTTGCAAGTGCAGCATTCCCTTCAACTCCCACCGAGCTCTGCCTTGGCTTTTGCTCAGCACGACCTCAGCCTCGCCATCCTCTCGGCATGGTGCGCCATCCTCTTTCATTACGGCTCCCACGAGGCGTCCAACATCGAGGTGCTCCACACCCCCCATCAAGGCAGCGAATCCATCCTCGCTCTCGACTTTGGCGAGCAACGAGAGCTCACAGACTACACACCGGCACAGCTCGCAAGTACTGTCGATGCAGCCAGGCAAAG